CCCGTACACAAGCCGTACCCGTACACAAGCCGTACCCGTACACAAGCCGTACCCGTACACAAGCCGTACCCGTACACAAGCCGTACCCGTACACAAGCCGTACCCGTACACAGCCCGTACCCGTGCACAGCCCGTACCCGCACACAGCCCGTACCCGTACACAACCCGTACCCGTACACAACCCGTACCCGTACACAACCAGTACCCGTACACAAGCCGTACCCGTGCACAAGCCGTACCGGTACACAAGCCGTACCCGTACACAGCCCGTACCCGACACAGCCCGTACCCGTACACAGCCCGTACCCGCACACCACCTGTACCCGCACACGACCCGTATCCGTACACGCAGCGTACACGACCCGTACCTGTACACAATTCCCTACTCGTACACAGCCCGTAGCCGTACACAGCCCGTAGACGCCCACGACCCGAACACCCGTACACAAGCCGCACCCGTACACAACGTCCAGTGCCGGTACTCGCAGCGTACACGACCCGTACCCGTACACAGCCCGTACTCGTCAACAGCCCGTACCCGCACGCAGCCCTTACCCGTACAAAGCCCGTACCCGTACACAATCCGTACCCGTACACAACCCGTATACCTGTACGCAGCCCGTACCCGTACACCACCGGCACCCGTACACAACCCGTGCCCGTGTATGCACAACTTACACGAACCCCTGTCGCTGTAGTGTTCTGTGCCTGCACGCAGCTGTGCATGTGCACACATTCGTCTGTGCACTTTAAAGAAGCAGCTTGCAACCCATACTTGTACACCGCCTGTACACCGAAACTGCCTGCACAGAACCTGCAGACCGTGTACAAACGCACCCGTATACGACCCGCCCTCTCACACGACCTGCTCAACACAACTTGTTCCGGTTAAACATCCCGTTTCCGCACGCTCTGCGCCCGTGCATGTACCCATACACACACGTGGTCGTTCACGACGGGTCCCATTTTCACACAACGTCATTCAACAACCGTTACGGATATACTTGTACGACATCTGCATTTTGCACCTATGGTCAACCTCGTAAGGCGAAAACAACTAAGGGCTGTAATTACATCTTGACCATCTGCCCAAATAACACACCACATGCGAGTGCCTGGCCACGGTATGTATCTGCAATTCATGAATGACTGCGTATGCATACGACTGCCTGTTCATTGAGTAGTCAGACTCACACAAAGTACAATTTGAGGGTCTGGCCATGCGAAAAAATATCAGCTCAGTCGTAGCTCGGTCGTGCTCGGTGCTCGCGTCGAGTGGATTTTGGTGTGGTCTCTATTGGCTCACCTTCGCTTCCAGCCCGCCCTTTCCGGTGATGATGTTGGTCGATTTTGGGGTGTTTGGTATACCTATTTTGTGATATTTTTGCGAGGTTCATATATGCTGGTGAAACAAGAGTACCAAGAGCTGGCACTCCACAAAGTTTTATCAGCGAGGAAAACTGTTGCCATACTTTGAAGTTCTTGTGAGCATTTTCTGTCACAAGTCTGAAGCCTCTTTAATTCAAAGGTCCTCCGCTGTACTGACACGCGTTTCGGTTCAGAAGGCGAAAGTTATTCGCACAAATACGCCCCTTTCCTTCTGGTATGGAGGGGACTGGCGTTATTGAATGGACCCAAAAGAGCCGTGGTTTCCTTTTGCTATGATGCTTGCTTTTGTTGCCGTCCGGATTGAAGCGAAGCCCACCAAGGCCCTGTTCTTGTATCTAGTACTGTTCAAAACCCCACGATTGATCTGGTATGTCAAATCAATGAAAAACTTCCATATGTGGTCCGTTCACAACTTGCTGCGTGTGCCGAAGGTTTGGGACGGGTGAAAGCATGTGCACAAACAAGCTTCCGTGAGCATAGAAGACTTTACAGGGTTCATGTGGCGCCGGTAAAAAAGTAACATTGCTAGGTTCTTTGGTGATCGTCTCAACACGGCCCATGCTGCTAGCTGTGAAGCTCGGTCGGCCGGCACGGCACTGCTACAACTGCAGACCGTTACCTTTTTTCTTCATGTGTGTTTTCGCATGACTCTTCCTAACTACTTTCCAAATTTTACCTGTGGTATGCATGTTTCATTACCGATGGTGGAATTTTCCGTCCGTGTTCGCGTCGAACTCTTCTTCCACACAAAGAGGAAGACGACGATTTGAATGCACATGAACATGCTGTTTGTACACCCCATCGATCCCCATCGTAAAAACCATGCGAAATTGTGCAAAAGTCAACATACAGCGTTTTGGTGTTTTGCAGGCACCAAAAAACTAACATTGTTGTTTTTTTTGTGAAAAACTAGCAACGTATACTTTTTGGTCAAATGTAGGTTTTTTTTGCTACATTAGACTCTCCAGGGTGATGATCGGGAGCACTTGCGCCAGAATTTCGAGCACATAGATAAACGCCCGGCGGGACGCGAAGGGCTTGAGGTAGGCTTGACGACGCCGAAGTCGTAGAACACCTGGCCCTAGAGGAGGAGCACAAAGCCCCAGCCGTTTTCCCACCTGGCTGAACGAGGCACAGGGTCACCCGGCTGGAGGTGGCCCACCTTCTTGCGCAGGTCGCCCTCCAAGAAGAAGGCGTCAGCGTACAGAACCGTGACGGATGTCGTGACCGCCCCCGGCCACGGTATCATGCGAGGTCTGGCGGAAGACACCAGGCGGCGAAGGGCCAGGAGGGCCGAGCGGAGCCCGACCGAGAGCGAGTCATGCGAGTTCGCCGCCGTGTCGGCGGCCCTGGCGTAGAGTGGCTTAATGGCCGCCCGTCCGGTGCAGCCGAAGATGGACTGACTGAAGAACGTCAGCCGTCCGGCCAGCTTGGACGCCACGTCGGGCTTCAGGGCGTCGTTCTCCAGGGCGCGATCGATCTGCTGGAGGATCTTCTTCGTGCGGTCGGCGGTGGGGCGCAGCTCTGGCGAGCATCTGGACCGCGTCCGCCGCCCGGTTGAAGCCGCGCCGAAGCACATGGCGAAGTGGAACCACAGGGTTCTCCCACCGGCGGTCGGGAGGAACGTCCCGCAATGGCCCGAAAACTTCACCGCCCATTGGCGGTAGGCGTTCTGCAAGTCGTGCAAAAAGAGCACCGGGTCCCAGCCCGAGGCCACAGCCCGGCGGATGATGTCGACGATGTCGCCGAGGAAGTGGTGTGTCGGGACGTCGTTGTGGCCCGATCGTCGCCAATCCTCACCACTGAGGTCTCCATGCTCGTCCAGCTGGGTGATGGCGAAGGAGAGGGCGGCGAAGCAGTCGCCCCGAGGCGGCTCCATGGCGACTCCCCAGCCGTCCGGGGCCCGGCAAGGGCCAACCACTCGCCCCAGGCGGGCTTCTTTGACCAGCTCCTCCCTGAGGGCGGCCGTGTGCTCCGAGTCGTGGGGGCGGAGTGTCTTGGCCGCCACGTAGGCTGGGTTCTCCCGACAAGGCGGTCGAGGGGCGCTGGGAGTACAGCCCATCGTCGCGGGTTCTCCATCCAGTCGCCGAGCATGTCGAAGCCTTCCTCGAGGTCGGTGCGCAGGTCCTGGGTCGCCGGGTAACCGCCCCTTTGGAGCAAGTCCAGGAGGATTTGAAAGGGCCCAGACCGATCGGATGTGCAATACGCCAACGGGCGCGGAACTCGAGCATGTTCTCCAGGGCCGGTTCCAGGGACGGCGGTGAAGCCGCCCTCCAATGTTCGTCCTCGGAGAGGCCGTCGCCGAGGAACGGGGGGTCAGGCCGAGGCGGTGGCGTGAAGTCCCAGCCGCGCGCACCACCTCGGGCGGAGGACGTCTTTGGCGGCGGAGGCTGCGACATCATCTCGCGCATCTTGCGCTCGATGCGTGACCGCATGGCATCCTGATACGTGGCGTCATAGTGCAGGGGGCCCATGCCTGCCAACGCCCGCTGGGCGTTCTCCCGATCAATCGCCCGGCGCTGGGTTTCGTAGGGCGGCGTCTTGGGCCCCGAAGGCGACGCCTCAGGAGGCGGGACTGGCGCCTTCTTGACGGGCAGGGCCGTCTGAACGCCCGAGGGTGGCGGAGCCGAGCTAAACATCCCACTGGCCGGGCGCCCCGCCTCAACCGCGCCGCCCGTCGCCGCAACCTCCACATCTTCCAAAGGAGGCGGAGGGGCCTTGGCGAAGGTCTTGGGCGCCGCCACCTGTTCCACCAACTCCGGCGGGGGCGCCTTCTTAGGCGGCTTGGCGACAGCCGGCGTGGACGCCACGCCCAAAGGGCGACCAGAAGGCGACGATGCCGTAGGCGCCTGCCGGGCAGAACGCCCCAAACAGCATGGGCAGCGTTGTGTCAAAGCCCTGGAGATAGCCCGCGAGCCCGGTCTCGCCCTCCAAGTCGTCGTCGCCATCGTCCGGGACGGGAAGGTCGACCGCCTCGACGTGCCCGCCGCCCGGCGGGGCGTCGTCGTGGTGCATGGCCGCTCCGCCTGGTCTCAGGCGCGGAGGGACCGGGCACCACCGACGAAGAAGCCCCAGACGGGGCGAGCCAAGCCTCAGCGGGCGTGCCGCCCGACGGGGCCCCCGAAGACGCCGAAGGGACCGGCAAGGGCAATGGCGTAGCCGTCAAGGTCGTGCTCGCTGGCGGCGTAGTCCCTGACGGCTCACCTCCTCCTCTTCGTCGCCCGATTGGACGGAATCGAGCTGCGCGCCCGTCGCAGGCGCGACCTCCACCAAGGACGTAGAAGGCGGTGAGGGCGAAGAAATGCCCCACCACGTCCAGCCCGGCCGCCGCCAGGCGAGGAGGATGCCATATCAGCGACGAGAGGCGCAAGGACGAGAGGAGACAATTCGAAAAGGCGATCGAGCCGGCAAGCTGCGGCCGATCGCTGGCGATTGTTCCTACACGCACACGTGCGTTACACCACAAAACGCAAACGCGCACACGTGCACGCATTACAAAGCTCGCCAACTTACATGTTGACAACTTACAGCAGCTCCTCTCTCTCAGGCTAGAAGGAGCTTTGCCCCAGATCAGACTTCACGTTCTCTCTTTCAACCACTGGGGCTGCAGCTCGTTGCTGCTCCTCCATACAGGACTCAAGGATCCTTCGGCGATGAGCGTCCTGGCTTCACAAACTGGGGCCCTCTGTGACTGCGACTGCTGCGACTGGGGAGCCCGGCTTCTGCATCGTCTTGCCGACGGATGCTTGCACAAAGACCGCTGGCCTAACTACAAATTCCACCAGTTTCGGCTTAAGGAGATTTGGAACTGAGACAGTCGCAGGCCATTTCGATCCTCGATGGCAAGAGGACATGAAAAACAGAACGCGACAGTGGGCCGACGCTGAGTGCGATGCTCGCAGTTGGAGATTGAAGGCTCCCAGCACGCGAAGCTGCAATCGCCCGACCTTTGCGAACCCCTCAATCGAACAGGCGGTACGAGTAGGATACAGCAGCCGGGCACGCAATGGCACCTTTTGCTTCTGTCTTGCTTCGCTGTACATGTTAATCGGGGCCAAGACCGTCGGGGAAAATGGCCTTTAGCCTGGGCTCTTCCCAGGGTGGGGACTCTTTGGTACCCTATCGAGGCCTGATCAGTTGATTGATCGGCAAGTCGGCTACTCTTTATCGATCGTGCTGCCCTTGCTCTTGCCCGCCTTGGCCTCAGGGTCGTAGTCCCGAGTTTCTGCGATTGCGTCCTGCAGCGCCGTAGTCCAGGCGACCGCATCCTCATGAGATGCGGCCCTGAGAGTCAGGGAGTAGTTCACCTCGGATCTCTGCACCGAATCTAATCGACAGCCGGTAGCCTTCCGGTCCGGTCCCCGGGATTCTGCGCTGAGCGTCGGTGCTCACCACGAAATGCCTCTCTGGCGTGTCAACCGAGCACCGTCGGCAATGCTCGTCGATGTACGCGTCCGATATCCAGGAGAGGTGGACCCGGCCGCACGTGAGCCTGCAGTGGGTTTGGTTGAGACTTTCAGCCGACTCGGCGGGCCGGACTCAGGCCCGCGGCCCGCAGGCTCCGCACCTGTGTAGAAACGCCTCCTGTGACGCTTGCGAGCCAGCCGGAGCGGCCGGAACTTGCAACTCCCGGATCATCCACTCCACCTCAGGGCAGCTGGTTTGCGGCGAAGGGAGACGCGCGCCTCTTTGTGAGAAGGCTCCCTCTGCTGCTCCTCGTCGTGACTCCTTAGAGTGTGCATTACATCCGCAAAGCCGGCGAATCACGCGAAGCTAAGACCAAGCTTCTCTGCATTCACTTGTTCGCTTTCCTGCCATCGCATGTCCAGCTCCGTCAACCTGAGTCAGACTCAGACGCGGCAGGCGCGGCAGGTGCTGTCGGAGCAGCCATGCCAGGTGGCACCATCCACCTCCTCACGCCGGTCACTTCCCAAGGAGCGGCCTGGCATGCGCCATGCTGGCCATGATCAGCAATCAGCAATGCAGGAAGGAACGAAGGAACGGCAAGCGGCAGCTTGGCGAGCCTCGGTTGTTTGCCCATCGGGCCCCACAAAGCTGAGATCGCTCAGCTCCAACATGCCTGACAGACGCTTAGGCTGGGCACTCTCGGCGACGGACACAGAGGGGCGCCTTGTCGCCGAATTTGGGGAGTCTTGTCCGCGAGGAAGTTGCGGGAATTCAGCATGTCCTCACAGTGCAGCGGCACTGACGCGCCAGCTGGATGCCGTTGCCATGCTGCCGAGCATCCGCCCACTTCACGGGGACTCGTTGCAGGACCTCCTTGTGCCAGAGCATGCCCTCGTTCTCGCAGCTGAAGGCCACAGGCGGCAGGTCCGGCAGGTCGGCCTGGGCAGCGGCAAACCGCGGAGAGACACTGACACCCCGACACAGGTCCCGAACTCCGGCCCGGCGTCCTCTGCGTCGGATTGGGCATTTTTCTCGGCAACTTCTTGGAGGCGTTCCTCCAAGTGAAGCTGGAGCCAGGTCTCCGTATCCCGGTAGCCGAGCTCGTAAAGATGCCGCAACAGCGTTTGAGATGGTGGGAAGACGCCGAAGGAGCCGGGCACGAACTCGGAGGGCCCTATGTCCGCTCGTTGCCCCGTGAGTTTCAAAACGTCCACTCCTGCGCAAAAGGGCTTCACCGTGATCGACGTCTCATCCAAAGTGGGGAGGAAGTTCTTGAAAGCGCCGTCGGCGACCTGCCGCTCCTCGCCTTCCTCGTCCTGGAAGGTGAAGGGGAGCCCCGAGATTCCACAGGTGGAGGAGGCCTCAGAGACATCACGGACACCACGTGACACCGTGACTATAATAGTGACATAGCAGGCATGGCATGGTTCCGTGGTGCGGCAGGGAGGCCAGCAAGGCTACAGCCACGTCGGCCGTGCTGCTGAAATTCTTGAGCCGATGCTCCCGGCCGTTCAACATCATGTTGATAAAGCGGCCGGGGCCCTTGTTCTGCGTAGAGGACACCCCAATCTCCAGGCGACGGGATTCGAAGACTGGATGTTGAAACGAACCTGAGGTGAACTACGATTGCACGAAGGAAGGCCTTCCTGGTCCTAGCCTCTGACTCTGAAGCGCTGAAGCGTCAAGGACCAGCCCCAGCCCCCCAGCCCCCCAGCCCGAGACGCCATCTTGCAGGATCTCCTTCATCGCCTTCAGCACGAACTTCCGGAGCAAGAAGGCCTTCTCAGGCCTTTGGTGGAGGATCTGCGCGGACTGCAAAAGTACCTCCAAAGGCTTCCGTGGGTCGGCGCCGTACATCATGATGCAAGCGGCCAAAGCACCGCCAGAGGCCCCGGATACACGCACATAGGGGTTCTTGGCGATGCCTTATCAGGAACCCCACCGGCAGTTGCACAAAGATAGAGAGAATTGCAGGCGAAGAAGAGAAAAGGAGGGAGCAACTGAGAACCTAGATTGCAGTGTGGCCGCCATGATTCTGCAAGCACTCGGCCACACCAAGCTGATAGATCACAAGCCACCCCGACGCCGAGAATGACAAGCTGAGACCCTTCAGGTACGCAAGCCTGTCACTTGTCTGGCGGGGAGGCAACGACAGCGTCTCCAGACTCCAGGTTGTGTCGCTTCTCTTCACGATGTAGGATCCCCCGCGCACGACGTGAGAGCGCAGCTTCGCATCCTTCGTATCGCTCACGGATAGATGGAAGTCAAAGTTCCAAGACTCGCCCGGATCGAAGGTGAGGCTCCCCCCTGCCGTGGCATGCATGACGGTATGAGGAACGCTTTCACGTTCGCGCTTTCGCATGCAACCCGTCCCACCGCGCCTTCCGGCAAATCTAGCACCTGCAAAAAGCCGCCCAGGAGGTTTGGCTCGGCAAAGCGGACCTTTGCAGCTCCGAGAAAGCGGAGAAATCCAAAACCCAAGCCGCAGCACATGCTTGAAGCCCTCATTTGTTAGGGCAAGGCGAGCCTGCAAGTCCTCCCCAGCATGGTTCTGCAGGTGGACGCCGCCGTGATGGCAGCGTCGAAGGTCATGAACTCCGGCGTGCTTGCGGAGGCCAGTCACAGGCTTTACAGGCTTGGCGGGCGCAAGGCCGTTGGAGCTAGAACAGCCCATCCATGCCCATCCAAGAGTATCTGACGGATCTGACGTTTGGGGAGGCTTACCTAGCACTGAGCAGCGCTGGTTCTGTTGCAACGCTTTAGCTGACTCTAGCCTCTACTCTAGCCTATATACACCGCTTAGTGCCATAATCAACATAACATGTTTAATACTCTCTTGGGATTTATATGAACAAAAATAAAAGTACTTCTTAAGGAGACTATAGTAGCTCCTGTGCTCGTTGAGAGCTACGTTTGCATGTCTGATGGTTTCTGTAGTGGGGTGCCTGCGCAAACAAGCAGGCCGCGGCAGGACGCAGTATGACGCAGTCAGGGTCAGGGTTGCAGAAGTGCAGGCCGAGCGCTCAGGGCTCGACCACGCGGCTTCCGGCAGCCAGGTTGCCGCCGATGTGGCGACTTGCCTTCGAAAGAGTGCCCGGGGAGGGGCCGCCCCGGCTTTTGATTGCAGGAAGCTCCGGGCCTTCACCGCTTCCAGAACTTGCAGCTCCACGCCGCAGTCTGCGGAGCCACCGGCAGAGTCCTGGCAAGAAGGGGGCTGCGTGCCAGAGGCTTCGAACGGTTCGAGCGGTCGTGCCGGCCGTCAAGAGGTACTGAGACATCTTCTCAGATCGGGGGTCTGGACGATAAATCTGGCAAGACCTGAAGCATCTCCGTGAGAGCTCGAGCTTCTCCTTCGGCCTCTTTGGTTTAAGCCGGCGACCCAATCAGCATGCCATCGGAAAACTCCACCCGCAGAGTGAGCAGCGGCGACTCCTCTGCGGCGAGATCTCGGCAATCTCCGAAGCTGCTCTGTCTGCTCTCTATGTTGAGACGGCTTCCCTTCCGAAGCGGTCCGTGCGGAGCGCCAGTTCCCCCTCGGGCCCCAGATGGACTGTGCTGCATGGGCTGATGGCGCTCGCAGCGCTCTCGGAGCGCACCTGCCGCGAGTCGCGAGCTCCGAGAGTTGAAATCGCTTTCCGGTGGCAGCCGTTGGACCTCCGGCGTGGCTGCGAGTTGGCCGAGCTGGTCCAGCACCCTCACCTGAGGTGCAGCGAGGCCAGCTGCCGCCATTGCTTTTCGGAGCCCACCAGGAGCCCCGCCACGTAGTTCTTCTGCGGCCGGCTGGGCACGTCCAAGAGCCGTGACACCTCCGAGTCCGACACGGAAGGTGACAGCATTTAAGATTCACCTTGACAGAGCTTGAACCCTTGCAGTGCTCCAAGCCTTTACGGCCACCTCTCGACCAAGTGCTGGCGTTCCCGGTGTGGGTAGCGGCGGTGGTGGGGGAACGCCGCTCCGGGCCAGCGGTGGTGGGTCTCAGCGAATCTTTCATCTTTGGCTCCGCCTCGAGTCTTTTCGCGGACGTCTGAGGCAGCAGCCGAAGGAGATATCCTGCTGCGAGCCGGGTCTGGGCTCCTCAGGCGGACGGTTGAAGGAAGTGGGGGTTTGCAAAGGGCCCAGCCTTCTGAGGTCGAGACCGTCCTGGGCTGGGACTGGGACTGCCCCGCTCCGGGTGGGAAATCTGCCGGCGGGCCTCACAGGATGCTGCATCACGATGCATCACGATATATCATGATGCATCATAGGCCCCGGGCCTCTGGGAGAGCTTGAAGCCGCTTCCGGCAGAGTCGTCTTTTCGAGCTCCTCCCCGTCACACGATGTAATACGTAAATTTGAGGCTAGACTGCTACAAGGCTGCAAGTATAGTGAGGCTTCCTGCGCCCCTTCGAAGATGGTTAGCTCCACCTGGGCAAAAAGAAAGACCTTGAGGAACGCCTCACTCATCCTCGCAAAGGTCCTCTCTTCCACACATAAAATTGCGTCATACATCTCGGCTCTTCGGCGCCGCAGGTTGGCACGTCGGCTTCGTTCTCCCAGCAGCTGTACGTGTTCGGCTTGGCGGACCGGGGGTCCATCCTGACAGCAGAAAACCGAGGACCCCGACCTGCCTTGCTGCCTTACTTTCTCTCTTTCTTGTCTGCCACTCCTGCTCAAGGAGCACCGCGCAATCCGCCGGCCGTCTTCGTACTGGAGCTCAATGAGAATCCCCACGCCGCCTCGCCAGCATTGGCTTTCAAGAAGCGCCCGGGTCCGGGTCAGTACCCGCGAGGCTCAGAGGCCGGCGAGTGGAGAGCCTAAGCATTCCCTGTTCCTCTGACAGGCTGAAGGTCTCCTGAGAGAAAACAAGCAACAAGCAACAAAAGAGTCCAAGGTGAGGCGGTGGGCCCCAAAAGGCACCTTCTTCTCCTGGGCGGGCGCCTTGCCTCCAAGCCTGAAGTCTTCTGAGAAGAGCTCGGGGCGGACTGAGCCTGACTGAGCCGCTGGCTTTTCCAACTTCCCCAGGAGTTTCTCCTCGTCCGAGGCCAGCAAGGTGTAGCGCAGGGGCCGGCCATCGCGGAACTCCCGCGGCCTCGGGCAGCTTTCCCTCCCCAAAGCTCCAACACCTCCCAGTGCTCAGGCAACAGCAGGTCAAGCAGCTTGCTGATGTGCACCTCAGCAAAATGGAGAATTCAGTTGGTGATGGCACCGTCGCAGCTCTCGCAGCTTGGCCCCGCCGCCCCGCCTGCACCTGGTCTGTGATCCAGCCGCTCTCCACCTGCAGGCGATGCAAACTCTTGGCTCCGGTCGGAGTGACACTGATGAGCGGCAGGCCATCGTCTGCCAGTGAGCCATGGCTTCCGGACTCTCCTCGCCGTCCGACGGCAGTCCTCGCGACGTCGACGGGCAAAAGTGCTTAAAGGCAGAGCGGCGGGGTCTCCTGACAAGCTCCGCAGGTGCCCTCCGGAGAAGCCTGGGCCCTGGCTGCCCTGGCTCCGCATGGAGCCGCCAGGAAGCGTCGTCATGTTCGAAGCCCTGCCGGAGGCACCCGAAGCAAAGGGGCTCCCATGGGCATCGCCACGGCCTGGGCGATTGGCGAAAATCGAAATCTCCCCCGAGCTCTTCATTGCTACTCAGGGCCGTGCCAGAAGAGTACATGGCTACGGCCGAGTTCAGATCACGTCCATGCCTCTTCCATCACTCCCCCCATCCCAGCACCGAAGGCTCTGCATGTCTTTACGTGACGATACAAGATATACATGTCTAGTAAATCTCCCGCTTCGGATTCCATGCACCATCCCACCAACCGGCCCCGTTATATCATATGCCGACATCTTCCTTGGACCAATACTTGCCCAGATCATGCTTGGGCCTCCTGCTGCACGCGAAGGCGCGGCCAATTCCAGCATGTTTGCATGTGATCCCGCGAGAAGGAGCCCAGTGTCGTGGGTTTGCGTGTGAGTCCGGCGAATCAGACGAGCGCCCCTTTGCTTTTCGCCGAGCAATGGCTTGGGTACTTTGCCCCACTAAACGTGCTGCTCCTGCTGCGTTCCTCCCGGCGCGGCTGGCAAGCATGCGCGCAAGCTACCGATGATTTCGACTCTTCGTGGTACACGGACGGTGCGCACAGTCCGGGAACAGTCCAGGCAGCTCTTCCGCAGCTTGCTTGGATGCCGCACTGGCTGCAGGAAGACTTTCATGCCTGAAACATCGGCCACAAGTTGAGCCATCTCAAATTGTGTGAGTTGGTCACCACCTTGCCAGTGGTAGATACCACGTGGCCGCTGCTCCCTTGGTCCCCAGGTCAACTGGAGAAGGTTGGCGACAATAGAGGCCACCTCCACCGCCGGTGTGGGGTAGCAGCAATGCCTATCTTCGAACTCGCGAACCCCGCGTCTCAGCTCTGATAGAACGCCTCGCTTGGCACAAAACAGACATGGGGACTCAACTGAAAATGCAATATAAGCTCAAGATGTGCAAGTTGAGGAGAGGCGCGACTGGCAGATTCCTCCAGCGACTGTGCGGGACCCGCAGGGCCATCCCAAAGCAGTGGCAGACGTAGCACCGCGGAAGCGCGGCGGCTGAGCACCTCCTGCTCCGCGGCCAAGGTGCGCCATCCCAGCGGTGTGCAGGGCTGTGGCTCTGCATCCACGCTCTGAGGCTGCGAATGCTGTGTTTGCTGGCGCGTGCCAAAGACGGCATCGGAGCTCACGTGGAGGAGGAAGATCTGAGAGGCCTCACAAGCTGTTGCCAGCGAAGTCAGAAAGGCCAAGACCTCGCGGGACCGAGCATCCTTCTCCTTCTCGGGAGACGACTCCGACTCGGACTCCAACTCCAACAAGGCCGCAGAAGTGTGACAGTTCACGAGAGCATGTGGCTGGAATCCTTGCAGATGGCTCTGCAGCTCACCGCTGCTGAGCTCCATGTTCAGAAGACTCCAAAGTGGCCCGTCGACCGGTGGGCTGCTGCACAAACCCTGAGCCTGAACCTCCCAGCCTTTGGAAAGTTCTTGCAAAACCTCAGTGCCCATATAGCTGGAGCCCAGGACAAGGACACGAGGCTGAGAGCCGGAGCAGGAGCAACGAGAGCTGTCAGAGCACAGGGAATTCGCTGCCCGTTGTGGCCGCAGTGCCAATGCCCCAGGCCGAGCGAAGCTGACATCGGCCAGAAGCCCTTCCACATCTTCCTCCCTCACCTGCACGAACAGGGAGCAGCAGTTGAGAGTTTCGCAGGAGCACCATGGACCCACCCAGGACCTAGAAGCACCCCTGTTCAGCTAATGTAGCTCGCATTGTCGCGCCGATCGACTCCGGGGGCGAGTGGTGAGTTGACTCTTGTGTTGGACGTGTTGGGTCAAACATTGAAAGACATGCATGTCTCTGTCTGTAAGTATGTAGGTAGCTATGGGTAGGCAGGTCGGTACGTAGGTCGGTAGGTAGGCAGGTTGGTATGCAGTGGTAGGTATAGGTACGTAAGTACCTATGCATGGTTATGCATGTCTGTATCTTTGCCACCGAAACAGATGGATGAACGTCTGCGTTGCAGGTGTGTAGCTGTGTGTGAGTGTAACTAGATAGGCAGGAACATAGACAGGCGTACACATGTACATACGACATGTTTTTGGACGGAGGTATCTATGTCTATATGCGTATGTATCTACGCACATGCATACATATTCATTTGCACATCCTAGCTTCGTGTGAATGTGGCTTGCTCAACGCAGGTTCTCGCGATCCCGGTGATCGGGTTGTGGTTCATTGTGGTACATTTGTATCACTGCGCAGTCTGGTCTTGGGCCTCCATAGCAGATCGCAGTGCTCCAGGAGACAAAGACGGTGTCAAGCCACGCGAGAAGCCCTTCGGACCCTGCTGCTGCACCATCTGCCTCTCCACCTGCGTCCACTGTTGAACATGCGCGCCATGTTAAACAAACAAGAAACGAGCGAAAAAGCAGAAGGAGAATTCGGATGGCTCCGGCCCGCGCGATGTTAAACAAATAAGAAACGAGCGAAAAGGCAGAAGGAGAATTCGGATGGCTCCGGCCCGCGACATGTTAAACATATAAGAAACGAGCGAAAAGGCAGAAGGAGAATTCGGATGCCTCCGGCCCGCGCCATGTTAAACAAATAAGAAACGAGCGAAAAGGCACAAGGAGAATTCGGATGGCTCCGGCCCACGCCATGTTAAACAAATAAGAAACGAGCGAAAAGGCAGAAGGAGAATTCGGGTGGCCCCGGCCCGCACCATATTAAACACATAAGAAACAAGCGAAAAGGCACAAGGAGAATTCGGATGGCTCCGGCCCGCACCATGTTAAACAAATGAGAAACGAGCGAAAAAGGAAGAAGGAGAATTCGGATGGCTCCGGCCCGCACCATGTTAAACAAATAAGAAATGAGCGAAAAAGCAGAAGGAGAATTCGGATGGCTCCGGCCATCGCCATGTTAAACAAATAGAAACGAGTGAAAAGGCAGAAGGAGAATTCGGATGGCTCCGGCCCGCACCATGTTAAACAAATGAGAAATGAGCGAAAAAGCAGAAGGAGAATTCGGATGGCTCCGGCCCGCGCCATGTCAAACAAATCAGAAACGAGCGAAAAGGCAGAAGGAGAATTCGGATGGCTCCGGCCCGCGCCAAATAAAAAACCCGCGCAAAGGCAGAAGGAGAATTCGGATGGCTCCGGCCCGCGCCATGTTAAACAAATAAGACACGAGCGAAAAGACAGAAGGAGAATTCGGATGGGTCCGGCCCGGGCCATGTGAAACAAATAAGAAACGAGCGAAAAGGCAGAAGGAGAATCCGGATGGCTCCGGCCCGCCATGTTAAATAAAAAAGAAACGAGCGAAAAGGCAGAAGGAAACTTCGGATGGCTCCGGCCCGCTCCATGTTGTTCAAATAAGAAACGAGCGAAAAGGCAGAATGCGAATTCGGATGGCTCCGGCCCGTGCCATGTTAAACAAATACGAAACGAGGGAAAAGGCAGAAGGAGAATTCGGATGGCTCCGGCCCGCGCCATGTTAAACAAATACAAAACGAGCGAAAAGGTAGAAGGATAATTCGAATGGCTCCGGCCTGCGCCATGTTAAAAAAATGAAAAACGAGCGAAAAGGCAGAAGGAAACTTCGGATGGCTCCGGCCCGCGTCATGTTGAACAAATAGAAACGAGCGAAAAGGCAGAAGGAGAATTCGCATGGCTCCGGCCCGCGCCATGTTAAACAAATACGAAACGAGGGAACAGGCAGAAGAAGAATTCGGATGGCACCGGCCCGCGCCATGTTAAGCCAATACGAAACGAGCGAAAAGGCAGAAGGAGAATCCGAATGGCTACGGCCTGCGCCATGTTAAAAAATGGAAAAACGAGCGAAAAGGCAGAAGGAAATTTCGGATGGCTCCGGCCCGCGCCATGTTGAACAATTAAGAAACGAGCGAAAAGGCAGAAGGAGAATTCGGATGGCTCCGGCCCGCGCCATGCTAAACAAATAAGAAACGAGCGAAAAGGCAGAAGGAGAATTCGGATGGCTCCGGCCCGCGTCATGTTCAACAAATAAGAAACGAGCGAAAAGGCAGAAGGAGAATTCGGATGGCTCCGGCCTTCGCCATGTTAAACAAATAAGAAACGAGCGAAAAGGCAGAAGGAGAATTCGGACGGCTCCGGCCCGCTGCATGTTTAACAAATTAAGAAACGAGCGAAAAGGCAGAAGGAGTATTCGGATGGCTCCGGCCCGCGCCATGTTAAACGAATCAGAAACTGAAAATGCAGAAGAAGAAATCGGATGGCTCCGGCCCGCGCCACGTTGAACAAATAAGAAACGAGCGAAAAGGCAGAAGGAGAATTCGGATGGCTCCGGCCCGCACCATGTTAAATAAATAAGAAGCGAGCGAAAAGGCAGAAGGAGAATTCGGATGGCTCCGGCCCGCGCCATGTTAAACAGATAAGAAACGAGCGAAGAGCCATCCGGCCCGCGCCATGCGAAAAGGCAGAAGGAGAATTCGGATGGCTCCGGCACTCCGGCCCGCGCCATGTTAAACAAACGAGCGAAAAGGCACAATGAGAATTCGGATGGCTCCGGCCCGCGCCATGTTCAACAAACAAGAAACGAGAGAAAAGGCAGAAGGAGAATTCGGATGGCTCCGGCCCGCGCCATATTAAACAAATAAGAAACGAGCGAAAAGGCAGAAGGAGAATTCGGACGGCTCCGGCCCGCGCCATGTTAAACAAATAAGAAACGAGCGAAAAGGCAGAAGGAGAATTCGCATGGCTCCAGCCCGCGCCATGTTATTCCGATAAGAAACGAGCGAAAAGGCAGAAGGAGAATCCGGATGGCTCCGGCCCGCGCCATGTTAAACAAATAAGAAACGAGCCAAATTCAAGACGGAGAATTCGGATGGCTCCGGCCCGTGCCATGTTAAACAAATCAGAAACGAGCGAGAAGGCGCAAGGAGAATTCGGATGGCTCCGGCCCGTGCCATGTTCAACAAATAAGAAGCGAGCGAGAAGGCGCAAGGAGAATTCGGATGGCTCCGGCCCGCGCCATGTTAAACAAATACGAAACGAGCGAAAAGACAGAAGAAGACGACTTCGGATGGCTCCGGCCCGCGCCATGTTAAACTGAACAAGAAACGAGCGAAAAAGCAGAAGGAGAATTCGGATGGCTTCGGCACTCCGGCCCGCGCAATGTTAAACAAACGAGCGAAAAGGTACAAGGAGAATTCGGATGGCTCCGGCCCGCGCCATGCTAAGCAAAAAAGAAACGAGCGAAAAGGCAAAGGAGAATTCGGATGGCTCCGGCCCGCGCCATATTAAACAAATAAGAAACGAGCGAAAAGGCAGAAGGAGAATTCGGACGGCTCCGGCCCGCGCCATGTTAAACAGATAAGAAACGAGCGAAAAGGCAAAGGAGAAATCGGATGGCTCCGGCCCGCGCCATGTTAAACAGACAAGAAACGAGCGAAAAGGCAGAAGGAGAATTCGGATGGCTCCGCGCCCGCGCCATGTTAAACAGATAAGAAACGAGCGAAAAGGCAAAGGAGAATTCGGATGGCTCCGGCCCGCGCCATGTTAAAGAACTAAGAAACGAGCGAAAAGGCAGAAGGAGAATTCGGATGGCTCCGGCCCGCGCCGTGTTAAACAAATTCGAAACGAGTGAAAAGGCAGAAGGAGAATTCGGATGGCTCCGGCCCACGCCATGTTATTCAAATAAGAAACGAGCGAAAAGGCAGAAGGAGAATTCGGATGGCTCCGGCCCGCGCCATGTTAAACAAATCGAAACGAGTGAAAAGGCAGAAGGAGAATTCGGATGGCTCCGGCCCGCACCATGTTAAACAAATAAGAAATGAGCGAACAAGCAGAAGGAGAATTCGGATGGCTCCGGCCCGCGCCATGTTATTCAAATAAGAAACGAGCGAAAAAGCAGAAGGAGAATTCGGACGGCCGGCGCCACGTTAAACAAATAGAAACGAGCGAAAAGGCAGAAGGAGAATTCGGAAGGGTCCGGCCCGCGCTATGCTAAACAAATAAGAAACGAGCGAAAAGGAACAAGAAGAATTCGGATGGCTCCGGCCATCGCCATGTTAAACAAATAACAAACAAATAAGAAACGAGCGAAAAGGCAGAAGGAGAATTCGAGTGGCTCCGGCCAGTGCAATGCTAAGCAAATAAGAAACCAGCGAATAGGCAGAAGGAGAATTCGGATGGCTCCGGCCCGCGCCATGTTAAAGAAATAAGAAACGAGCGAAAAGGCACAAGGAGAATTCGGATGGCTCCGGCCCGTGCCATGTTAAACAGACAAGAAACGAGCGAAAAGGCAGAAGGAGAATTCGGATGGCTCCGGCCCGTGCCATGTTAAACTCATAAGAAACGAGCGAGAAGGCAGAAGAAGAAGAATTCGAATGGCTCCGGCCCGCGCCATGTTAAACTCATAAGAAACGAGCGAGAAGGCAAAAGAAGAAGAATTCGAATGGCTCCGGCCCGCGCCATGTTAAACAAATACGAAACGAGCGAAAAGGCAGAAGGAGAATTCGGATGGCCCCGGCCCGCGCCATGTTAAACAAACAAGAAGCGAGCGAAAAAGCAGAAGGAGAATTCGGATGGCTCCGGCCCGCGCCATGTTAAACAAATAAGAAACGGGCGAAAATGCAGACGGAAAATTCGGATGGCTCCGGCCCGCGCCATGTTAAACAAATACGAAACGAGCGAAAAGGCAGAAGGAGAATTTGGTTCCGGCCCGCGCCATGTTAAACAAACAAGAAACGAGCGAACAAGCAGAAGGATAATTCGGATGGCTCCGGCCCGCGCCATGCTAAACAAATAAAAAACGAGCGAAAAGGCAGAAGAAGAATTCGGATGGCTCCGGCCCGCGCCATGTTATTCAAATAAGAAACGAGCGAGAAGGCACAAGGAGAATTCGGATGGCTCCGGCCCGCGCCATGTTATTCAAATAAGAAACGAGCGAAAAAGCAGAAGGAGAATTCGGATGGCTCCGCCATGTTAAACAAATAAGAAACAAGCGAAAAGGCAGAAGGAGAATTCGGATGGCTCCGGCCCGCGCCATGTCAAACACATAAGAAACGAGCGAACTGGCACAAGGAGAATTCGGATGGCTCCGGCCCGCGCCATGTTAAAGAAACAAGAAAAGAGCAAAAAGGCAGAAAGGGAATTCCGATGGCTCCGGCCCGCACCGTGTTAAACAAATACGAAACGAGCGAAAAGGCAGAAGGAGAATTCGGATGGCTCCGGCCCGCACCATGTTAAACAAATTCGAAACGAGTGAAAAGGCACAAGAAGAATTCGGATGGCTCCGGCCCGCGCCATGTTCAACAAATAAGAAACGAGCGAAAAGTCAGAAGGAGAATTCGGATGGCTCCGGCCCGCGCCATGTTAAACAAATAAGAAACGAGCGAAAAGGCAGAACGAGAATTCGGATGGCTCCGGCCAGCGCCATGCTAAACAAATAAGAAACGAGCGAACAGGAACAAGAAGAATTCGGATGGCTACGGCCCGCGCCATGTTAAACAAATAACAAACAAATAAGAAACGAGCGAAAAGGCAGAAGGAGAATTCGGATGGCTCCGGCCCGCGCTATGCTAAAAAAATAAGAAACGAGCGAAAAAGCAGAAGGAGAATTCGGATGGCTCCGGCCCGCGCCATGTTAAACAAATAAGAAACGAGCGAAAAGGCAGAAGGAGAATTCGGATGGCTCCGACCCGCGCCATGTTCAACAAATAAGAACCGAGCGAACAGGCAGAAGGAGAATTCGGATGGCTCCCGCGCCATGTTAAACAAATAAGAAACGAGCGAAAAGGCAAAGGAGAATTCGCATGGCTCCGGCCCGCGCCATGTTAAACAGATAAGAAACGAGCGAAAAGGCAAAGGAGAATTCGGATGGTTCCGGCCCGTGCCATGTTATTCAAATAAGAACCGAGCGAAAAGGCACAAGGAGAATTCGGATGGCTCCGGCCCGCGCCATGTTAAACAAATAAGAAACGAGCGAAGAGGCAGCATGAGAATTCGGATGGCTCCGGCCCGCGCCATGTTAAACAGATAAGAAACAAGCGAAAAGGCAGAAGGAGAATTCGGATGGCTCCGACCCGCGCCATGTTCAACAAATAAGAACCGAGCGAACAGGCAGAAGGAGAATTCGGATGGCTCCCGCGCCATGTTAAACAAATAAGAAACGAGCGAAAAGGCAAAGGAGAATTCGCATGGCTCCGGCCCGCGCCATGTTAAACAGATAAGAAACGAGCGAAAAGGCAAAGGAGAATTCGGATGGTTCCGGCCCGTGCCATGTTATTCAAATAAGAACCGAGCGAAAAGGCACAAGGAGAATTCGGATGGCTCCGGCCCGCGCCATGTTAAACAAATAAGAAACGAGCGAAGAGGCAGCATGAGAATTCGGATGGCTCCGGCCCGCGCCATGTTAAACAGATAAGAAACAAGCGAAAAGGCAGAAGGAGAATTCGGATGGCTCCGACCCGCGCCATGTTCAACAAATAAGAACCGAGCGAACAGGCAGAAGGAGAATTCGGATGGCTCCCGCGCCATGTTAAACAAATAAGAAACGAGCGAAAAGGCAAAGGAGAATTCGCATGGCTCCGGCCCGCGCCATGTTAAACAGATAAGAAACGAGCGAAAAGGCAAAGGAGAATTCGGATGGCTCCGGCCCACGCCATGTTAAACAAATCAGAAACGAGCGACAAGGCAGAAGGAGAATTCGGATGGCTCCGGCCCGCGCCGTGTTAAACAAATTCGAAACGAGTGAACAGGCAGAAGGAGAATTCTGATGGCTCCGGCCCGCGCCATGTTAAACAAATAAGAAACGAGCCAAAATGCAGACGGAGAATTCGGATGGCTCCGGCCCGCGCCATGTTATTCAACTAAGAAACGAGCGAAAAGGCACAAGGAGAATTCGGATGGCTCGGCCCGCGCCATGTTAAACAAATACGAAGCGAGCGAAAAGGCAGAAGGAGAATTCGAATGGCTCCGGCCCGCGCCATGTTAAGCTAATAAGAAACGAGTGACAAGGCAGAAGAAGAATTCGGATGGCTCCGGCCCGCGCCTTTAAACAAACAAGACACGAGCGAAAAGGCAGAAGGAGAATTCGGATGGCTCCGGCCCGCGCCATGTTAAACAAATAAGAAACGAGCGAAAAGGCAGAAGGAGAATTCGGATGGCTCCGGCCCGCGCATTTAAACAAACAAGAAACGAGCGAAAAGGCAGAAGGAGAATTCGGATGGCTCCGGCCCGCGCCTTTAAACAAACAAGACACGAGCGAAAAGGCAGAAGGAGAATTCGGATGGCTCCGGCCCGCGCCATGTTCAACAAATAAGAAACGAGCGAAAAGGCAAAGGAGAATTCGCATGGCTCCGGCCCGCGCCATGTTAAACAAATAAGAAACGAGCGAAAAGGCAGAAGGAGAATTCGCATGGCTCCAGCCCACGCCATGTTATTCAACTAAGAAACGAGCGAAAAGGCACAAGGAGAATTCGGATGGCTCGGCCCGCGCCATGTTAAACAAATACGAAGCGAGCGAGAAGGCAGAAGGAGAATTCGGATGGCTCCGGCCCGCGCCATGTTAAACAGATAAGAAACGAGCGAAAAGGCAAAGGAGAATTCGGATGGCTCCGGCCCACGCCATGTTAAACAAATCAGAAACGAGCGAAAAGGCAGAAGGAGTATTCGGATGGCTCCGGCCCGCGCCATGTTAAACAAATCAGAAACGAGCGAAAAGGCACAAGGAGAATTCGGATGGCTCCGGCCCGCGCCATGTTATTCCAATAAGAAACGAGCGAAAAGGCAGAAGGAGAATTCGGATGGCTCCGGCCCGCGCCATGTTAAACAAATAAGAAACGAGCCAAATTCAAGACGGAGAATTCGGATGGCTCCGGCCCGCGCCATGTTATTCAACTAAGAAACGAGCGAAAAGGCACAAGGAGAATTCGGATGGCTCGGCCCGCGCCATGTTAAACAAATAAGAAACGAGCGAAAAGGCAGAAGGAGAATTCGCATGGCTCCGGCCCGCGCCATGTTTTTCAAATAAGAACCGAGCGACAAGGCAGAAGGAGAATTCGGGTGGCTCCGGCCCGCGCCATGTTAAACAAATAAGAAACGAGCGAAAAGGCAGAATGAGAATTCGGATGGCTCCGGCCCGCGCCATGTTAAACAAATAGGAAACGAGCGAAAAGGCAGAAGGACAATTCGGATGGCTCCGGCCCGCGCCATGTTGAACAAATAAGAAACTAGCGACAAGGCAGAAGGAGAATTCGGATGGCTCCGGCCCGCGCCATGTTCAACAAATAAGAAACGAGCGAAAAGGCAGAAGGAGAATTCGGATGGCTCCGGCCCGCGCCATGTTAAACAAATAAGAAACGAGCGAAAACGCAGAAGGAGAATTCGCATGGCTCCAGCCCGCGCCATGTTAAACAAATAAGAAACGAGCGAAAAGGCAGAAGGAGAATTCGGATGGCTCCGGCCCGCGCCATGTTCAACAAATAAGAACCGAGCGAGAAGGCAGAAGGAGAATTCGGATGGCTCCGGCCCGCGCCATGTTAAACAAATAAGAAACCAGCGAAAAGGCAGAAGGAGAATTCGGATGGCTCCGGCCCGCGCCATGTTAAACAAAAAACAAACAAATAAGAAACGAGCGAAAAGGCAGAAGGAGAATTCGGATGGCTGTGGCCCGCGCCATGTTAAACAAATAAGAAACGAGCGAAAAGGCACAAGGAGAATTCGGATGGCTCCGGCCCGCGCCATGTTCAACAAATAAGAACCGAGCGAGAAGGCAGAAGGAGAATTCGGATGGCTCCGACCCGCGCCATGTTAAACAAATAACAAACAAATAAGAAACGAGCGAAACGGCAGGCCCGCGCCATGCTAAACAAATCAGAAAAGAGCGAAAAGGCACAAGGAGAATTCGGATGGCTCCGGCCCGCGCCATCTTAAACAAAAAAGAAACGAGCGAAGAGGCACAAGGAGAATTCGGATGGCTCCGGCCCGCGCCATGTTAAACAAATACGAAACGAGCGAAAAGGCAGAAGGAGAATTCGGATGGCTCCGGCCCGCGCCATGTTAAACAAATAAGAAACGAGCGAAAAGGCAGAAGGAGACTTCGGATGGCTCCGACCCGCCCCATGTTAAACAAATAAGAAACGAGCGAGAAGGCAGCAGGAGAATTCGCATGGCTCCGGCCCGCGCCATGTTAAACAAATAAGAAACGAGCGAAAAGGCAGAAGGAGAATTCGCATGGCTCCGGCCCGCGCCATGTTTTTCAAATAAGAACCGAGCGACAAGGCAGAAGGAGAATTCGGGTGGCTCCGGCCCGCGCCATGTTTTTCAAATAAGAGCCGAGCGACAAGGCAGAAGGAGAGTTCGGGTGGCTCCGGCCCGCGCCATGTTAAACTAATACGAAACGAGCGACAAGGCAGAAGAAGAATTCGCATGGCTCCGGCCCGCGCCATGTTAAGCAAATATGAAACGAGCGAAAAGGCACAAGGACAATTCGGATGGCTCCGGCCCGCGCCATGTTGAACAAATAAGAAACTAGCGACAAGGCAGAAGGAGAATTCGGATGGCTCCGGCCCGCGCCATGTTAAACAAATAAGAAACGAGCGAAGAGGCAGAAGGAGAATTCGGATGGCTCCGGCCCGCGCCATGTTAAACAAATAAGAAACGAGCGAAAAGGCAGAAGGAGAATTCGGATGGCTCCGGCCCGCGCCATGTTAAACAGACTAGAAACGAGCGAAAAATTAAGGCCGAAGGAGAATTGATATCGCGCTCCGGCCCCTTGTCCCCGCCCTCCATCTGCGCACCCGATATCGCGCTCCCGCCCCTTGTCCGCGCCCTTAAATTGTCCCCGCCCTCCACCGCGCGCCGTCCGCGCACCCGATATTGCGCTCCCGCTCCTTGTCAGTCCACACTCTCCACCGCGCACCATCCGCGCACCCGATATCGCTCTGCCGCCCCTTGTCCCCGCCCACCGTCCGCGCACCCGATATCGCGCTCTCGCCCCTTGTCCTTGCACGCCCTTTTCGGCGCACCGCGCACCGTCCGCGCACCCGATATCGCGCTCCCGCCCTTGTCCCCGCCCTCCCCGCGCACCCGATATCTCGCTCCCGCTCCTTGTCCCCGCCCTCCACCGCGCACCCGATATCAAGGCCCGTGCACCGTTTAGGCCTCTAAAGCTCTTCCGCCAAGACACGGTCCGATATCGCGCACTTTGCGGTGGAGCACTAAACAAGAACCCAACCCAAGGCCTATCTCAGGTGCACAAGAAGCCACCTCTGCGATGAGCAGGAAGAGCCGCCGCTTCAGTGCGCACCAATCCTGAACTTCCTGCTGCGAGCCAGCCTGCATGAGCTCCAACTGCCGGCAAATGCCACGAAGCTCGTGCAACTGTCGCAGCTGCATAGCGGAATCGTCCTGATCAGCAAAGCGCGTTGCTGGGGCCTCGACACGAGCTGGTGACGTCATGCTCCACCTGCGATCCGCAGCTAGCAATCGGCTTACATGGGTCACAGACATGGCACTTGTTTCTTGCGCCTGGACCTGGCTGTGCCATCAGGAGCCGCATACGAGGAGGGACTGCGGACCTGACGGGCCTTGAGGGCCGTGGCCCTCTCTTGGAAGGAGTCAGAGTCCTCCACTGTACGTGCTATACGTGCTCTTGCTCGTCTTGGCGATGGCAAGCAGACGGAAGGCGCTGCGGCTGGCGACGACAAAAGCGTTGGCACAGGAAACACCACTGATGCCATCGGCCGTTGTGCCAGCGATGGAGTGATGCCATCGGGCGTGCTTTCTGAAGAGAGGGAGGCACGGCTCCACGTGCCGAGTCTCGCCGGCATGGGCTAGAGATCACCTCTGAGGCCGTCAGGAGGAAGCCATGTCACTCTTTCTCGAGTCAGGCCGCATCGAATCTCGGGACATCCCATGCACGCAGCTGCGGAGTGGGGCTGCAACGCCTTGGCACCCTCCAGCTCGCTGTGAAGGAGTACCATCCGATCGGCTACGAAGGACAACACTATGTGCCAGCTGCTGTGGTTGCGCAGTGTCTGGTGCTGTGCTCCGTCGATTCGTTGTGCGTCCATCACTGCATCCTTGGGCTGCTCGAGCTCGCAACTCCGAGCTTCTGCCTAAGCCAAAGACTCAGCTGACTCAGCTGTCTTTCTGCTCCCGCGTCTGTGCCGAGCAAGGCGTATCAGCGTATGAAACAAGTCAAGCTTACAAAAGCATGACACACCCAGCGAGAGCGTTTGGGACAAGCAACTCATTGAAAGAGTCTTTGGTGTGCAGCGAGACTACCGGTCGGTGAAACCCTCAGCACGGACATCCGGGTGTGCACGTACTTTGGCTGAGGAAACTTTTCGGAAAGGAGGACGCGCGCGGGGGGCGGAGTCATAAGTCATAGCTGTCATAACTCTAGATGCCCCTCATGGGGCTCAAGGACTCGATCGCTGTCCTCGAAGTCTCTGGGGTCACAGGCGGCTGGATGCGTCATGGTCGCCTCGTACACGCACTGGCTCGGCTCTCTCACGGTCTCAACGACATGCCTCTCGCCACCTCGGCTCACGTCCCTACACGTTTGCACAAGCGATTTGCAACGTGAAGGTCAACCCGGCAACGAAATCGAGCCGGGCGACACTCGAACTGCACCCGAAGCGAGCGCACGATGCCCGAGAAGCAGCGTTCTCCGTTTTCGAAAAGGCCTACGTGCCGGGCGTTGCTCGCCCAGCCCTTCCAACGACCCAGCCGGACCTCGCTTGGGAGAGACTTGTCGGTGACTGCGGTGACGCGGATCAGATGCTTGCAGTGCTTGCAGCAGAGGGCCGAGGGGCATGACCCTGCGTCGCCTCGCCGAAGGGGCAAATCTTGTAGTTGTACTGACCCAACTGGGCAGTGCCGCACTCGTTGAGGCTTTGGTAGGCGGCGTGGGCGCCCGCAGCCAACTCCATCTTCTCTCGGAGCTCCTTCAGAGAACGCAGACCACCCGGACCGAGTACCAGAGTCTGAATCTCTGAAAAGAAGAGCAACATATTATGAGAGTGAGAGCTCCGAGCTCCTGCATCGACGCAGCCTTGGCAGCGAGGCCGCGCTCAGCTTCCTTCGGGAGGAGGAGCTCAGCAAAACTGAGAAGGCATAAATTCTCCGCGACCGACTGTCCGTGATTGTGCCTGCACGAGGGCCATGGCCTCTTCGAGCTCCTTCTCTGCAGGCGTCAAGGGACGAAAAAGGGCTTCCTCCATGCCAGTGATTCTCCCAGCCAAACCGACCTCAGAGAGGCAGAGAGAGGCAGAGAGGCCCAAGCTCCCGCCCAGGGGGCAATCCTCGCTTCTCAAGAACTCAATCCGGAAGGCAGCACGGCGAAGGCCGACGATCATCTTGCCATCGCTCGCCTCCCGAGCAGGGATCGGGATGCTTCGAAGTGTGTGTAGGCGGCGTATAGGACAGTGTATAAGGAGTTCACGACAGCAAGCCTGTGAACTTTTTGGTTTTGGGGGGGAGCAGTCGCCTTGAAGCTGAAAGCGTCACCGCCACTGCCGCCATAGGCTTTGGACTCCCGGCCGCGGCTGGTCACGAACTGGATCCGGTCCAAAAGTCCGCCCTGACCGCCCCTGATCTCCACCAAGACCTGCGACAAGCGTCTGCCTTATGTCTAGAACGGCATGTCCAAGGTTCACTTCTCAAGGCCGCTGTGGGATGGGCTTCATCGGGGCCTCGCCAGATTCCAGGTCGAAGGGCTCCTGCTCTTCGCCTTTCCCCTCTCCAACCACCTGCGGCTCGCCCGAGGAATAGACGAACTCCACGAAGTCCACCAGCGCTCCACCTTTGCTCGTCTTCCTATCTCAGGCACTTTAGAGAATCTAGAGCTTGCGACCCCGGTTCTGTGCCTTCCGCCTCCTTTTTCAATGTCTCGCATTGGAAGGCTCCAGGTGTTGGGGTGCAAAGTGCAAAAGCCACGGTGTGGGGAGGCAGTTTGGACTCGTGGAGGGTCTTGGGGCCCTGGAGAGTCTATCTGTATCTCTGTCTCTATCTCTATGACGCAGCCTGTGCATCAACGATGTATCACTGGGCTCTTGCGGAGTAGAGAGGGAACTTTGCTGAAGTGGTGAAGATGCTCAGGCTGCCGCTCTTCACCTTAATCTGGCGCAGATCCCTCCGTGCGACGGCCGCTCTCGAGATGCAAACCTTGTCGCTGCACACCTGGAGCTTCCAGGACCAGCCAGGGCTGTGGGGAGAAGTTCTTTGGTTATGCGTTTATTCCAGGGGTCCCCCAGGCCCAGGCCCCCACCTGCTCCGAGTTACTTGTGCCTGTGCCTTCAGAGGCGGCGTCTCCTGCGTGGTGAGCAGCGACTCTAGTCAGACTCAAGGGAGAGTGCCGCACCTTTCTCCATCCACTTGGCGTACTCCGAAACTTTCTTGCTCTCCTGATGAACCCAAACTTGAATCGCGCAAGGGAGGTTCCGTTGGTTGCTGGTTCTGCTCCGTGTTAGAGACCTACCATCTGTGGAATTAGTTGGTATTAGTTTTGGGTGACTTCCGTGCATAGGCTGCCGTTCAGGCTGCAATGATTCACTGATTCACATGCACTGCCAGCCTGCCGCTCATCCATTGATGCCTCTGACATTGTAACGGTAGCCAAGGGTCTGGGGCCAAGTCTGGCGCCACCTCCCGGCCAGCTTGCTGTGCCTGGTCAGGCGGGGTGCAGTGATGGCCTTGCTCGCAAGCAGCTGCCTATCGGCTATAGATACTATAGGTTTTTGTCCGCGGCCTCCTTGACCACGGCCGCTCGCTTTTGCCGCTGGATCTCCTGACGTGCCTGCAAGCTCTTCAGCAGCTCCGCTTCTTCCTCCTCCAGGACAGCCAGCTTGCCGGTCCAGTCCTTCACCTCGGCAGAAACGACAGTCACTGAGTCACTGAGAGTCAGAATGACGAACGGCGGCCCCGGCCTCCGCCTCCGCGTCAGCCAGGGCGGCTTGCCGCTTTCGGATCCCCCGCTCCATCTCGGCGCGCCGCTGCTCCAGGCGAGCCTCCAGCCGCAAACTGCGGCGCACGCAACGGCGCAACGTGGCGGTCGCGGACTGCAGTGCGCTGCTTGGCGCCTTCCTGGCTCGGCCCTGCTCTTCGCAAAGGTCTTGACCTGGGCAGCTGAAAGATGCTGAGAGAGTCTGCACGGATCTGCACTTCGGGCAACTCACAGGCACACAGTCACACGCGAGCGCGAATTCGGGCCCGGGGGCAGGTTCCGGGCAATTGCCACTCGTCAGAGCCATCACAGCAATCGCAAATCCCATCGCCGACGCCTGAGCTCGGACATTTTCCGCAACTGCATCTCAGGCCTCGGGCTTTTCCCAATTGGTCACAACGCCGCCCGCAACAGAGCCTTGCCGGACAAGTGTCGAGAGCTATACACATATCTCGGGGTGCCGGCGGAATTCGGGCAGTAGAACCACCTGTCCGCCGGGTATCGCCGGTGTCTTTCGCACGTCTCCAGGTAAGTCTAAGAGTCTAAGTGAGCAAGCTTGAGCTTTCAGAAGCCTGTCGTCTGCGCCAGGCCGACCTGCACAGGCAGCGGTCCCAGGTTCGTCGCTTCCGTCCTTGCAAGGGTTGCGCCCCAAAGCGCAGCGCCAAAGGAAACCCAGGCCCTGCCCAAGTCCTCGCAATCGCAAAAATCGTCGTTCACTGCCGTGGCAGGCAGCTCCGAGGCCCTTGTCAAACAGATGCGCAACTCTTCTCAATGCTCGGCGGGCTTTGAGGAAATTATAGGCAAAGGCCCACCGAGGCTGTGCAGGCACGAATGTTTCAAGAGCCACAGCCGAAGATCGTGCCCTGGCCAGAAGCAAAACCAGCACTTCGCGGCGGTCGAGAAGCCCCTCGGCACACGCGAAGGTGTCCCCGTGATACCTGGGAGCCTCCGCTGGATTGACCTGAGTGAAAATGGAACAGTGATGGGTCTTTGGGGATTGGGATGTGCCGGGGCGTACTTCGATGCACGGCGCCCAAAGGCCAAACACTGGCAGACTAGCAGAGGGGCTCCTCGCGTCAGGGCCTCCGCGGGTTTCAGGAGACCGAGCGGGCTGAGAAGAGCGAGCCGCCACCAGTCTCGCATGGCTCGAGAGTTGCGTTGTGTGTATGTGTGTGTGTGTGTCTAAGAGGGACTAGATGCAGGCTCTGCATATACTGAACCCTGCTGCAGCATCTCCGATCAACCTAGGATCAGGAGTCGGTACTTCAGCTAGCAATTTCGCCCGAGCTCAAGGGCTTAAAGGGCTCAAAGCCGACACAGCCTGCGGAAGGCCATGGACGGCCGGCATGCCGTGATTCAGCGGGAGCTACTCCACTTCTTCTTTCTTCCGGCAGCATGCTTTTCTCCAAGGAGTTGTGCTGCGGCAGCGGCATGAAGGCAAGTCCTCCAAAGCCAGGGTGGACTCTACGACTTTACGAGGTGTCGGCTTTTTGGGCTTGCAGCGCTTGCTGGGTTTGGTGGGTGTGGCGTGTGGGGAGAGGCGGCTCCGCCAACCTCAGGCCGCTTCTGGGCCGGAGATCCCGGACTGAGAGAAGAGCTCAAAAGCCCCCCCCGTTTTGGGGAGTGCAGGGCCCTTCGCGAGCCCAGAGTCGTGTTCTGGCGCTAGCCGCTAGACCTAAGCCACGCATGCTATAGCAAATCGCCAAAGAACACATGAACTGAACACTTCATGAACCATTCCGAGTCTGAGGTGCGCCCCAGGAGGCCATCCTGCTGGGGGCACAGGCGAGCAACAGTCGCAATTGGGGGATAGTAGGGCGGGAGACTGCTGTCTTTCTTGCGAATTTGTGGAAGCCGCCTTGACTGTCCAAATGCCGGAAGCGGCTTTCGGTTGCCGAGGTCGATCTCAAAGCGGTACCAAAGTGCCCCCAGAAGCGTAATCAAGATCCCGAAGGCATTCAGAGGAGTGATCCTCGTTCCAAACCTGGCTCCAACAAGACAGTGAGAGTGAGGCTGCTACGAGGAGAGGCAAAAAAGCGGCTCAAAGGATGTCTGCCATGGGACGTGATGATCGAGGCGAGTACCAGCAGCGGTCTTCGCATGGACCGAACCTAGACGAAGACATGATCCAGGACATGATGTCGCGGATGGCTGCAAATGTCAGGTGATGTCTGGGAAGATGAGGCCAATGCCATCGAGTGCACCACGGTGGAGGTGTGGACCAGGATGATGATTGAAGCCACATTGAAGATCCAAACCTCACGTACTTGTATATGAGCACGCTTCATGGATAGCCACCTACTCCCGACAGCAGATCTAGCAAGCCCACCAAGGGCCCAATTGTGGCCGCCAGCGGCCACGCCATGGAATCTTCAGCGAGCTCGCCCACAGCATGCACGTTGTAGAGCAAAGCAGCCGGCAGCGACACCTTGCAGTTTCTGGCAAGTCGGAAGCGAGGACATCTTCAAACACAATCCTCTGCGTCCACCCTGCATCCACTTGACGAGATGCCAAATCAGACTGCTTGATGAAGGTCGCAGGGTGCACTTGGCAAAATTAAGCAGGATGCTCTTCTTGCAACTTCGGCACAAGGCAGGCAGACAGCTGAAGGTGCGCCATGAAGTTGAGCGGATCCATGACATGAGTGTCCATGCTCTTCTTGGTGAACACCGTCCTGTCGCAACCGACAATCCCCTGCGCCCATCCCGGAAATGCCCAGCACAACAGTTGGCCTCAGCGAAACACACAGGTTGGAGACCATGGCTGCCCAAAAGCCAGTCCAGGTGAACCTTGGTGCAAGCTAGGCCTGGGGTCTTGTCGGCTGCAGAGCTGCATAAACGCGGGCTGCGAAGCGAGATCTCGGCCGTGGATGCTACAACGATGCCGGCGATGACCAAGAACAGGCTTGCCCAGGCACCTTCTGTTCTTCACATCGCAAGCCAACAGCGATGCTGGCTAAGCGAGCCAAGGCACGTAGTGAAGGCCATGTCCCAATGAGCAGTGCAGTGAAAAGAGCTGTGAAAAATGGCTCCGCAGCCTGCGACATAGCACATGCGGGTGCTACAAGGCCGCTGTTAGCCTTCTGGCATGGCAATCAACTACTTGTAGCAAAGTGTATTTGCAATGCCACCAGCTGTGGGGACAGCTCGACTCCTGAACATCCCTACAGGAGGGATCACTCCTCTCACGTGACGTGAAAGGAGTTCTTGAGGTATCTGAAACAAGACCCTACAGAACCACAGCCTCCATCATAATGATGTGTGGGGGGGGGGGGGGGAGAATCTTGCTTCGAGTCGGCAAACGCAAGCACCACCAAATGTATAGAAAAAAACCGGCAAAGCTGATACGTTCAGAGACGTAGCAAGGCTGTTTAAGGCCTTAGGATGAGCTAAGGTTGAAAGCGTCTTGTGCTTCTCAATGCAATTGTGGAACTGCAGTACCAACAAGCTTTCAGAGACCGCCATGAGGCCCCCTGTACATTCCCTGCCCTCTCTCTGCACATTGCCTTCACAGTGTGCGTGAACGAAATGTGGACTTCGGAAACGGAGATGTTGGAGAAGAGCATCCCTCCCCAATGGAAAATCGCGAGCCCGAACAAGCGCCTTGGCTGCTCAACATGCTGACCACCACGCATCACGACCCACAGGATCTTGCAGCATGTAGCCCGCATAAGAAGATGCCGCACTTTCACAGGATGGCATAAGAGGACAAGGTGCAAGTAGAAGTCCAAACTCATCCGTCCGGGCCAGCTTATCAGCCCAAAGACCCAACAAAGGATTGCACAAAACGACGAAGAGGCCAGGTTCACGCCGGTGATCTCAGGCTCCCGAGCATCGGCAATGACAAGCAGCCATGATTCTGCGTTCCAAGCCGCAAGCAAAGGATGCGGATGCGCGATGAGCAAGCGCTTGTTGATCACGTTATAAGCGATGTTGGCGCCGTAAAGCCTCGTGACGCCCAGGTTCAAGAGTTCATGCTGCGCAAGTAAAACCTGTCGGTTTCCTTGCAAAGTTGCTGCCGCATCTGCCGCCCAGGAGCCCGGCAGCCAGCAGAGCTCCGCTCTGAGGGCTGGGTGGGTTCGGCACGTGCTCCTTCTGGCCGAGGCAGTCTAGAGCAAGCTAGAGCAGCTAGCATCTGCACAGCGCTGCTGTCGTGTGCTTATGCTCGTGGCATCTCCTCGACCTCATGTGGGACGCAGAGCCATCGCTGCTGAGAGTAGGAAACCTGGGATTAGTCGGCAACCGAGGTTTGCGTGATTCTGTATGTGCCGGCATGAGCAGCCGAGATGCTGCATATCCGACTGTTGCGAAGATGACCATGATTGAGCAATCCTCGGCCCCCGAAAACATTTCCGGTCTGTGTCTAGATGCATGGAAAGCAGTTGCGTTTGCAACAGGCCAATCTGACGTTTCTGGCCCTGTCAAGGATCATGCCAGAGCATGCTCCAGCTGATCATGTTTGTTCGAGTGCTGCTGCCCGCAGAGAGGGCGATGCCACGGTACGACTTGGGAAACATCAGCGAGAAGGCATCTGGACCATCTGGGTCAGGCTCCTCCAACTCTCCCATCCAACTGGAGAGGCGGAGGTGGCAAACGTAGAAGAACGCGACCTTCGCAAAGCATCCTCTCTCTTTCTCTCTTTCTCTCGAGCCCTGACAGTGTGCTGATGGGGTGTGCTGATGGGGTGCCAGGCACAGCGCTGTTGGCGTCTTGCCCCGCGATCTTCGCAGCATGCCCTGTGCGCTCAGCAGGACCGCTTCGGCCCTGCACACTCACGCCATTCGGACAAAGGAGGCAGCCTAATGTCGGCTCCTGTCTCGAGCCCAAGCTGAAGCTGAAGCTCATGGAACATCTCTCACCGTCTCAAGTTCGCCTGGGTGCAGGCTGAGAGCACTGAGAGCACAGTGAAGTTAAGCGCGTCGTCTGTGGCAGCTCAGGTGCCGCGCAGACACTGGACCTGGGGGCCCCTCTTGGAAAGGTCTCAAAGCCCTGAGATGCTGTACACAGGAGACTTGGAAAGTCCCCTCCCAACCCTTCGTCTCCTCGCCTAGCTTGGCTTCTCACAGCACTCCTGGTCCGTGCTGCCCAAGAGCTGTGCTGCGTCTTCCTGTTTACAGGACAAGCGCTCCTCTGAACTGATGAGTCTGGCAGAGAATTGTCAGAATTGCGCTTGTCTCGGTGCCTTCAGTTGCAAGACCTTGTCCTTACAGCAATAGTCGCTGCACTTGAGCTCGTCGTAGCACTCGGCTTCCGTGCTTCCAAGCCTGGTCGGGAAGCGTGTCATGGCTGCTTCAGAGCTTTCAGGTCCAAAGACAAGCGCAGGCCAAGCGCCTGGGCTTCCCTTGGAGGTCTTCGGGCTTTCGCCTGTACTTGCTGGGGAACTCTGATGTGTACCTGCAGACTGCAGGCTGCGCCGTTGAGGCGTTCTTCGTGCAGTGGGCGTTCCCCTTATTACGCCAAGAGGCTCACTGCAGTACTTGGGATGGCAGCACTCCTCGTCCGTGCTTCCCCGGAACTTGAAGTGATTCGTATCGATCTTCTTGTACCACTTGGTGCTGGTGACATTCCTGAGCCATTTGTCAGATTCAGGCTCCATCCGCTTATACTGGAGAAGCTCAAATGTGTGGACAGGTGGCTGTGCAGAGATGTCTCCCGTGCACGTGTAGTCCTTGCACCACTTGGGGTTGCAGCACCTCAGAACTTAGAACTTCATCTTTCAAGCTTCGCGGCACTCGGGCAACACTCCGGCACTTCTCTGGCAGCCATGGAGCTGCTTGCTGGTGCTGCCCAGGAGGCCCTCCAACTCTTCTGCCGATTCTGGGCGCGGGCCGCACGGGTGCAAGTGCAGCAGGATTCAGGCTTCGGGCCGAGTGGGGCCGAGGTGCTCGGGGCCCAAAGCGACTCTGGCACGCAGTCGATGGTGCTGCACATCAACGGCGTGCAGCACTCCTGGCCAGTCCGGCAGCCCCACAAGGCAAGATTTTTTGTGAGAAAGCTGCTTCACGTGACCGGGAGCTCTCGGCTTCCTCGTCGCTCCATCCATGCCTTTCCACGCCAAGGCTGCTCTCGTCAGCCTGCTGCACCCATTTCGTCGGGTCGCTGCCTCTGTGCAAAGGAACGTGCGACTCAACACAGGATGTGAGGGGCACGCAAGCCCACACCGCACCCAACAGTAACAACCTCTTGGGCCAAATTTCGTGTCAGGACACACTTCCAGTCGTGGCAAGACTTCTTCTCGCAGCACTCGTTGTGGGTGCTTCCCATGAGGCCCTGCCCTCCAATCACGGCGCCAGCCCTTGGCTTGCGGGCAAACGTTCCAGTGCGCACAGCTTCCGTCATCTCTCTCTCGTCTTTCCTTCCCTTCGGTGTAAGATAGAAATTTATTCAAGTTGTCAACCCATCCCAAACTCTCACTCGCACTCAACTCGCCCTCTCAGCCTTGGACAAGACGAGAGAGAGATCAATATGATATATCATATAATACAAAATGTAGTATATAGTGCAATACATAATATAGTTCATAATATAATGCTTCACTTTGCTGCAATCTCAGATGAGTAACTCCAGGCAGTCTTGTCACAGCGGCACAGCAAGGTTAAAGGCCTGTTCAAAGGGGCGTGAATTTGGGCTTGTGGTTTTCCCGGAACCACCGGATGCCCTATCTGCAATGCAGAGGGCTTCTCTGAAGCTCTGAATCCTCCGAACCCGGTTCAATACACTCCTTTGCTCTGCCCAACCCGCGGCCCTCCCTCCCCGAGCTGGGCCGCAGCAACAGGACGCAGGACGGTGAAGGTTCGGGTCTTTTTCGGAATGAGAATTTTGACTTTGACTTTGGCCGGATCTAGGGACTGCAGTAGTTCATACATGTGGGGGATTGTCCTAAAGAGCGCTGCTCACTATCGTGAGCTTCTGCTGAAGTCTGGCAAGCTTTTCAGAACACAAGGGAAGTGGCGAGCCATAATGTTCGTGTAGGTATAAAGTCATGTTACAGCGGTTTGAGGGGAGAGGGGGGAAGGGGCATGTTTTGATAGTCAAAGCAGAACTCCAAGGGCTCTCAAACACCGTGCATGGAAGAGTGACCTCCGTGAAGAACCCAAAAAGCCTTTTTTGGGGGGTTTTGTCGCGAGCCCTCTCAGCATCCGGGCGGTCTCGGACTATGAAATATTGAGGACGATGGGACGCATGAGGGATACCGTGCGCCTCTGCGTACGCGTGTGGATACATACATATACTCCATATCGATGTATGCATGTGTATGTAGATAGAATGCGTGTGGGTGGGTATTGACAAGACGTAGTGTCTTGCTTTTCTTACAAGTACCCGTCATGAGAGAGTCATTGCTCCTGGAAGTCATTGCTCCTGGAAATCCTGTTAAGGGAAACCTTTGCATCGGGTGTTTCATTCCACAGCGGCTTCTCCACTCTTTGGCTTGGAATTCTGGGCATGACAAGGTTCCGGAGCTCGAAGCCGGCATCGCACTTGAACTCCTTGCACATCTTGGGCGTGCAGCAGCTTGGGTTACCTCAGAGGCCCAACGGCGACATTGAGCACCAAAGCTCCACTTGCCGGAACCCTCCCAAGAGAAGCTTCAGCTGAGCCTAAAGCAGTCAGATGAAACCAAACGAGTCCAGTCCACCGAACTTCCCTGTTCAACTGGTACCTGATCTTCCTGTAGCACGGTTGCTGCTGCCCAGGATTGCTTTGGGCTTCGGCTCCCATTTCGTCGCAGGTTCGCAGCTGTGATGCTTGCAGAATTGAGGGATGCAGCAATCCTGTGCCGCTCATACAAAACTGATGCATGAAGCAGCGGCTCACTGATGTAGGGTTTACAGGAGGAATACACGGAGATGAAGCTTTTGCAGTAAGTCCAAGCAGGGTGAATCTTAGGAGGGTAATGCTCAGGCTCCTCCAAGCTTGCACCAACCTTGGCACTTTCGTTGGTCTTCCACTCGTCCGTGGCCTCGCAGTCGATGTGCTTGCCTTTGGGCTATGAGCTCGCGAAGCGAAAGGCTCTTCGCTTCAAGACTGTTGTCGGTTTGTTAGATTCCTGTTACAAGCCTCTCAGAAAATTCCTGCTGTCGATGCCAGGTCTCATGAGATAGGCTCACAGCACTCGCTGTCAGTGCTCCCCTGCAGTAAGAGCGGAGAACCATCCTGGCCATGCCTCTCAGGGGATGCACGCTATGACGGCGCTGCCGTTGCTACAACCTCTCGCTGTCAGATTGCCTCTTCGATTTCTTCACGTACTTGGCGGAGCACTTGTAGTCGTCGCAATCTCGAGGGGTGCAGCACTCCTCTTTGGTGCTTCCCAAGACATTGCCCGGTTTGGGCTCCCAAAGAGTGGAGTCGCAAATGTCTTTGGAGCAAACCTTGGGGACGCAGCACTGGTCGGGCCTCAGTCACTTCCAAGAATGAACGGACCAGCTGGAGCTGGAGGGCTCTCACTCTCTCTCGTCCCAGCTGCTTGCTTCCGAAGGCGGTCTCGTAGTCTGGCCTCACAAAAAGACTCAGGACAGCCGGAGCCAGAATGACTGGCCGCAGCACGCCGCACGGCAGCACAGCCGCACGCCTCTTGCTGTACGTCGTCGCCGGCGCACAGGGCGCCTCCTCCGCGCACTTCATCTGCTCGCAGCACATGCTCCTGGGAGCGCTGGGAGCACAGAGAATTTCAGAGTCGTGAGTTGCGACGACGGTTCTTGAGCTGGTGGAGGCCTGGTATGACCGGTGACCTGCTCGGGATGCAACTTCCGCTTCCAGAGGTCGTCATCCAAGCACTCTTTCTTATGCTGCTGGAAGAAGGCGTCGCAAGTCATGGGCCCTCAGTTCTTGACTCACTGGTCACAGCTTGCGCTCTGGGGGCAACGACTTTTCGAGAGCCGGGCTGCTTAGGCAAATGTCTGTCAAATGGATGGCACCCTCGAGGGTGATGGGGTTCTGCCCGCGATATTCTAAACGCGTGTTGCCCGCCAAAGTCTTCACCTTGTCTGTAACTGTGATCTTCTGGCCCACTTTCGCCTTCTTCACGGTGAACACCTTGACTTCTCGCGCTTGGGAATCTGTGCTCACGGGTTTTCGGAAACTGCTGGCTTCAGGCCCAGGGGCATTGAAGCCTTCTCCACCTGCAAAGCCGAATTTGCGGTCCATCTGTCGCTCGACAGAATCGGCCACCATGCTCAATGTCCAGGGTTTGCCAATCTCCCAGTCCTTGCAATTTTGCACTCCCCCGCGGCCCTACATTCCCTACATGCAATCGCTGATCCCCCGTGTGGGACATGCAATTCAACAACCGACTCTGCGAAATACAGTTACGCGCGTGCTGTGTTTGCAGAGAGAAACAAATGTGGTGCTGGTCTTCCCTCAGGCGGACGCTAAAGGCTTAAAGGCTGGAGAAAGCAACGCAAAATGCCCAGCATTCAGTGTAAGTGGACCTGCAAAGCCGACCACGGCTTAACACTGAACGCTCGAACTCAAGTTTGCACCAAAACTCAGGATGGCCAGCAAGATTGGTCTGCAACTGGCCCAGAATGTCCCCAGAGAGGATATCGTCCAGATAACCCTTGGTTGACAGCTCAAGTGAATCGTCTCGAAAAGTATGAAGAATCGGTGCAACCGCGGCGCAACTCCCTGAACAGTAACGTTCACAGGCGGAAACTGATTGTCCGGGCAAGCGTTTGCATCTTTGTGCCTCGGCCGAATGCAGCTCAGAAGTCCTCGTGCTCCGCCCCTAATAGTTTAACAGCAGGCATGCGTCAGGGATCCAGGAACTTCTTCTGCTGAAGGCTCCAAACACTTAATGGCCCCGCTACACATGAAAGGCCAAGTTCGGGCTAATTCGGGCTTGTCCTCCCTCTCGCGCTCTCTTTGCTCTCATGGCCCTCCTGACCTTCTACCAGCAGTTCTGCAGCAAACTTCTGGCCTCCGGATCCATTAGCAGGTGTTGAAAAAATGCCACTTCGGTCTCTTGCTATGCTAGCAGAAGCCCCTCAAGCCTTCCCAGGGCCAGGTACACTGCGCTGTTGGATGAAAGCCGCGCAAAGGCGGTGGCCTCCTGAGGTTCAAGACTCCGAACCGCCCTTGACAGGGTTCCACAGGTCCACACAGTGCGGAGCCTCGCTCGAGTGCTGCAGCTTGGCACTGGCGCTGCTGGCGCCGGTGCTCCTCACCAATGAAACTTCTCGCAGCGAAGAGCAACTTCTTCGAATCTTCGAGTCGACACTCAAAGCACCCGCCGCACCTCGACAGCTTGGCTGCCGTCACGAAGACTCTTGGCAGGCAAAGTGCCAACCAAATGGCCTTCGGGGCCCCGGTACAAGAATGTGCGTCAAACTGAAGATTTGGAGCATCTTCTTGCAAAGAGCTCCATCCTAAACATGACGCAGCCAGGAGCCCATGCTGCACTTGCAGCCCACGAACCCCCAGTCTAGAAGAGCCACCAGCTAAGAGGAAGCAAAGCCGAGCTCGGCCACCCCCGGTTATGGGAACGTTTCGCTTCCGAGGCTCAGTTCAGAGGGCCAGGCCTTCATAGGTGCCGGCCGGGGGGCCCCAAGGGGCGAGCCAGAGGCCAGCCTGCACAGAGAGACAGCCCGGGCCAAAGGGGAAGGAAAGATGGGTTTTCAAATCAGGCTCGATCCTGACGCTTTCAAGTCTCAGGCGGCGACACCCGCAGCTTCGTTGGAAACGGTCCGCTACCGCATCAAGAACCCGTTCTAGTGAGCTCTCTAAGCCTTGAGTTAAAGCACGCGGGGAGATGCCGGACACAAACGGATTCCTTCGACCCTCGAGGTCCCATCCAGCGAGGTCTCTGCGGGCGTGTGCAGTCTTTTTTTCCATGTCGGCGCGAAGTTTTCTTGTCGGGCACTGCAAGCAGCGTTTGGCCTGTCGGGAAGCTAAGATCGCACCGTCTTGACGGTCACATCCAAGACTACACCATCGGGCAACTTGTTGCCGGAGATGGTTCGAATGGCCAGCTCTGCGTCTTCTGTGATGCCGAACTTCAGGAGTGCAGCACCGGTGCATGCCCCCGCTCCATCTCTCAGGAGCCGAACACTCTGGATGGCTCCAAATGGCGAGAAGATGGAGTACAGGTACAGCCTCAAAGCACAACAACGTTTGCTTACGCGATGAAGAAGTGCTCTATCTCCCGCTCCTGTATCGCTTGCATTGCATCCCGTTGCCAAGAAGCTCATCGGCGTTGTTCGGCAACCCCTTGATGTAGAGGTTCGTTGGATCCATGGTGTGGGCCAGGACTGGCCTGAAACCCTTGACTCGAGACACCTTAGCCCGCGCGAATCTTGCTTCGGTCTCGGCTATCTCCATCTGTATCTCCCTGGTCGGAAAACACTCAACTCCACGTACCTCTTTAGACATCACGTTGTTCTAGAGCTTATAAGGAGAAATTCGGAGGAAAAGGATTGGCTGTTTTATCCGGGCCAGGCGAGCTGTGGATCGGGGTTTAGGCTTTAACAGCTTTAACAGCGGCAAGGGGCGGTCTCGCTGACGGCCACCATGAACTCAGAGCCTGGGATATTATAAAGCAGACCCCTTCGGCGATTCCGCACGTCAAGCTCGCCATGGTGCTCGCTGGGCTCGGGTAGCGCATCTCGCGCGGCGCTGAAGTGGAGCCGGGTTGGCTCACGGCTTCCAGACCGCCCTGACCCCCCTGAGACGCAAGCACGCGCAGGCATCCCAGGTTTCCGCGGCGCGGGTCTCCGCACCTTCCCGTAGGGCTCGTAGCGCTCGGAGCCGCCGGGGCCGGGGCCATGGTGGGCCCCGGCGGGCTCCGGCCCGGCGGCCGCCAGGCGCACGGAGAGGGGAGCCTCGAGGCCTCGAAGAGAGGAGAGAGGAGAGAGCTGAGGACTCGGGGAGTCGGAGACGAAGTCATGGGAACAAATGCTGTGCAACCTGCTGTGCACCCCGGCCTGGCAAGACCTTCCCGTTGTATTCCATGACCAATCGATCTGCCTCGTCTCGCGACATGAGTCGCAAGAGAGCCTCAGCACTCCACGACCATTCCAGCTGCACAAAGATTGAAGCAAGAAGAACAAGGGCAGCGGCGACAGCTTTGCCGCTAGCCATGCCATCGTCCAACACCTTGGCAGTGACCTGCAAGAAGCAGCTCTGTCGCTGAATGCTCGCTGCACTCGCTGCGCACGCTCGCGTCGGGCTTGTCGTGTGCTCCCGCCGTGCGGTGGCCCTCTGGGACCACTCGGCCTGGCCGAACGCGGCAAAGAAGCTTTCCAGCTGCTCTTTGGAGGTGCCTGGGAAGCGAACGCAGAAAGGGGAACTTCAAGCAAAGCGGGCAGGCGGCCTTGTGGAAGCCCGGTGACGTGCAGTGTGAAGCCAGGCCGCGAGCGGTCCTCCTCGCCTGCGAGCAGTCTCGAAGTGCAAATCTGACTCCCCAGCAGCTCAAGCTTGAGCGAGCTGCCATCTACTAGCTGCTGCTACTGTAGCAGCTGGCTGGCGCTGGCTGCGGCGCCTGCCTGCGGCACCAGAGGCCACGGGCGCTGCTGCAGCCGCTGCAGCTGCCAGGGCTTGAGCCACAGCGACCACGGCTGCTGCCGGATTGTTTGCCATTGCTGCCTGCGTTGCTGCCTGCTCCTGAGTTGAAGCGCTGGCGACGAGGAAAGGTAGGGTAATTTGCCCTTGTCACACGCGTACTTGGATGGACTACCTACAGTCACAGTGTCACACAGTGTGTGTGTGTGTGTGTGTGTGTGTGTGTGTGTCTGTGCGTGTGTTCCTTCCGAGCATCTCTCATCTGCCAGGCCCGCTCGGAGCTGTTCGCATACTTCACCGTCAGCTGATAATCCCGATCCTAAGGACTACAAAGCTTCCTTCAGAATGGCACTCGGCACTTCACAATGTCACAAGGCCTGGCAATGCATCGGAGCAGCGATGATCCTGTTGTTCATGGCGTTGATCGCAGCTTCTGCTTCATCCGGACTAGTGTAGTGCACGAAGCCGTACTGCTTGTATATTCGTGCCTGGAGCAGCTCCCTCAACCCTCAACTTCTGCACTCTGAAAATGAGCTCCGCTTTGCACCGATGAACCCCTGCAAGGCCTCCCTGGCAAGCTTGACGGAAACGACATTTCCGAATTTTCGAAACAAGTCCTTCATGCCATTTTCGTCCATGTCCTAAGTGGCCAGGAGCTTTAACACGTCTGGCGACTCCCAGCAGCTGAGCGATGCTGAGCGCAGGCACAGGGGGCAAGCCCGACACGTAGAGGTTCGTCCCTCCGACCGTGGGCGTGGTCGAAGGGGGCGGAGCGCTCCTGGTGGACTCAGTACTCATCGTTACTCATTGCATATGTCGACCAATACTTCGCCAGTTCTGGGCCTAGGATATGGCCCCGTGGTGTCATTGTTCGCCAGGCGGACGGTCATCGTGTGCCCATTGAAGTCGCGCCCATTCATGCCAGCGATGGCAGCTAGAGCCTCCGAGATAAAAGCGACAGTAGAGTAGAGCACTCCAACCCCCCAAGCTGTCTACAATTGATCTGGGCTTGGGAGCCCCAGTACAAACGTAAAGGTATGTATCATATAGATTCGGAGGAAAGAAGCGAACAACAACGACGCATCCTGTTGCTTCGTCGAGCCTGGGCATCATACCGAAACTTCACGAAGCCGTAGCTTGGAGCTTGTGGCGTCTTGCCAAAAAAAGTTCGCACTGAAGCTACCTCGGACATGCGAGTTGAAAGGTGAGCATTGAGGCTTTGGCAGCTGGCCTTGCCTGCGGAAGCTTCGGCACTGTGCTGCTGTGCTGCTTTGTCTATGTCAGGCGCGTTCGTTGTATGCGCGAGACGGGGCTTGCGGGCTTGCTGTTCTGCGCGCTACGCGCCAAGCTTCGCCGAGACAGTAGGAGGCAAAGCCGAGGAGCATCACCGAAATTATTGAACAGCTGCCGCAGTGTGTCTTCACTGGTACTCGGAGGCAGGCCAGCAACATAGAGATTGCTGTTCGCACCATTGCTCAGCAGATTGCCAGGTAGCATTACGGGCGGACTTGCAGGCTCTGCGTCAGAAGCTTGGGACTTGTGACGGGCTAAAACTACTTGCAAAGGGGGCTGTTGTTTCCTCTGACCTTGCATGATGTTGGTCGGGGCAGCCGCCAGGTCTAACAGTCTGACCGAAACTATCTATCATTTTCTGAAGCACAATCTCCAAACTCCAAACACTTCAACACGGACTCTGGAGGAAGTGGCCATGGTCATTGCATCTGTCATGCGGGCCCGTAGCCACTCGAGCCACCCCAGGTGCTACGGCACAAGAGTGCGTTGCAAATTCTGGACTCTGAATTGCTGACACACTCCCCCTCAATCACTTGCATCTTTCATTTTCGGAAACAGGTGCGATGATCCAGGCACTTCCTACACCGTGAAACGGACTTGTCTGGCTTCTCCTGCAAGGATCCCTTCGTCTCACATGCTGACCGTGGTCATGAAAAGCCGCAGCTTTTGCATCTCTCGCCTGAGAGTGGACATCTCAGTTTCCACCTGGCCGACGACCGAACGGATCAGCTGCAGGAGTTTAAGGGACTGGAGCGTCGAGATGGGTGTATCCATCAAACACAGGTTCAGCAAGCCCTCAACGAACTCAATCTGTGTGAGCTGTTTCGTGCCATCGACCTCCAAGTAGCAAGTGAATCAAAAAAGGATGTAGATCTCAGGGCTACTATTGGGGCTTCTATTGGTCTGCATTGCAGACCAATATGCCCCTTAAAAATAATATCAAAGCCCAAAAGTAAGCCGTGCAGTAACTCGCTGAGTATGCTATGCCGCCACGTGGCATCCAAGTAATCAAAGATGTCGGCCATACCTTGGCGAGTATGGCGGAATGCGTGATGCCTTGCAAAGAACATCTACACATGGGGGCTACAATACTTCCACTTCCACCCACTCCATGTATACACGATGCCATCAAGTGGCTGTCTGCATAGATCGTGTCCAAGACCCGGGGAGGCAATACGCTTAGCGGCACGTTCTCCACCTCTTCGCGCGTCAGCAAGCCACTCCGATCTTTGTCCAGCTCATGGAAAATCTCGATCAGGGATGGCAGTGCCTGGGAAAGACCCGCCGGAACGATCATCGGCCCTAAACCCTAAATCCTATGCCTATAACCCTAAACTCATCTAAACCCTGAACCCTAACCCCAAACCCATCTAAACCCTAAACCCTAAGCTTCTGAGGTGAAGGGACGCTCTGAACCCTCTTCTTCAGCTTCTGCCGCTCCTCCTCCGCTTCGTGGGCCGCCGTCTCCATGGCATTCTCGACCAAGGCTGCGGTCACCAAATTCATCAAGCCCACCTTACGGAGGGTTTGGGGTGCTTGGGGTCCTGACACTCTCGCAACTCGGACACAGCCAGACGAGGTTCTTGGTTCGCAGCGTCCTACTAGTGAGGCTCACTCGAATCGACTTCAGCTTAGGGTTTTAAGGCTTATAGGGTTTAGGGTTTGTGGGGTTTGGGGTTTAGGGTTCATAGGGTTCACCTTAGATCCCCAAATAGAAAAGCCTCTCTCCTAAACCCTACCGAAAGAAGCTTGGACTAAGCCACTGAAAGGAAGATCAAGAGCGGCATGAAATAGAAAGTGAGCCAGGGCTTATTCATGATCAGCGGATAGTAGACTTCTGCGATGGAATCTAAGGTCACAAACTGTATCAGTGTCAAGAATGTACTATTCAGGCCAGAGAAGTAATCTCTGACGATGTCTCTGGTCGGCTCCGACTCCGTCAGATTCCTGTCTTTTGAGATGAGCTCCACCGCAACACATGAGAAAATGAATAAGAAGATTGCAATCAGCGCTGTTGTCGAGATGATGGTCTGTCCGGCTGCCAACATGCCATACACCAGTCTCCAAATCAGCTTGAAGTGCCGGAGCATGCGAAGTGCTCTCACTAACCTTTCATCAAAGGCACCAAGGTCACCGAGCAAGCCCTGGAGCTTCATACACAACGCTTTCAACTTTCCCTAGCTTTTCAGGCCATGCCTCACCTGAACAGACGAAAGCCTCGCACCACCAGCACGGAGTAGAAGCTTTCCGCCTCCGTTCCCGGGCCCGCGACTCGAGGAACAATCTCCAGCGCCAAAGCTCCGATCATGATCAGCGTGAGGTCCATCCTCAGGTTTCTAGTTAGAACATTTAGAAGCTCCAAAACTTGAGGGGCCGGGCCTTTGAGAACTGCAAGCTGCAAGCCGTTATGTCATCCGAGCATCAAGAACCACAAGTCTTTGAAGGCTGCACAGCCCAAGCCAGTGACGCGCAGCGTCGCTTCGATGGTGTAAAGGACGAGGAAGATCCGCTCAACTCCTCAGAACATGCAAAGAAAGCCTCTGGGCGGAACACTAAATCCAAAAACCTCCTAAAGACCCGAATCCAGAAGCCCAAGCCCTCAGTCCTCCAGGCCAGAAATTCTCTGCGTAGACCTCGCCGGTCTGCAAAGAGACCTGGGCCTCGATGCCGATGAAGATCAAGTTCCTGGCGACTCGGCCACGGAGTGGACTCCGCAGATCGCGCGGTGGCACTTCATGTAGTTGGATTTGGAATGTGCGTTACTGCAACATCCAAACGAACACCGAGACTTGCAAAGGTGACAGGAAAATTTTGTGGGTTTTCGATTCGCATTGATAGGCTTGGGTACGGACCAGGCGAAGCACGTGATTCGAGGGCTTGGGGTTTAAGTGGTCTCCGCCAGCAGCAGCAGCAGCAGGAAAACAGGGGAAGTCAGCTGGCGAATCTCATGCCGTGGACCATATGCCCTACTGCTACTGAGCTGCTACTGTGACTGTATTTCTTAACCGCGTTGGTACTACTACTGTAACCACGAGATGCCTACGGGGCGGCTTCCCGCATCCTCGAGAGACGTGCAAAACGTAGGCACAGGCCATCCTTGACAGCATCCCCGAACAACCGTTCCATAGGCTCTTCCCCTCACTCACCACAGCCAGGGCGCAGAAGGATCAGAATGCCCGCAACAAACTCGAAAAGGCTCGAATTGACAATCGCTGCGACGCTCTGGCGAAAGGCCTCTACTCGCGACGGCTTCTGGGTTGTCACCTTCCGCAGCCAGATATCGACGGGCCATCTAAGCTCAGAATATGGTAACATGTAAGTCTGCTCTTTGCTGGGTGCCTCGGCATCATGAAGCACCTCTGACACCAACTTCCGCAGCGGTCCGGTGGGAAGGTTTTGGACGACGGACTTCCGGGGCCTCAACAAGGGCCCGCCGGAGCGACGGGGCACTAACAATCTTGCACAAAGTCTCAGTCAGTGTGTGTGTGTGTGCGTGTGTGTGTCCAGCTCTGCTCCGAAGAGTATCTTTACGTTTTGCAGGGGGCTGGAGTGCAGTGCGGAAGTCTCCAGCCAACGAAGACGCTTCTGTGCTTGCAGTGTAAGCGTACCTGCCAGTGGTGCATCTGGGGAGAGTTACTCCAGCTGGTGGCACAATATGTCAGTGTTTGCGAGCGAATGTACGTATTTGCTGAGTTTGGTAATGAGCCTCGAGATCAGGAACCCTAGAGGCCCTAGAGTGTGACTTCCTTGAGCTGATTTCCTCGAGCTGACTTCGAGATTTGTGACACATTGTGTCGAGTGTGTGCGGGTGTTTCCGTTCGTGTGTGCTTGTTTGCACGCGTGTACTGTGTTGTTGCTTTGATGATCCGAGGGGCTGGAGCAACGACTGTGAGCTCAAGGACCTGCGATGCCCCACTCCATCACTGTCATCAATGGGGCTGGGAAGCTCCGTTACGGCTTCAACTGGGTCCATCTTGCGTGCAGCTGTCTCGTTCAGCATGACGGAGTCCATGATCAGGTCGCTATCGGCGTCTGAACCGAATGCCCTGGCGATCGCAGGGGCACGAAACTGGACCTGCGCGGAGGCACGCGTCTTGGACGTGGCCGGCGCAGCTTGCTGCCTTCAGTGTCCGCTTCCATGCTTCCAGAGTCTACAGCTATTCAACACGGGCTGGTGCTATCAGTATGACTTCATGTCGACATGAAACAAAGTAAGGTCGGAGCGGCTGGAGGGGCCCTCGATGCGCGCCAGAAGTCTGACTGTGGAGACCAAGCAGTGCATCAACCGAGTGCCGCCACTCCCGAAGCTGGTTCTGCAAGAGCTCGAGGTTTGTGCAGGACGTTTGCTGCTGTTCCAAAACCTCTGACAGCTTCGAGAGGACTTCCTCGTTCATTCTGAAGCGGAAGAGTGGGCTCAAGGCCCAACGGCTGAAAAGATGCTCTGAAGCGGCTTGAGCAAAGATGCAGAAGCGACCAAGGTTTGGGCTTCGAGCTCTGCTTCCCCAAGGAGATATCGATCCCCCAATCGGAACAGAAGGATCGGTTAGTGACAAAGCACGTCACCCCTGCAGAGAGCAGTTGCCCAAAGCTAAGTAGCCCAGGCGGGGGCTTCTCTGTATGTTGGAGGTGTTTTCGAATCTCTGCCAGCGGCAGCGCCACAGTGGAAAGTTCAGTGAAACACTCGCTAACACTCAGGAAGCCATGATGCATGCTGCCTTCGATCACTGACTGAAGTTGACAAACAAGTTCAATTCATGGTCGTGTTTGAATAGAGGACCATTCCTGCATTACTGCCAAACACCGGCTCCGGCTTCTAGCCAGAGTCTAGCCTGGCTTCCTGGCGCGTCAGACGAGCTCTACGTGACCCGCCTGACCGATTGCTTGAACGTGTTCCTTTAGCGACGTTACCTCCTTGTCGACTTTGCCCAACAAGCCACGGATCAACTGCAGAAGCTTCAGCGACTGGATGGTGGAGATGGGCATGTCCATCAAGCAAAGATTCAGCAGTCCCTCGACAAACTCCATTTGCGAAAGCTGCCCCGTTCCATCCACATCCAGGTAGTCCTGGGTTGTGGTTTGTGCATGCGAGAAATGTTCCTCGATCGTAGGTCTTGCCAGGGGTTACCGTCCCAGCTCTGATCTGCGCATGCTCTTAGTCTAATAACAGCCCAGAATCAAAGATGTCTGCCATGCTTTCCACATAGATGGCATCAAGGACCCTTGGAGGCAGGACATCTAACGGGACGTTTACCACCTCCTCATGCGTCAGAAGCCCGCTGCGGTCCGTGTCTAAGGCGTGAAAGATCTCGATAAGCGACGGTAAGGCCTGGGCTGCCGGAAATAGACAGGGGGTGCTTTGAGCTACTTATAGCTAGTCTGTGTTCGCCATTGAGGCTCTGGCACCCCGCACCCTCTTCTTCAACTTCAGGCGTTCCTCTTCAGCTTCGTGTGCTGCCGTTTGCATGGCGTTTTCCACCAAAGCTGCCGTGACCAAATTCATCAAGCCAATGGAGATGAAGACCAGAATAGGGAAGAAGTACAAACACAGCCAAGGTCTTGCCATGATGAGCGGGTAATACACATCCGAGAGGTTGTCGAGCGTTACGAACTGCATCAGGGTCACCATCGCCCGATTAAGGCCGAAGAACTGCTTCTCAACGATCTCGGCGGTAGCCTCAGCACGAGCCAAGTAGTCATCCTTTGCGATGACCTCCACCGCGACGCACGCGAATATGAACAAGGAGACCATGATCCTCTCAAGAGAGCTGCTGCCAAAGCTTGCTTTCATTAAGCCCGGTATAGCGGCAGCTCCACAGAACAGCCAAGAAACAACATAGTAGTGGAGATGATCGTCTGCCCCGCATTCATCAGCCCGTAGATCAGCCGCCACACAATCTCAGATGCACTTCGTCATGGTCATGAGTTGGCTTAGGCTTAGCCCAGCAGTACGCCCGAGGAGCCTTGAAGTGCCGCAGCATCCGCCAGGCTCGGACGAGTCGAAACAAGCGCAGGCCTCACACGGAGCGTCTGGAGCGTTTGCAACGAATCTGACGCAGGAACACTTTGACCAGAGAAGGAGTGTGGTTGGAAACGGACGTCCTACCAGCTTGCTGGTTTGTGACTGTCGCGACCCCGACCCGCTTTGGATGCCGATGTTGACAACCAGAATCTCCCGAAACTCGGACTATACCCAGCAACACAAATACAAGGCAGAGCTGTGCAGAGAGAGACTCGCTCGCTCTCAAGGCGCAGTGCCTCCGGCGGGGCGGAGCAGACCCCGGCCTCGTACGACGAGCAGTCTCTCGAAGCCATCGATATCCCCAGAGTTGCCAGCGACTGCGGGCACAATCAGTAGCGCCTCAGGAAAATCGAAGAGAGTTCTCTCTGTCCTGATGAGGCGCCTATGAGTCGCCACAAGATGACTTCTGCTGGAGCCTACGGCCTACGTTACCGGTGTTCTTTTGCTGCCGCTTAACGTTACCGGTGTCGGGAGTCTTGATTTGAGTCAAATGCATCACGAGCACAAGCAATCCGACGATGACCAGGGCCACATCCAACCTCAGCGGCAAAGCGTCAAGGACACATCAGGGCTTGCCAGTTGTTGTGGTGGCGTTAGCGAGTCGCACGCAAACAGGGAAGCCAATGCGACATCGGTGCTATTGACAAAGAAGATAAGGATGGGAGTAAGTCTACATGTTCCATCGAAGGGTCAACTCGAAGTTGAGAGAAGAAGAACTGTATGCAAAAGGTCTTAGGTGAGTTCTTGAGGAGCTCTTTGGAGCGTCAGTCTTCTCTTTAAAAGGCCGCGAGGCAGGAACCAGAGGTCGAGGAAGATCATCAGGCCGCCGGCGACCAAACGCAGCAGCGCCTCGATGCTGTAGATTGCGAGGAAGATCCTCTCCACACCTGGAGAAGAACTTTTCAAGGACTTATAGGAAGGAAGGTCCCTCAGCCCATTAGTAGCCCTATCTCATCTTCGGGAACCTCTCGGTCTTAAGAAAGAGACCGGCGCGCACCTCCTGGCCAGAAGTTGCCGTTGTAGGTCTCGCCGCTGTGCAAGGAGAGCTGAGCTTCGATGCCGATGGTGACCAGGTTCCTGCGAAGGAAAAGCAGCAAAGCCAAAGAAGGAGCCAAAGCACATGGAGGAGCCCAGTGGGCCGCCGGGCTGAAAAGGCTTTGAAACTCTTCGAGTGCCGAGGGGCAGGAGGATGATCACCCCGGCGCCGAACTCAAACCACGAGGACTGGACGAGAGCAGCTGCCTGCAGAGCCAGCTACGAGTGCTACGCTGCTGCATGTCTCTCTCTCTCTCTCTCTCTCTCTCTCTCTGCCGTGCCATCATCAAGAGTTTTTTGTAATTGTAATGCGAGGGGGTGCGAAATCGCAGGCTAGAATCTAGAATCTCAGGAGGCATGGAGCGCGAAGATATATCACCACGGCACACCATGCTTTCTCATACACGCAGCAGTATAATAGCGACGCAGAGTGTCTCTTTTTATTTGAATTTCCAGCTTCGGCCCCCCCCCAGACGGGGCGCCTTTGCGCGGAGGCGGCCCAGCCAGGAGAGCTCTTTGGGGGCTGCCTCAGACTCAGACAGGAAAAGAGGATCAGCTGCTGCTTCGTGCTCGTGCTCTCTCTGCCTTGCTGTCGTTCAAGACCTCGGTGACGAGCTTGCGCAGTGGCCCCGCCGGGAAGTTCTGGGCAACGGTGTTCCGCGACCTCTGCTGGAGCGGGGGAGCGGACAAGAAGCAGAAGCTTTAGGCGTCGCCCCCAGCCTCAACAGGGACTCCGTGCTCATTGATCTTCTGCTGAAGGAGATGGATGCCCTGTTTGGCTCGTCTCCTTCCTCGTCTTCGTTTGATGTGGGTTCCCTGACCGTGTCCCCCTGTTTCGAAGGAGAAGGAGCCTCCTGAACTGGGGGAGCTGGCAGCAGTGGAGCGCCCTCTGCTTCCCTCCGAAGGTCCGCGAGAAGCTCATCCACGGAACGCTGCCACTCGCGGTGCTGGTCTCGAAGACGCTGTATGTGGGAAGAAGACGTCGTCTGCTGCTCCTGGATTTCGGAGAGCTTGGCCAGAAGCCCGGCGGTGGCCATTGCTAGGGCAGAGGAGGCTGCACACGATCTCGCGAAACTCTCGAAAAGTTCCTCCATTTCAGTGCTTAGCTCGAGGCCGTGGAGCTGCTGTCGTCTGCAAGCTGCTGTCGGGTGGCGGGCTGGTTACTACTTATCTGCCAGCTTGGACAACAACAGCATGCACATGACTCTGTCTGAGAACCAGCTGGCACAAAGACCATGTAAAGAACATGCGCACCCGTACGCGTTTGCGAGTGTGTGTGTGTGTGAACACAGGCGCGCACACACACACACACACACATAAGTACATATTTACAGGCCTTGATTCATGTGTCAGGAAAACCAAAAAATCTACAGCAAGACCGCTGATGCCAAAAACAAGGCATGCCGCTAGGGGGCTTCGATCTTTCGTTGCGGGCGAACCGTTTTTCTCTCAGCACTTCGACTCCCAGTCCGGTCCGGTCCGGTGTAGAGGGGATCGGGACCCCAAGACCAAGACGTAGTGACTTGAATGACATGACTTCAGCTAGACTCTGACGAGGAGCGCGACCAACGCGACCTTTGGCGCTTCTTTCTTTCGGACTCCGACGAGGAGTCGGAATGCTTCTCGGGCTTCTTGGCCGCTTTGGCCTCCTCCTGCGGCTTCTTGTTGGCCTTGGCCTCTGCCTGCAGGCGAGATTTCGTGCTGAAAACTCCTGAAAACACTTCAGCGATGCCTGGTCGTCTGGACGGTCTCGGTCTGGCTTCGCCTCCTCTGGTTCGGGCTCCTCGGCCACCTTGTCCTTCCAGCTATTCCGGAAGCTGGCCAAGATCTCCTGACAGGCTGAGCCCTGGCCCTAGCGAGCCCCAGCTGAGCCTTCGCCGGGGGCCCCGCCTGGGCCGACTTGGGCTTCCCGGAAACCAGGTTTCGTGATCTCGCGTTCACGGCCTCGGCGGCCTTAGCGGCGGCCTTCGCAGCAAGCTGGGCCTTCGTTGGCTGTGACAGCTGCGCTTTCGCCCACCTCGCAACGAGCGACACCAGCGACAGCTGACTTTCTGTGCAGCAACAGGTCTCTCCATGTGAAAGATCAAAGCACAGGCAAAAGGGTTTAGGGTTCAGAGAGTAGAATGCTCGACACAACAACCGATGTCTTCCAACTTCATCTGAGCCGTGCTAAGTATGCAATGCCAATCGCTGGAAAAGCCACACGCTGTCATCTCCAATGTTTCGGTAGAGCATGTCCCCTCTCCCGCGTTTGCCAGCATGCGACATACTTCGCCTTTCGCCGCAGGCGGCTGATGGATTACTAGGTAAAAGCTGTGTTTTTCCAAGGCATGACAGGCCGAACTGGTACAAGGCTTCCATTGAACCCGATGCAGCTTTGTGTGTTGCAAGGAGGATCTCTCGTTAGTCTCTGAACCAGGAGCGCTCCCGAGCCATGTTTTGCACTGAAGACTGTCGGCAGTTAGGTTATGAGGCATCTGCACTCTGGCTGGATGTCACATCTACCGAAGAGCGTCGGCCCTCGTGGTTTTGCAAGGCATGTGCAGTCAATGCACGGGGTCGGCAGTGCAGTTACGTCTTACGCGTAAACCTTCAAAATTTAAGGCTTCATTCAAGACCGGGTGAAACGGCTGCTCCGTCACATGCTCACAACGTCCCTATCGACGAAGGGTCCGTAGGGTAGCGACTGCAATAACCACTCGCAGCACTGTTCAATGTTCGACACGCGGCTGTTTACCAACTTCAAGAGCCGGAGGTTCTGTAAAGTCCACATTGGCATGTCCAAGAGTGACAAGTTCAACAAGCCTTCCACGAACTCCATCTGAGTGAGAAACCCGGAGTCGTCCACATCCAAGAGGTCGAAAATATCTTCCATGTTGTCCACACAGACGGCCTCCAGCACCCGCGGTGGCAAGATGTCGATGGGGACGTGAGACACCTCCTCCCGTGTGATCAAGCCACTGTGGTCCGTGTCGATGGTTTGAAAGATCCCAATCAAGGCCGGCAGTGCCTTGGAACCATCGAACTTTTGAACAATCTAGAAAAATAAAAACTTGTTCATGGCCGGGCACTCCCCGCACCTTCCGCTTCAGCATGGCCCGCTCCTGGCTGTTTCCGAGAGAACACTTTTCTGCGAATCGCGCATCTCAACATCTCCTCTTCCATGCTCTGGGCAGCGTTGTCCATGGCATTCTCCACCTTCACAAGATCTTTCTGCATGTCTGGGAGTGTCTGTCTCTGGCAGTCCGGGTCTAAGCCACAGGTCGCTAAGTGTTTTCAGCAAGGCACCAGCGCCGCAGTGACGAGATTCAGGAGGCCAATGGAGATGAACACCTCACCGAAGAAAATACCGCAGGGGAAGAAAGAGCAGGCACACGGGAAACCCAAGTCTCTGCTGCAAAGCTTCCAGGATGGGAAGGAAGTACGTCCAAAGCCTGGGATCTGGCGGTCTAGTGGCAGCGGGTGCAAGGTGTCAGATGCTCTCTGCGCAGCAATGCGCAGCCCTGAGCTCGCAGCCAAGGCTTTTTCACGATCAAAGGGAACCAGACATCGGAGAGCCCGTCCAAGGTCACGAACTGTCAGGATGAGAAGTACATCTTGTGCCTTGTGCTGCTCGTGAACATGGCATCCCTGCCTGCGTGAGTGTGAGGATTGCCCTCCCTACACCTAGAAAGCGTCCGACCACAATGTCTCGGGTTGACATGTCTTCAAGAAGGTCGGCATCTTTTGCAATTAGTTCCACCGCCACACACGCGAAGATGAAGAGTGACACAAGGATCAGCGCCGTCGTCGAGAGGATTGTTTGGCTGGCGGTCAAAAGTCCATAGACCAGACGCCACATGATTTTGAAGTGGCGCACCATTCGGAGGACTCGCACCAAACGCAGGAGCCGCACGCCCCGGACCACCAACAGTTTCTCCTTGGACCCGATACTCCAAAGACCCCTCCCCTGCCCGTCTACGTTGTCCAACATCTTGCAGTTTGGGCTCGAAGCCGCTGGTGTCTTCGCCTCCGACGATGGCGGGAACGACCCAAAGGGCAAGGAGCCCGATGGCAATCAGGCACACATCCATCCAGAACCAAAGATCTTGGAACACCACCCATCCCCTGGGAGTTAGCAGATCTCGATTTTGGGCAGTTTGAATCCGTTTTTGGTGGTTAAGGCTGGGACCGCCCAAAGAGCTGCAAGCCGGCTTCCACGCAGTAGATCCCCAAAAAGATGCTCTCGATGCCGCTGAACCAAAGGCTGTGCTGCGACACCTCGTCCTGGCTTGAGGCGGGTGGTGGCATGTGGCACCAGTCTAGCGGATTAGAATTACTTCTCAAGTAGCGTGAAGGATGTTGCAGAGTCTCCTGCAAGGACATCTCGGCCTCGACCCCGATGGCGACAAGGTTCCTGTTTTTTGCCAAGAAGGCCGTTCTCTGTGGATGTCGGGCGGAAACTCTGTTGCGCCAAGCTGCAAGAGGATCACAAAGCCAGAGAAGAACTCGAAGAAGCTCGAGTTCACGAGACGGCCACACAGCTCCCGTGCTTTGCTCATGGGTGAGACCATCACTGCGGTGTTGGCCTCTGCAAAGCAAAGCAAACTTCGCCCCAGCTTGACTTTTGCCAGGTCTACAACTCTCTTCACACTCTCAATCTCAAGTCTCTCTCTCTCTCTCGCTCTCTCTTCTCTTCTGCACTCTCTTTCTCTTCGCTTCGCTTGGCTTCACAGGGGCAAGGCACAAATGCGCACCCTCTCTCTCTCTCTCTTTGAGGTTCGCTTCCGGCGTCCCTTTGCCTCGCTGTGGGGCAGCAGCTCGATGAGCAGCTTCCGGAGGGGCCCAGCGGGCGCGTGCTGCAGCACAGACTTCCGAGACCTCTGCGCGAAGCACGACAGGAGACTTGTCTAGAAGGCAGCTGAGGCAACTGATGTCACTACTTCCGGACCCACCCCCCTCAAGTCTTGCTGCCGCCGCAGAGCTTCAGCAATGGATGAAGGGCCACCGCCTTGTTGCCACGGTCGCTATTTGCGCCTCCGACCTCCCTCTCCGTGATTGACCGCCGGCCTTGGCGCTCCGTCAACTCCGGCCCAAAACACTTATCTGACGCCTTGGACCAGGGAAGGCCTGGGGCTGTGAAGGTAAAAAAGCATGACGAAGTGCTGTCGTGTAGATGTAAGCAACTGAATGCAGTACCGATCGGGTTTCGAGCTTCACGACGTTCACTCGTGGGCAAGCCGGGCGAGGCTTGTTCGGAGTGTCCAAGAGGTCGGCAGTCTGTATTACCGATCCAGTCAGCAACGGGCTTGGGAGAGATGCCAACTGAATGCTTGAAACCTACAAGCGGCGGGCATCATCAATGAGTCTGTCTTACTGTTATTGCAAGAAGCAGAATCAGAGTCAGACTGTAGCTTCCGGGCCTGCTGCCTTTGTTTTTTTTTGCATGGCCAACCTCCTCGGCAGGGTCGCCTCCTTGGAGGTTCCTGGTTAATGTTGCCCCCCCAAGCTGGCTTAATGGACATCGTCAACACTCACATTCAGGTCACATCCAGACATTTACAACATATTTTCAACTCATCAAGAACACGAAGAAACAGCCATTCCCTCGTATGCTGCAAGCCTCTCCGTGGTGAGCTGCCATGAATAAATATCTCGAAAAAACCCTAGATCATCCGTGAGGCTACATGCGTTCATCATGGTGCTGGTTGGGAGATCTGGATTTGCAGTTTCCCGCCGACTCGATGTGCTCATTCGAGTCAACGACGTCAGCTGCAGCCCACATGCCCACAACCAGCGCAGCAAACAGAGATTCGTTTTCGTTTGGCAGTGCGAAGTCACTGTGAGGGCTCGCTCAAGTTCAACCACAATCCAGTGCATAAGCTTAGCTTGCAAGAGTTAGAACCCATGAGCCGAAACTCTGGGTCCAGCAGCCAAGGCTTGAGCCAACATGGCTAAACCCTTACAATGCTGAAAAAACCCTGAAGTGTACGTAAATGCAGTCGAGAACTTTCAAAGCCAAGCTGCGTCGGGGCTCTCTGGGCTCTTCGGGTACTTCGCTGAGTTGCAATTCCAGGGCGTTCTCGTGATTCTTGAATGCCGTGCCCACCCGCTCCAGCAAGCTTTCGACAGTCCCTGACATTGACAGACACGCTTCGAAAGCAAGGGGCCCCAACACAAACACTCAGGACTACTATTCCGCTTTATTACAGCAAACTTCATAGGCCTGTCCTATGCGTGCTGTACCCCGGGCCCCTGCCCAGTGTGTCCTTGCCACTCGCGGTGCAGATCTCTCAGGCCCTCGATCCTCGCAGAGGACTCTTTGAGCTGCTTCCGCACCTGGGCAGCCAAAACTGCTTCTCTAGAGAAGGTGCGATGCTTGTTTCACTTTCTCCAATTCCCGTGTCTCTTTCCAGCGGTTTGCTCGTGTTTCTGATATTTTCTAGACCTCTTTCTCAAGTTCTCCTCTCTGTCCAAGCTCTAGACTCTAGTCACTCTAGTCTCTGTTCCACGCTTGCCTCCCCTTGCGGGTGACCAGTGCCGACGCTTGTTTGGGTGTTGAATGCCAGTGTGTTCGACGCTTCTCTCCCCCCCTTGTCGCCCTCCGTTTGCTGCACGTGTGACAATGCAAAGGAGGCTGCCGATGCTTCGAGCCATGAGTGGATGCCAATGCTTGGAATCATAGCCCGGTGCTGCTCTGGTCTGGTTCGGCTGTATGGGCCCGCAGTGGCTGTAGTCAGTGTTTGAATAGCGCTACGACTGAAGATATGGGCCTGATAAGGGCTTCATAAGACATTTCTAGTCTGAGCTCCGGACTTCTGCCAGCTGCTCCAAGCCTTCTTCCATTCGGGCGACTAGGCTCGGCCAGGCGGGTCGCCGAGAGAGCCTTGACTTCGAAGCGGCTGCAGCGGCAGTGCTTAGCTCCTCGATAATAGCGAAAATGGCCCTGGTTTGTCGGGGTCTTGAGTCTTGGGGTCTTGTGGGGTTCAGCGTCGCAAGGTTTTCGTTGCAGCTTGTTGGGCCGCACCACGACCTTAGGCGTCTGTTTGCGGCAGCTGCAGATCGTCGACGTGTCCGCTGGTTCCCAGCTTCCAGAAATCTAAATCTGCGAGTGTGTTCCTGCTATACAGCTGTAGCACGTTGCAACCGAATTAAGATCGACTCAAGAGCTCAATGACTCCATGGACTGTTTCTTGCGCTGTCTAAAGCTTTACCGCCGCTTGCTCGGGGTGGCGTCGCGCCTGCGCCTCGTCGGCGATGTCGGCGACGCGGGCATTTCCTGAGGCCTCGTAGCAAACTCCCTCCACAATGCCTTGAATTCGCTGGCATACGCCGCGACCACCGCTGGGTCTCGGAGAATGCAAAGATTTTCCCAGTTCGTCATACTGGCTTGCTTTGTCCAGTTGAAGCTGCCAGTGAGAACGCACTCGTCCAGAATGGCGATCTTGTGATGCATTCGAGCCGGGGAGGAATCGATTAGGACTGGGACTCCAGCTTCAAGCAGCTTCGGTGCGTCTGCCCCGAGCATGCCGCATTGCTCATCATCCACTATCACCTTCACATCTACACCCCGCTGAAATGCAGAAAGAAGCTCTCCAGCTAGCACGTCGTCGGTGAGCGCGAACATTGCTACCCACACCTTCCGCCTAGCTGCCCTGAGTAGCAAACAGATATGTCGGACATGAGTGCCGGATTTATCAGGGAAGAATAAGACTTCGGGACAACGCCAATATGTCTGCCGAAGGTGTCGGAAAATGTGCCAGATGCAGAGGACTACTGCCGACAACCAAGCTACCGAAGCAAACCCGATCTCTATCTCTGCCTTGTGCTCGCGGTGCTCGCTACAGTAGAGCTGAGCCAGGTCGCCCAGGCTTCCAGCAGACGGTCGATACTCTTCCGGCATGCGTTCCAATAAGAGATCTGAGATGATTGCCAGTTGCCCCAAAGCGAAGATGGACATGTCTGCTAGGAGGCCGCAGGTTTTCTGAAGCAAACACCAGGACGTTCCCCAAAAGCCAGCTGTGTGGCAAAGTGGGCTCACAGACCATGGCAGGTCCACGGGCGACATCCACTGCAGTGCGGGTGGGAGGAGGTCGAGCCCCAAAGAGCTTTTCGCTTTCAAGCACCCGTCGGAATGATTTTTCAGGAAATCCCGGGGGTTGGGTACCTCTGGTTTTGGTATTAAAGGTTTATGAGCCCGTCATCAAGCAGTGATCTCAGGTCGCGCGGCTATCACGCGACAGTTTATCACAGTCACAGAATATTGGCGGAATAACCACAATAGAGGTAAGCAAACGGAGCGGTAACCGCACTGCGCATGATGACGAATGACACTCAGGGGGGGCCCTTTCACGCTCTGCGCAGGAGTCTATATGGTCGCAGGGCTGTCGCCAATTCTGGCGACAGCCCTGTTTCGGCACCTCTGGGAGTCCAATACATTGGACTTCCGGAAAGCTGGGAGCCCAGTCTGCAGGCGTATACGGCCTTAAGGGGGACCCCTTGCGACCAAGCCTGAAAGCATCAGCGATGCTCAGCGTGTCCTCACGGAATAAGAACATGCCTGTACAAGATGCGCTGCGATCCGGAGCCACGGAGAAGCTACCGGAGCTGAGGAGGCTGTGGCACACCTTCCTTAGCCTTAGCCGCCTTAGCCTTCCGGGCCCTGGCCCTGGCGACGAGAGCCCAACTTCTCCAGCTTGCTCCGTGCGGAGCTCTTCTCGGAGATCTTCTGACTGTCGAAATAGCCCCTGGGGGCAACGTCCAGCAGCCACTCCGGCTTGATCTGCGTGCCTGCAAGCATCGCGAACTTGTAGAGCCCCAAACACCCCCCTCCTCCAAAGAAAAAGAAAAACATCGGTCACCTGTCTTGATGAAGAGCTTTGACGACAGAGCCAGCTCGTGGAAGACGATCCACTCCGGCCGGTGTCCCAGCGAGGTGGAGGGGTGCAGCAAGACCTCCTGCAGGGCGCTGAAGTGGCTCGATAAGTGTAGCCATGTGGCCTCTTTGTCCCAGAATGGCTTTTGCGTTACTTCCGTTTGTTTTTTTGGTTTTGGTTGTTGGTTTTGGCTTCCTTTCCCTGATAAATCAAGAATAGCGCATTCGGCTCCCTTGGACGCTACGGCACGACTGCACAAGGCTGTCGGTCCTGGCCCTCCCTGAGCAGGCTGTAAGCTCCCCGCTTCTCGCTCTCTAAACAAGCGATCTGCATGAAGAAGCCGGACACGAGGCACCTTCTGATGTTGGGATAGTATTCCTTATCCTGCAGAGAATCAGCACGATCGGTGCAACTGCAGCACACAGCACACCCACTTCACGCTCACGGGGACAACAACATGCCTCCGAAAGACACACTAGATGTCCTGGAAGTCCGTGCTGATCATTTGCAGCCCGATACTTTCCATGATCCTTTTCAGATGGTCCCGGGCTATCTCTGCGTGGCGCATAGCCCGGATGGAGATAAAGTTCTCCGCGCAAAACCTGGAAGGATCGTGGCCGTCCTGGATCTGCTGCTTGTAGGCATGGAAAACCTGGGTTCAACCGAACAAGGAGCTCATCGATTCTTATGGTGCAAAACCACGCAGAGAAGATGGGATCTAAAAGATGCCAGGCTGCATTCAATAGGGTCAAGTGGTCTCCGTCCATGTGGGCAAACCTGGCTTTGGCCTCAGCAGATCTGCTGTGGACCGGACACCTCGCTGTGCTTCAGAACGTGCCTCGTTCGCTGCCCGGAAGGCATCGTTGGGTCTGAGCCACACGGGTAGCGAGCAGAGCATTGCTGCTATGGACAAGGCCTCATTGCCTGGGCTCAGTGGCACTGAGTGGCTCGGCGGCTCGGTTACCTATGATTTGCTTAAGAACCCCCAAAAAATTAAAAAAAATATTCCTTAGGGGGGTAATATAGGGATTATTATTTTTATTTTTTGGGTGGTTCTTAAGCAAATAGTAGTTACGTTTTGGGGCCTTCAGGAACTTCAGGGTGTGTTGGCTCCGTCCTTATAAGAGCTGAGTGGCTGCATCGGTGCGCCGGGGCTTCGATGAGCATCCGTGCGATCTGCGGATCCACTGGAAGCCGGCAGGCTTGGTTCCCAACCTCCGTGATGTTCCCGTTGTCATCGATGCCTCACGAAAGACGAAGGACGAAGGCTGCAGCTTCTGGGGACGGCGTACGCTAAAAGGAACCATTTGAAGACCAGGCTGCAGCCCAAGTGGTTCAGGGACTCCAGGGCCCTCATGAGCGCTTCCGGCGGGGGCGGATCAACGAAATCGAAGTGCACAACGTCGTCGAAGCCCAAGCGCTTCAGCATGAGCACTATGGTCGTAAGATTTGATCTCCTGCTGGCATTCAGGTGCTACAGTGCTACCAATGTCCGCCTGGTCGTTAAGACAGAGGGCCAAGAGAAGAAAGCCACACTGTTTTAAGAATGCGGGCCATGCGGCATGATTTCAGGATAAACCTTGTCAGGCCAGTCGCTGGTCGCCCGCTCTGGGTAGAGTCTGAAGCACTTCCCAGGGCGTTGGCGGCCGGCGAGGCTGGTTCGCTGAAGTGCAGAGGCTTTGGAGATCGGCGTCACCACATTCACCTCCATCCTTGTCCGGGGGTTGTAGGCACGCTGCTTCACAAGCCCAGCATCGATGACATAAGTGATCCCATCGACTGCTAGGGACGTCTCAGCGATGGCACTCGCGACAACGACTTTCCTGCTTGGCTTGCCGGCCATCATCTTCATTTGCGCAGCGGGCTCGAAAACCCTCTGTGTCTCCATGATTGGCAGGCCAAGATACAAAGCCCGCACCTGCAGGTCCCCGAAATTCATCATGTGCACTGACTCCTTCCGGAGTAGCTGACATGCTAAGTCGATCTCGTCTTCCAAGGGCAAGAATAGGAGAATATCACCCTCAGGCTCCGTGGTGTGAACTTGAGCCACCGTCCGAACAGCGGCCTTTAGATAGTCTTTCTCAGAATCCTGGCAGTGGAAAATCTCAACTGCGAAAGTCCGATTGGGAACCTGCAGTAGTGGGGCACCGCCCTCGAAGTAAGCCTGCACCTTCTTCACATCCATTGAGGATGACAGCAGCAGCAGCTTGAGTTCGGTGCGTCTTTGCATTACCATCTTCAGGATGCCCATGAGCACATCTGTCTCACAGGTCCTCAGGTGCACCTTGTGGAACATCAAAACTCAGGGAAGACAGAACACTCTAACCTCACATGAGGCCCAGCACTTCGCCTCATCCAGGATGATGACGCTGTATCTCTCCAGCAGTGGGTCCTCCATGGCCTCCCGGAAGAGGGCTTCGTCAGTCAGGAACCGCAGCAGCGTGTCCCCGGACGTTCGGTCCTTGAAGCAGGGGCCAGGGGCAGGGGAGCCAACTTCAAGGAACTCTTGCAGAGCTCTCAGCCGGCGCGCCTCGAAGCGGGTCACGTGTCCAACGAAGGTTCCCACCTGCACCTCCAGCTCTTCGCAAATCCGGAGGGAAGCGCTCAGCGTGGCCAAGGGGCTAGGCTGGACACCTCAACACATCTCACGTCGATGTTGAACTTCCATCATACCCTGCTGAAGAATGCCGAGCCGCAGCAAATGGCTCGAACCTGGCCCATTTGGACGTGGTAACCGGCGTCAAGCATGATCTGTGGCAATTGTGTGGTCTTGCCGGATCCAGGCTCACCCACGAGAACCAAAACCTCGGATGATAATGGGTTACCAGTACTTCTCAGGAAGGAGGCCAGTCTTGGACGAAGCTTGATGCCATACGGTGCCATAATAACTTGACAGCCAGAGGGTTAGCCACTAGCCGACACTGGTATGTGCGCATGTACAGCCAAACGCTCCAGGCAGCTTGGTTCGATTGCATCAGTTTCAGAAAGTCCTGTCTTGCCATCCATGCCGGCAGTCTTTGCCGCTTCTCCAAGAGGTAGTAGAATCGAGGGGTGTACCTCGAAGGTTGCAACCAGACCGAAGAGCCAGGGAAAAAGGGCACTAACTGCGCTGGGCGCCCGGCGGAGCTCCCGTAAGAGGATTTTGGTTCTGGCGTGGGGGTTCTGGAGGTTGAGGTGTCTGATTGTACTGATCCTGTTGCATGTGATGTTGCTGCTGTTGCATGTGCTGCGGCTGTTGCATGTTCTGGCCTTGCAGGTTCTGGTTCTGCATGTGCTGTTGCAGGTGCTGCTGCATCCTTGCTTGGATTTGCTGCTGCATCTGCTGCTGCATTTGCTGCTGCATTCGCTGCTGCAGTTGTTGGTGCATCTGGTCGCTCATGTCCTCATCACCCTCCTGGTAGTCCTCTTCCTGGTACTTCTCCTGGTAGTCTGAGCGATACGTTAGGCCGTCGCCTTCGTCCTCGTTTGGCTGCTCCTCCTGAGCTCCGCTTCCCGCGGCGTAGCCCTCGTAGCCTTCGCCCGCCCCATCTTGGCCTTGCATCATCTGCTGCCATTGCATCTGCTGCACCTGCTGCACTTGCTGCTGCATCTCAGGGCTCAGATGTTGCTGCATATCGTTCTGGTAGAGTTGCTGAAGCACTTCAGCACTCATTTGCGAGCCATCCATTGCCAACCAGCAACAGGTGGCTGGGTGCTATCAGTTGACCGCTGCCTTTTCACATCTTCACTACTGCTTCCAAGCACTCGGGCCAAGGGCGAGTTTGAAGTCTCCGTGTCGGTGTGCTCTGCAGCAGACGCAGCCGAAAGTGAGAAGCATGCGGCTCTTTCCTAAAGCTGATGCTAGCGCTCACTCGCTCTCTAAGCTGAAGCTGCCCGGGTTCATGCCATGTGGTCAATGAGAGGGTGGTGCCCCACGCATTGTTTGTTTGGGAGAGATTTCTGGACATGCGATGAGGACATCGAGTCTCCTTTGTCTCCCTGTCTCCCAAACTGGCATGTCAGCCCGGTTGAATAAGTGCACATCTGTGCATGATGGGCAGTTCGGCAGCCACTCAAATAAGGCGACCCCTGCCACAAGGGAAATCCATCACTGAAGACGAGCAAGGGGTAATGGATCGTTCTCACGACCTTCCGTTCCCTCTCTGCCCTGCTGTGCCACCTCCCTTCCGTGAGCGATGCCTTAGGCATAGCTCGAAGGGAGGTGCTGGTCACACCAGAGCAGATGGCTTGAGCAACACAGGACGGGAATCATTGGCTGCCTCTGCTAAAGAGCCAATGTGGGGGAACAGGGGGCCGGAAGAGAAGGAGGTACACTAGCAACAGAGGTATGCCTGCGGCAGCTCTTTTAGGGCTGGCAACTTCTCAAGCTGCTTCGGCATGTCTGCGTCCGGCGCAGAACTGCGCACGTGTGCCTGATGCCTCTGTGAGGGCCCTGACAATGCTTCAGTTTGGCCACGGCATACCGCCGTCCGTCCTGCGCAAAGACGCTGGACACAGAGCTCCCAAAATGCAGGTCACGAGCCTGGAGAATCCGTGGACTGGGTGCAAGAATCCGGGAGCCGGCCAATCCAAAGCAGGGTCTTTTGGCCTGGCGGCTACGAAATCTAATTACCTTTGCTTTGCAAGCTGAGCCTCACCTGACGCCTAAACAACTCACAAGAGGCAGCATCTCCTCTGCCTCCAATAGGTTGGGAGAAGGCTCTTCTTCTCCAAGTTGGCTTCCTCTCACACCAGTACAGCAAGTACAGCATTGCAGATTTTCCATGGGCCATGGCCAGGCGGCCAGGCAAAAGAGGCCTCGCAGTCCGTGGCCGTGGCCGTGGCTGCCTGCCAGAGACGCAGCGCGCCGCAAGCCGCAAGCGTGAGAGGCGTACGCCCCCGTCGATCCCGTCGATGCCCTTGCAGCCGCGGGCCTCAGCACTGTTGTCCAGCACAGATGCAGGCATCTGCCAGCGTGTCCTGGAGGCAACAGGGGGCGGCAGGGCGAAAAAACGTCTAAACAGCACCCGCCCCCCGGCCCGCCCCCTAAGCTGCGGCCCCCTGCGGCGGGTGCGGCTCGCTCCTGAAGTTCTTGGCGGAGTTGGCGCTCGAGGGTGCACGGCTCAGGCTCGGAGCCGAGGAGGCGCGGATCAACTCTCGAGAAGAGGCCTCTGAAAAAAAGAACGAACGCGTTCAAAGCGGAGGGCATCCGAGTATATCTCGCAGAGTGTCTCGCAACAGAGTGCCAGGGCCCAGGCTGGCAGTGATTTCAAGGCCATGACGGTGCCAAGGGTTTGCTTGGCATCAGCCCGAAACCTCTTTCGACGCAGCACACGACACAACCACGAAACACCAAAGCAAAAGCAAAGCCACATTGGCAGCCTGAACTTTCTGCCCTCGTTGATTTTGGCCTGGCAGTCTGTATTCGTGCTCTCTACCAAGCCCCCATGTGCATGGCAGCACCTCAAATCGCGAAACAGGACCACCCTCACCAAACCCTCCATATCCTCCATCCAACAGCAGTCGATGGCACTTCAGACCGCCCAGGAAGAGAGCCTAAATGAGCGCCGCGCCGTGCCTTGGCCTCCTTCACAGTCACCCCGGCCGATCTTCCACAGTTCAGAATCTGCTTGTACCCTTCATCTCGGGCATCCAGGCCGGTCTCAGTTTCGATGGGGAGTGCAGGGGGCCTTGATGCCTGGCTGTCCGAGATCTCAGGCCGCTACATCGGGAAGCTTGCGCAGCTTCACGGGCCCTGCCTTTGCTACGCGGAATTGCAACTGGCAAGCCGCCCTCAAGGCTTTCGGCAATAAACTTTCCCACCGCCATCGCCACCTGATCACTTACTTGCTACGCTCAACCAGTTTATGGTTGTGTCTCCGCAAACGCCGCAGCAAAGCTCCCTCAGCACCACCCAATTAGTGCAAACTCTGGCTCCGTGTGTACTATCTTATACCACTGGCTGTCAAAATTGGTCAAGCTTTCAAGTTCCAGACTTGCGGATTCGGGAAGTGCTGCATCTGGTTCACGCTCCCAAGCCTCTCATCAGGCTACGACCTCTTCAAAGCTTCTGATGCAGGCACCCAGGCCTGCCACCGCGGAAGCTGGGATCGTAAACGATGGTGACGTCCTCGGCAAAGAGCGACCCACGCAACGTTCAAGCTTAATATGCGACGCACCCACACACAGACACACACAGACACACACACACACACACACACACACACACACACACACACACACACACACACACACACACACACACACACACACACACACACACACACACACACACACACACACACACACACACACACACACACACACACACCACCACACACACACACACACACACACACACACACACACACACACACACACACACACACACACACACACACACACACACACACACACACACACACACACACACACACACACACACACACACACACACACACACACAAACGCACAAACAAACAAATACTCTCGCTCTCTCTTTTCCTTCGCCAGGGCTGTGGTGAGAGGGAGAAATCTCTCTCTCTCTCTCTCTCTCTCTCTCTCTGACAGAGGCTGGGGAGACAGACACGCAGACAGACCGGCCGACCCATTCTTGACCGCCGGATGCGAGGCAAAGACAAACACAATGGCTCGCGCAGGAACTCGAAGTGATCGCAGCTCAATGCAGAGATTGAGGCGAGTGCCTTGCCGGTGCCGTTGGCGACATAGTTGTTGTTGATCAGGCGCAATCCGTACATCTGGTCTGCGCTGGAAAACCAAAGCTCTGTTGGAGGATCGCCCAGCCGAGTCCCCAGCTCGAACCGAAGGCAATTAATTTGGGCAGCTTGAAGCACAGCAACTGCGATGCCCGTGTGCCCTCATCTTCTCCTACTGCATGCATAAGCTGATGGCGTTCATGTCGGACGCGAACGTGCGAACATGTTGCCACACTTTGGTGGGCTCGATTTAGCGCGAGAGCATTTGGCGAGCCAGCACTTGGTATGCCGGCCCGAAGGCGCCTTGCGCCATGTAAGAGATCGGCTGAGCACCATGGAAAACAGCCACACACGCTTCCGACGCTCCATTGCAACCTGCATGGAGGGAGTGGCCCAGAAACAAGAAAACATCACCTGGCCGGACCACGGTCAATGTCACATCCTTCCGCTGCAGCCACTCGCCAGCCTCTACCGGCAGTTCGGTGTCTGTGGAGAGAACGGCTTCGTGAGACGCCACGTTCGCCTCCCAAGGAACCACCGGGCCTCCCTCCGTCTTTCTGCCGGGAGGTGGCGACACACAAAACACCTTCGTTCCATGCAGCACATGGCAGAATTGCATCAAGGGCTTACGGTCGATGTGGAGATGGGATGCAGTGCCTCCATCCCCAGCAAAAAGCATGGGTGTCTGCTCCGAGAAGTACAGGTAGTTTGTGCCCATATGCTGGCTCAAGCGTGGCACCAATTTTTGCAAGCTCAGATGCGTGCTCGAAAGGCTTGACAGTGCATCGTCTGCAGCCGGGACTTCTCGCAAGTAAATCTTGTCAGTTAGCTTTGGCCGACTGAGCTTCAGGGTGATCGGATCAGGTCCAGCAAGTAAGTCCTGGAAAGGGCGGGATCTGGCACGCTATGAGCTCTGCAAGCTCGAGTGCTAGCAGGGGGAGTGGGAGTTGGACAGAAAGAGAAAAGAGGCTCGGCACGAATGAAACGAAGAGAGCTTTCTCGCTGAAAGGCAACAGTGCGGCAGTGACGGAAGAGTCTCATTCAGCGCAGGCATGCCAGGTAGCCACACTAGCAGCACTTGCACCAGTGCACATGCATGCACCTCGTGAGCAAATGGTGGAACATGAGAGACAGAGTGAGACAGAGAGAAAGAGATACAGAGTGAGCAGGACAGTGAGACACAGCGAACCTGGCAACATGTCTTTTGAATCATGCAACATGCCGGTGGGCGATGCACACAACGCCGATCCATGACAAACCCCTTCTGGATGGACTGGTCTTGCCTGACACTGTTGGGATGTGGATGCTTAGTACTTAATTAGCTTCGCATTTCCGAATACAGGATCTTGCATTGGCCAGGCATCCAACGAATTTGTAAACAAACAGCTCGCACGTCGAAGAAATCGCCTGGATGTCGTCGAAGGGTGTCTGCAGCACTTCAGAGTCTCCAATCTTGACGATGAGATCACCCACACGACACCCTGCCTTCTCGGCCTCCGAAATCAACTTGTCTGAAGTTGCGCAGTAAGGGACTTAGGATGTTTTAGAGCTGGAGCTTCCTACAGCAGCCATGAGCACGGCTCTGGCCTCAGTGCCGGGCTCAACTCGGCGCAGCACAGCCCCGCAGGTCCATGAAAGGCTCTCGCACTCCAACCCCAGAGGCTTCTCCTGAAACAGGCACGTCCAGTCCGTCCAGTGTCGCGCTTCTGACATGGGCTGAGGCTTCGGGACCCTGAGGTTTGCCATTCTGGTCTAAGTCTAGTTGAGGGGAGCCTGGAGGACGACCACGAAGTCTGCCATCTTCTCCGAGCCCAGGGCTGCCGCCACGTCGAAGTGTGCGCTTCTAAGACTCGCAGGCATTTCGCTTAAGAAATCTTCGAAAGTCTCGGCGGAAGGACACAGGAGGCTTCGGAGGCTTCGGCCATCGATCTCCTCCTCAAAAGCATGGATGCAACCTGAACGCAAAGACACAAAGACTCTCTTTCATGGCCTACCCTGCAGATTACATTCTACTGTCCCCCGAACCCCCACTTAAAGAGGAACTGCTGGAAGGCCGCCAAAAACACACACAGATTTCTGAAAACCTGACTGATGCTAATGGCCTTTTATCAACACCTGCTTTCGGACTTTCGGGTCCTCGTTAATGCGGAGGGTGCATGGACTGCGCAATGGCCGAACAACGAAACGCTACTGGTGCTACGTTGCTTTAGAAGCCAAGTGACTGAGAGAGGGCAAGGACATGGCAGCAGCTCCGTTCGGGAACAGAACGGGTCCTGGCCCAAGCAACGCCAAGGCAGCCGCACGTTGCACAAAGAAATGCGGGTCCAGGATCACGGTGCCGGGGCCTTTCAACGGCCAAGCTTCCAAGCACCTCCGAAGATTTGCCGGCCAAGAAGGCAACTCTTCTTCAAGACTACCGCGGTTGCGGTGTAATGCTAGCTTCGCAATCTTCCCAAAAGGCAACTCCAGAGCCAACTCCTCGCTCTGCCAGGTATCGGTGAGGCCGCTGCGTTTCAGCAGAACAGGGCTCCAGCCTTTTCTAGCTTTATCATACACTTGCCCGTGCAACAAAGCTGATCCGTCTTCCAGGTGCTGTATGGCGCCGAGAGCCACGTTACCACCAGATGCACCCTTTGCTTGCACCGTAGGCGCGACCCAAGCAGCCCCATCGCCTTTGCCATCCGTCCTGCTGCCACATTTCACCAGTGACCGTCTCAAGCACACACGCCTCAGTGTTGGCCGGGCCCAACAGCGCAACAGCACTACAAGTCCGCAAGCTTTGTGCGACACTCTTGTGGAAGTCTGCGATGCTTGACCTGCACTTCAAAGTTCGCCAACCCGCGCCCCTCTCAACCTCGACCTCTGAAGTCTCTGTGTTGGAACCCCTCGGTTAACCCTTGAGGCCTCGGTGCGGGCTGCAGTGCGGGCTGCAATGCCCGCAACCCGCGCTCGGGGCAGGCACTGCACCGCATTCCAACCGCAGGGGAAGACTAACGCGAATCATGACGCATCGGAATTGCATATAGTCTATAGGTCCATAGGCGGTGTAAAGTCAAGCTGCATGGATTCCATTGCGAATGTTGCGGCAAGTTGTCTGTGGTAGCATGTTTTCGCCTGCTTTCTCTGTCAGGGGCTTGGAGAACAACTCCACCCTCGCCGAATGAATGCCAGTGCACAGTCTCACTGGTGGTTATGCGGATAGATGCTGACATGCACGTGGTATTGTAGTATGGTGTCAAACGAACTACGCTGCCGCAGAAGTAGATGTAAAGCCCACAGACAGGTGCATCAATGCTAGACAGGACGAGGCACGATTGCAGCACGAACAAACAACTGCTGCAGTTGCAGTCGGCGCGCTCTCCTTGTTTGGGCAGAAGACGTCATGCTCTGGCGCTGTTTCTGATTCTTTGAATCAAGCTCGAGCAGCATGGCGGCATATGTCACGCGACTCAGTTCAAGGGAAAGGGTCCTTGCTGGTAGCATAGTCTTCCCGCATCTTGCGCAGCCATTCCGGCTCGTTCTGTCTATCCACCTGTTGCAAAAGCACTTTGTAGCAGTGCTGCAGCGTCTTGAATGATGCTCCATCTTCCTGTCCTCTGGGTAAAACGTCCGGGTGCAATTCTTTCGCCAACCTGAGATACGCGGTTTTCAGCTCTTGTTTGTTCAAGGTGCTGTCAGGGGCATATCCAAACAGCTCCAAGCAGTAGCACTTGTCCAACGTCGGATCCGCTGGTTGGCACGTGGAGACATACCTTTGGACCATTTTCCGACAGTAAGCCTTGTGGCCGCGAATCAGGCTTGCTGTTAGGCGCATGGCTGGGAATGGCTCGTAGCAGTGCTACATGCTCGACGGTTTCGGAAGAGCTCCCTCACTCACCATCTACTGCAGACTGCACACCTGCGTAACAGCTATACTTGATCAATTGTCGTGCTGCTTCACTCAGCATTCTCAAGACATGGAGTTCTGTTCATTGAATGCGTCTCGTAGCGCAGCACTGCCTTTTGCATGGATCCTGCTATTGCTGATCGGCGGCATGGGGGGGAGGGGGACGGGCATGGGGGACGGGCATGTAGCTGTTTGCAGCTCCTTCATTCTCAGCAGGACAAAGCAACATCCCACTAAAATGATTTGTCCATTTGTCAGCACTGGCTGGCAGCCCCAAACCAGCCGTCCGCGCAGGTGTGAGGCGCTGAGCGCAAACCCGCCGCGCAGCACGTCACCTGCCTGCCACAGCGAGTACATGAGTACATCTGCTATCGCTGGCACTACACCGCTGAAGCTCTTACCTTACTGAGTCCTTATCGAGCAAGTGCGCGCTTGTTCTGGAGGCAGAAGTCTTGGTATGCCTGCTTGGTTTTATTCGTATTGACTGGCTAGAAAATCGAAGACGGGCAGTCCAGCTGTAAATTATCGCGGTGCAGTATTGTACAAACGTGTCTTCTGCAACCGATGTCTTGCAGTATCGTTTAGCACAAGTACATACGGCAAAATCTCCTCCTGCCTGCGAATTTTTGACCAAGCACGAAGGGTTTTCCTCGCTGTCTGGCACGTCCATATTGTAAGCACATTGTAACGAGCTAGACGCTTGCTGCAAGCATACTACATGCGAACAACGATGTCGCTTTAAGTATGCCGCAGGGGACTACCAAAACGCAGCAACCAGAGAGATGAAAGCATCCATAACGGAGAGTCTGCCATTGAGCAGGATCTGCCATCTGGATCCTCCCTGGGTGCAACCGAAGAATAAAATGATTTTCTAAACCGCGCCGATGGCGGTGCCTGGCCGTCGTGTCGGCATACCGCCTCTAGAATGCCAACTGCCTGCAATACAGCGTGGTACAGTAGAGTACAGCACGGTCTACTACAATGTACGGCTCAGAGAAATCTCCGAATCGCAAGGAGCACCAATGAACTAGACTACTGTACCCATTTCAGGTCAGCAGAGCCGGGGCAGGCAGAAGGCACAGCGGCTCGTGCTCCCAGCCCTGTCTCCGTCTCTGCCCCTTTCGGCCAAGAGGAGCTCCTCCGGAACGGGAGGAGCCCGCGCAGGAGGCTCCGCGGCTCTTCCGAGGAGCTGCGGCTCCTGGGTCTGGACCCGGGACCGCGGGGGCCCAGAGCTTCCAGAGCTCGAAGGTAGGAAAACGAACTCCTCCACATGGACGTGCCACGCAAGCCTGCCAGCTGCTGCTTTCGTGGCGGCAACCAGCCGTGGCGGACCACAGACAAAGACCATGACTTGACCTTGAAAAACGCCTTCTTCTGGAAAAGTCTCGCTCAATTTCACGAGCCAGTCGCCGGCATCCACCCTGTTGCGATGTGCCTTCAGGGGGAGTGCCTGATCGCCGGTCTCACCCGCTGGCAGAGCGATTTGCACAGAACTTCTTGAGTCTAGGTGGGGCTCCAGCAGCGGTGCCACCTTTTCCAAGAGGGCTAGGCTCCTCAAAGACCAGAAGATACACACTTTCTGAGCTTTCTGAGCTGCTGCTGGTGCCAAGGACAAGGCGGGTGTGACTCCGACCCCACCGAGTACGAAGACCATCCGAGCAACTCCCGGCAAGGGCCGGAGGCAGCCCGTAGGGCCCTTCCAGCTTTAATCGCAACTCCAGTCCGCGCTCACGCTGACAGGCTTTGGCAAGCTTGTCTGTGAAGCCGCTGTGGACCTTGATGAAGATTTGCAGCTTCCCATGTCCTTCTCCAGGTACCAACGTGAAGGGGTGAGGAACTGAAGAGATTTGCTCTGCAAGGAGGTGACCCCACTGTCCAGCCTTGAAGGAGAAACCTTCGGCTGCCAGGGACAGAAAGAGATGCTTGCCAGATCCAAAGGGCACGACGCTTGCCGATAGGACTTCCGCATGATACGCGGACATGCGAACGTAGAACTTCTGAAGCCCATAGAAACAGAACAGTGAAGCACTCACTGCTGCCATCGTGACCGACGCAATCGTCTGTAGCTGCAAAGCATGCCCCAGCATGTGTACCAGGGCGAGGAAGTATCCGGCAACGCTCAGGAAATGTAGCTGCTTGAATCGGTCGTATGGTAGCCTGCGCAGCGTGGCAGGTAGAACTGCCATGATCATCGCAAGGAGACCGGCAAGCCCACAGAACCAGTATGGATTGGAGAGAACCCGAAGGATGCCATTCTCCGCCAGATTGAGTGCCCCATGGGCGCTGGTGATCACGATGGTGAGCGCCCCGCAAATGTAGTGTATGCGCCAAGCCGCCTCTCGCCTCATGAGAACATAACTGTGGATTCCAGCCCTGGAGAAAGCCCAACTCACGGTTATGACTGCGCTGAACCCTGCTGCGAGGCCGCTGGACTTCTGTGGGAAAGGCAGCAGGCACAACCAAAGGCACATGACAGCAAGACAGAGCACCCCAAGGACATTGACCAGGGACCACTGCACCAAAGCTTGGCCGTAAAGGAAGCGTGCGACACTGCCCCGGTACCAACTGTAGGACACGCACTCAGCGATCAAGCGGCTGAACCTCGCAAGCACCGCCAGCACGCCAAGGGAGACAGCAGTCGACATGTCCACATTTTGCAATGACGAAACCTTCTGTGGGAGTCTTGCTTCGACAATAGACTCACAAAGCGCAAACCCGGCAGCTCCGGGTTGTTTGCAGCTGTAGTGGCCAAATGCATGCCATCTTGGGCTGCCCAGCTCGAGCACATTCTGGCATTCCGAGCCGTAACCGCACGGCGTCCACCATGTGTCAGCTTCGAGGTCATCAAGGCATGTGGGCCCAGGTCCAGATGGCGGACATCTCAACTCCGTGCACGATCCGGCCAGAACCCCCTTCCCCTTCGTGCAGCTCGGAGAACAGCTCTCGCCTGGGAGGAGCTCCAACACCTCAGTCTCGTTACGGAGGCATGCCCCGCCAGGGACGTCCGGCAGCAGGCAACGAGGCGTCTTGCTTGGCCAGCACCAAGCAGCTCTTGCAGGAGCGACACTTCTCAGCGCCAGAAGCAAAAAGTGCACAGAGGCCGATCCCAGGACGGCATAGATCCAGCTGGCCGACCACGACATGAAGAAAATTCTCGGCAGCCGGAAGAGCTCTTAGTGCGAGCCCCACAGTGACTGGACGGACATCATAGCTCTACAACTATAGCTCTGATACCTCATAAGCCTGTTGAATACCTTACCTTTTCAATACCCTGTGACTGCTGCAACTGCTACTACGACAACGACAACGCAGCGGTAGTGGCAGTGGTAGTTGCTGTTGATGTTGTTGATGTTGCTGTTGTTGTTGTAGTCGTCGTAGAAGTAGTAGTGTCTTTTTGTGTGGTGGCGGTAGTGGTAGTGGTGGCAGCAGCAGGGGCAGCGGCAGCGGCAGCGGGAGCAGTACAGGAGTAGTAGTAGTAGTAGTAGTAGTAATAGTAGTAGTAGTAGTAGTAGTAGTAGTAATAGTAGTTTTTTTGTCACCCACCTGGCACACCTGTGGCAGCTCTGCGGGGACTTGAGGTTGGCAAGTCACGACGGGTTCAACCATTCGGAAAAACAACCAACACAGAAGGTAAGGCCACAAAGGACTAGCTGACCCCGTCGATCCGGAACATCCTATCACTTTCAACACTGTTCTACACCACTACCAGCATGCACAAATAATTAGAATGCAAAACATGGTGATTACAGTACGGTGCCGATCCACACGTCAAGTGCTTGAAAATTATTCGTCCCCAATTCTCATGCACAGTTCACATGCAAATTACAAGTATTGAATGCAGTCGCGTTCACACTATGCACAAGTCTACCTACACTGGCTACACTGTGAAGCAACGCAGTCACCGGATGAGCAGTTCTGCATTAGCCTCACATTCGTCACCAAGCACAGCTCGAACTAGCTTGTTCGTCAGTCTCCAAGCTTGCCACGCGGTTCAGCAGAGCACCACCTGGTTTATGTAGGTAGGTCGGTCCAGTCCTCTTGCGACTGCAGCTTTCCAGCGTCGTCACATCGGCAACAGAGTCTGGGAATGCAGGTTGATCGCAGCGAAAGGCGGAAACACAGCCAGGAACAGCCATGCTTTCGGGTAGCCCCGGTTAGCTTTGGTTGTTGTTGACGGTGCGTCCCAAACTCGCAGCGCAGCCACCCAGTGCTCAGTCAAGTCTGGGTCTCTTATCTGCCAACGGTTTCCACCTCTATTGCTCTCATCTCTCACGTGAACTGGTCGTTCAGCTGGGGCACACACCATTTGTACGCCACCCCTCTGCCAGGCCACGTTTGGTGGGTGTGTGTTGTCAGCTGAGGATCTCCAGCATTGGTCCCATTAGCGCACACCAAGTCAGCTGTTTCCTGCGTAGGCAAAACAGTCCAGTCCAGTCCATGTGCACCGGCAGCCTCAGCCGTCTGGGCTGGTCCCCTCGCAGTGAGCAGTGACAAATGACCATATGCATCAACGTCGATGTCCGCGCAGTGAGCCAGCTTGCAGTCGTCAAGACTAGCGTCTCATATCCACACTATCTTGTATCCATGCCAGTCAGGTTGGCATCCCGTCGCAGGAAATGGCGGTGAGCCGCAGCAGTTGTTCAACAGAGAGACACAGGGGGCCATGGCTTGACCATCGGGTTTGGCTACTCGGCATTCAGGCTCCCCCGGCTCAAGACCAACCAAAGAGGAAACCCCAAAGTAAAGATAAAATGACTAAAGGGCAGGGGGCATCGGCTCGGCTTCCCACATGTGAGTGTATTGCACACTTTCAGTGGGTCAGCAGAAGGACCAGTGACGACGCACAAGTATGGACAGGCAAGGAGACAGGCAAGCATGCAGTAGCGCAGTACAGTGAAACAAGGCAAGGGAGTCAGAGTCAATGATTATGACGGGAGAGGTTCGGTGGGAGCTTGTTGCGTTTTTGGGTAGGAAGTATCTATACAGGGACTTCTGCAAGGCTGTCGACAGGTGGATTTGGGTTTGGGCTTCGGGTAAGGGGAAGTGAGGAAGGAATCCCAGCTGAAGAAGTTGGGAGCGCACCGACGCCTCCGGGGCCTGTTTACGACTCAGCTGGAAGGCGCTTATGCTGATACGTACATGCGAGTGTGCTTCTCCAGCGGGCTGGATGTTAGCCCCGCAATGGGGCTGCCTGGCATCGAAGGCAAGTGGTCCCTCCTTCAAGTTCACTTCGGTTCCTGGCCACAGCTGGTCCTCGAAATCCTGAAAAACTCGTCCCACAAGGCTGTGAAACCAAAACCCACAATCCCCTGGTCCGCTACCTGAAAGAACCACACTTCTTCTCCCAGAAGTTCCCATGTCCCTGTGAACATCAAGTTTCCCTCCCACACGTACCGCCACACAGCAGAAATGAAGGGCAGGAAAGTGCAGTCTCACAAAGGCGCTCAGGAGGTTTGTTGTTGAAGGCAGGGCTTTAGTGGGGCTTGTTAGGGTGTTTGATCTGGGAGACAAACCGAAAACGATGCAACCAGACGGTTTAGGAGGTGAGGACCAAAGTTTAGTTGGGATACGCGAAACCAGGGTACGGAGGTCAAACTGTGGTGGAGGCTTCGCACATTCATGAAATTCGCTGAGCAATCCTGCCGCACAAACCTCAGCACCGACTTTATCAGACAGCATAGGCACCGTTGCCCTAGAGCTAGGTTTGTGTGTGTTGGTTGGAGGCCGCGGGAGACTGAGAGCTGACGTGCTGAGGGAGGTACGGTCCTCAGGTGTCACAGATATTGTCAGCACTCGAAACGAAAGCTTAGGCCGGCTCGTCACTCACTAGGGCACTAGGTCTTCTTTTGGCTGCGGGCAGAGAAGGCAGTCTTGACAGTCCAGCACAGTCCAGCAGTGAACTCCTAAGCAAAACACATGCATGATCAAGGGCAGCAGGCGAATGGCGAATATTGCCCGCCTCATGAGATCTGCTTGAGCTCTGCTACTGGGCAAAACACGAGGCTGTAAAATGCTCAGCGCTGAAGGTTTAGTGCAAACAAAAAGAAAGGAAACCAACAAAAGTAAACCCGATTACAAAAACACATGATGACAAAGTCAGCGATTGAGAGCGCCGACAGCCTCTAGGCAAGGATCGATCAAGTACAGTCCGCATTGAATTCCAGTCCCGCAGTGGAGCATGCCGCATGCAGACAGAGAGGTGCCGTTTGGGACAAAGTGCAAACCCCAGGAATATGGTGGTGCATGCATGCAGACTCCGAGGGACATTCCGGATAGTTGGGGTCCCGGGCATCATCGTTGCAGTAATTAGATCAGGCTTACAGCACTCGGGGGAGGATTAGGGCATGCCCGACCCCTGAAATCACATTCTGCTCAGCGGAACAGCGGGATATTCACCCTGCGCCCTTCACCCAAGTCGACATAGACCGAAGCCGTGCCTGTCTGTGTGGAGGACTGCGAGGGTTGGTGGTGCGGCGGCGGCATCATCGGGATGGCCGTTTGCAGGTGAAGCTGTCGACGATCTGCGTGGTGGACCACCGACGGCGCCTCGTACGAGGGTGGTGGAGGGCCCCACTCACCAATGGTACGGGTGGCCTCTCACAGTACTCCTTCACTGTAGCCACTTGCTCACCTGTGTTGGCCAAGGCGACAGCCACGTTGTAAAGGCCCTCCTTTAGGGAGCTGGTTTCCCCTTGCAAGAAGCCCACCGAGGCGAGCAATTCTTAGTAGTAGTAGTGGTAGTAGTAGTAGAAGTAGTAGTAGTAGTAGTAGTAGTAGTAGTAGTAGTAGTAGTAGTAGTAGTAATAGTAGTAGTAGTAGTAGTAGTAGTAGTAGTAGTAGTAGTAGTAGTAGTAGTAGTAGTAGTAGTAGTAGTAGTTATTAATATGAGCAGGAAGAAGAGTAGGAGCTACTGCTACGACGACTACGACTACGACCAAGACTAGGGCCACTGCTACTGCTAGTGCTACTTCTGCTGATACTTACTGCTCCTGCTCCTGCCGGCGTTGTTCGTACTTTTCTACGCGACTGCAACTCTTACTCCGTTCTGATTCTACCCACGTGCTCCGTGGGCTTCTGAACACCCTACACACCATGGTCCGAGTTTGAAGGTTTATGGCGGTGCTTGATGTGGTGCGACCTGAAATTTCCACACCAGCTAGGCGCAACTAGCTGGCTTGTGCGCTCGCACGAAAGGATGCTGGAGCCCCTGCGGCAGCGGCACATCTGGTGGATCAAAGCCTTTGGCTTTCAAGAACAGTCACCTGCTGCACTATCTCCTTGCCAATCTGGTGAAGCTCAACATGTAAACCCCTCGCTTGGTGAATCTACCCATGCTGTGCACTGATCTTGGATCCTATCGGAGAGGCGAGAGGTTCTTGCTTTTGGGAGTCGGTATTGCTGGCGGCAGCCGTGTTGATCCCCTACATGCACCGAAGGCGTGGGATGTGATCTGCACCAAATCGAATGTAGAAAAACTGTGCTTGGTCAGCAGGAACTTAGCAGCCCGAGCCTGCTTCCGAGGACTCGGTTTCAGTCCTGGCATATCGTGCAACTCTTGCATCCGAACAAGCTCCGTTGCTTTGCTCTTCCGGCTGGTAATTCTGACTTGTAGGCATTCACGGGATTCAGCACTCCCGTGTCGCATCCAGCATCTCATATCATTGCTATCCGTCGACACACCCTGTCCTCACCAGCACGCCTAGAGTAGCCACAGACCTTAGTGAGTTCAGGTACACGCAGTATATGTGGACTCGCACCTCTCCACCGGACATCGTGTGAAGACTTTGCCTTCTCGAGGCGAACTCACCCAACTGCTCGAGCGAACACATCGGCAAACTTCTGTCTGAGATTCCACCACGGCGCACTAGAACTCCAGAGAGTTGAAGCATCCACATCCCGAAAATACACAGAGCATCTGGGCAGATAGGACTCGGAGCAGCAAGACCCTTTCCTCCTAGTCGTCTCGCAGGCGGAACATATTCAATGGCTGAGAAACGATTGGGTCAACACTTCGCCTTATCCAGGCGAACTCTGCCAGGTGCTTGAGCAAATGCATCGAAACGTTACTCCTAGTCTTAGACTCCACTAGGCATACTAGAATGCCAGAGACTTGAAGCATCAATAGCACGAAACTACGCAGAGCATCTGGGCAGATTGGTCTCGGAGCAGCAAGCTCCCCCTCTTCCTAGGTCTTAGCCATCTCGCACATGCTAAATGGTTGAGAAATGACTCAGTCAAGACTTCGCCTTCTCAAGGCGAACCCTGCCGGATGCTTGAGCGAATAATCCATCAAAACGTTTATCCTCTTGTCAGACTCCACCACGCCGCACTAGAACTCCAGGACTTGAAGCCTCAAATATCACGAGACTACGCAGAGCATCTGGGCAGATTGGTCTCGGAGCAGCAAGCTCCCCTTCCTCCCATAAAACTTGGCCGGAACATGCCGAGCAAAAGGTTCAGCAGCCCAGCAACGAATTAATCAAAACTTCGGCGCATGGAGAAGTCTGTCGCTCAGAGCCATCCTCATAAGATGCCTGCCATGCATCGGAAGCAAGATGCGGAGGGTGCCTGCGGCTGTGCCTCCTTGCAGCCCACGACCTTCCCCTCTTCAGGATCCCATGGCGGCAAGACATCCTGCGTCGGAGATGCTTCTTTTTCATGCATCTCCTTCATCAACTGCGTCTCACGTTCCATTTTCTTGCAGCTTTCGCTGATGAGAACGCCCGCTGCTAGCACCACCAGGCTCATGCCACCAAAACTCAGGTTCAATTGAAACCGGTCAGGGTCATCACCGACCAGTCTCATGAAGAGAGGTGGCCCAATCCTGCTGCCAACAAGCACCCCCATGTAGGGAACTGCTGAGGCTTCTGCCACACACCAAGGGTACTTGGTGCTGCTGGCTGCTAGAAGCCGTGATCACAGCCACAATCGCTGGTTGGCACACGTTGCAGCATGCACACCCCAGGTACACAAGGGCCACTGTCCAAGGGCTGAATAGGAAACCAAAAGCAACAATCAGCAAGGGAACCACACAAGCGGAAAAGTAGATCAAACCCAAATCCCCTGTCCTAGCTGAGATCTTCTCGTAGAGGAACATGACAACGGCATTGGTAACTCCGTAGGGGACCATGATGACGGACATCGCCAGAGTGATTCTCTTCTGGATTTCATTTCCTCCCCAGAACCACTATTCAAACCAAACTCTGGAAGCCAGAGCAGCAACTGGAGAAGTGGGACCAGGACTGTCACTGATGCGTAGAGGAAGACCGAGCCTAGAAAGCCCATCAGCAAGAGAGGGTCCTTTGTCGGCTCTTGGCTGCTTGGTGGAAGCATCTCGCCCGCGCCTGTTTCGCGGAGTTTGGAGGCTCTGGAGGCGGTTGCCACAATCCCAGCATCTTCAATCATGACGTTCTTGAAAAAGATCGCCAGGAAGACTACCGTCACCCCGCTAAATGCTGCAGACAGCCAAAATGGAATTGCGATGCCTGGCTGAGCTGCTAGGCCAGCAATGACTGCCATTGCTGCACCACCTTGGTAGGATCCAAAGAAACATCCCATCCGCGCCCTGAGTAGCTTCGGGTTCTGCTTCGTGGCCTCTGAGATGAAAGCATAGAGGACGGGACGGGTGCTGCTGAAGAGCCCCGTAACGGCCAAACCTGCAAACATGGCGTACACGCCGCTGCTTGGCAGGCTTCCTGGAATACCTCGGAACAGGCTGGCAGCCGCTTGGATGACGTAGCCAGCACCAGAACCTGCCACTGACAGCAAAAGACAGACCTTAGTTCCTTTTTTGCTTGCCAGCCGAGGGAGAAGCATCACAGATAGTATTGCTCCTGCGTTGAAGACAGTCGGCCCGGCACCAATCACAGTATTGCTGGCCCCCACCAACTTTCCATAAGGGGTTAGCAAGGGCGACAACAAATAGAAGCTCGCAATGTCCAAGAAATTCACCAGCATGCACCCGACAAAGGGCAACAAGCCACTGGCTGGGCCAGCTTGGACAGCTGAAGCATCCGCTGGACGCTTCATGATGCCAGGCACGATCTAAGGCTTGGGGCTCAAGACGAAGGGCGCGGGGATAAGGGCAGTCGGTTGGAGCGTATGATGCAAGGGTTTGGAAGTGGAGTTTGCTTTTGGGGCTGAGATATCTTGTCCTTGGTGCTCAGCAGTGAAACGACTGCGTTGCCGACTCCTTTGCTTAATCTGAGCATGCATGCGGGGACAGCACGCTCCCATCAGCACACTTTCAACCAAGAAACTCCCCAATTTAGCCATGTCTAAATACATGTCAGTCGTACCTCTGTACCTGTATACACACATATGTAACGTTTCTTTTACGTACACTCCGGGCCACCAGTAGAATCTTCTGCTTCTCAGGGCACTGCAGCACGAGAAGCACAGAGCCTTGTGCTTCGCGACGCTTTTCGGGGCTTTGCACCATGCCGTCGAGGCCGTGTCTTTCTGCACTGCATTACTACACAAATACCAGTATCGTCTAAAGCACGGCATACCAGCATGCGTAAAGTTTTGCAGTATAATATGGCGTAGCGTACAATGTGGCGGTATGCCTGCAGTAAGTAGTCATGATGATTTACCAGACCGGATGTTCTGGTAGTCGAACTTTATAACCTCACTCCCATCTCAGATTTCTTCTCGGTCATGGTATGTTTTGCCACCTGCCCATGGTATGAAACCCATGGTCGGATCCGAGCGGGTCATGAAAAGAGCGATTTTGCAATGCCTTGTTGTCCGCTTTGCAAGCCATTTCTACCCCAAGCCAGAACAGTGCGGCGCTTGTTCTTCCAGAACAGTGATTCCACAACCAAAGGTGCTTGCATCTGGCCGTTGCGTTCTCGTCTTCTCACGCACGATGGGACTCCTTACAGGAGACGAGTCTTGGACTCAAAACTCAAACCATCGCCCCGGTCAGGACAAACTCTGCCAGATGCGAAATGCACTAGTTGGCCGTTGGCCATCTGGCAGAGAGAGGTGGCAGAATACCCTCGCAAAGACATAATGTCCACGAGAGTCGGAACAAATGAAACTTGAATCTGCGCAAGGGGTAAACACGAACTAGTCAAGACTTCGCCTTCTCCGGGCGAACTCTGCCGGATGCGACCCCCTTGAGCACCTCTATGCGTTTCTCTCAGATGAAAGATGCTTAACTGCGCCACTCCGAAACAAACCATCGGCTTGAAGCGTCAACGAGAACAACCGAGCATCACGGCAGATTCATCAACAAGCAGCCCCCTGCGCTTTCAGAAAAATCCAAAACTGGCACTACTTGCCGCTGAGCCGGCTGACCAAGATCGCAACGGCGAATAAGCGAATTAGTAAAGATTTGGCTTTCAAAGGGCGAACTCTGCCAGATGCTACCTGCTACAGGAGGTGAACGCCTCGAAACTTCCGTCTCAGATGTCTATCTATGCATCCGAAAACCATGACACCAAGGGCTTCAGGCGTCTACATGTCTAAAGGACCCACGTCGATGGCATCGGCTGACAACATCAAGCCTAACCCAGTGATGAGCAAAAGGGACACTGGCACTGCCGAGGCAGCGGATAGCGCTTGGCTTAGTTGGTTTGGAGACTTTGGTGGCAAGGAGGTCTTGTTGACCGCAAGGGCATCAAGCAGGTCCAATGCTTCCCTGGAAACAAGGCAGCCGCGAGCAATGCAAGGCGGAGACGACAAGAGCGGGATCTTGCTGACACTGTAGTTGTGCCACACGTGGCTTGCACCATCGCACCACACCAAGCCCTCCTCGGCAAACCAAACCTGGCTCATATCCTGCGCTGGATAGACTGTCATGCTGATTACACACATCTCGTCATCAAAGAGATCCCCCCATTTGGTGGGGGAGGTTCTGCTCATGTTTTTTTCATTGCAGGTGAGCAAGAGCTCATCCCCTTTTCTTAACTTCATAGACCCAGAAGTCAGCTCAAAGGCCTGGCTGTTGAAGTCAAAGCGCTTCTCCTGCCTGACGCTGCCAACTTTCTGAGAACCTCGGACCACTTCCAACGACATGTTTGTGCTGAGCAGGTGTGCATGGTGAAGAACGGACAGCACGGTCAGCTCCTCCGCATTCCACTCACTGCTGCAGGAAGACGGCGCCAAAACCTGTGGCGCGGTGTAGTGCGCCCGTCCAGGTGGCAGGTCGGGGAGGCCAAGCGACCCCGACCAAGAGCCGCCGCCCATAACAGTGAGAAGCCCGGCATCATGAGGCCGTCAGCCAGGAAGAAATTCAAGCCACTGCTGTCCCGAAGCCCCCATGTTGAGGACGGGCTGTAGTAGTGCGCTTGAAGCCCGAATAGTGAATAGTGTGCGGCCTGGTCCGCCGAAGGGAAACCCTGCTTCTGCAGGCAGCTGCAAGCCCCGGCTACCAGGCCCAAGCCCAGCCCATATCGTGCAGCCGGGAGGCATCATGCATTCCTCAATGATTTGATGGTGGGTGTAGAGGCCTTCTTCACACCAAAGGAGAATTACGTGGTGCACCATGTAGGGCAAGAAGGTGGAATCTCCTTCAGGAAAGAATGCAGCGACATGGTTCTTAACGTCCATGTCCAGACCAGCTGGTGCAAGCTGCTTCAGGTCAAAGAAACCGCAAAAGTACCGATCCCTTGAAGATGTGGTGGCATTGAGCAAAATGTTGGGCATCCTGACTGTGAGCATTTTGCCACTGTGCAGACTCAATTCGGGGACCTTGGGCGCGGAGAGCAGATCCACCGAAAAACTGCCTTTGCGAGTGTGGAAGAAAAAGTCGTGGCCTGCCCCGATGGCCCACTGCATGACAAGGACATCCTCAATGGCATACCTCTCCCCTTCAGCACAGGACTTCCGTGGCAACAGGATTCCCCACTCAATGTGCCCGGACTGCTCGCTGGCGAAGATGAGCTGAACCTCCTGGACGGGCTGCAGCTGTGGCGTTGCGAAAGTCTCCGCGTAGCGCTCTTCTGCTATGAAACGCCCCTCTACCTTGCGGACCACGAACTGCTGGGCACCCTTCATGCCACCGTTGCATCCAAAAGCAAGGGCACTCCAACCAGCATTCAACTCTGGCGACACTGAAAGGCCAAGCTTCAGGAAGTCTCCGGAGACTCCGTAGCACATGAGGATGCCAGGCACCAGATCAACGCAGAAGGGCCAGTCTTCCTGCATAAAATGGCCACCCCTGCTATCGCAGGCGCTGGATGCATCTGCAAGTCCCAGTGCCAGCAAGCAGAACCAAGTGCGACATGCCATGGCTCCGCTGGTACGTCGCAAGACAAGCAGAAGATCGGGCCACAACAGGGCTGAGGTGGTTGTCCTCTTTACTTGTGGCGCATGCAAGTGAACAACGCGAGCTTTTGCAACTGCCGGACAGAACTCGGCTGCGTAGCTTGCCGATTTCGCCCTTTGGGAGGTTCGACTCAAACATCAAACCATCGTAGCTCTCAAAACGAACTCTCCTTGTCGGAGATTGTCCTAAATGTGCAAGACACATCAGAACTTCAGCAAACGGTAAATGGACTTGTCCATGTCCCTACACGGTGACAGGGACGCCGAGGGCACGCGGCGCAAAGCGAGGCTCACTACGTATCAAGTACCATGCGATGCTACATACACCAGAAAATCGGACTTGGCCTAATCCCCAAAACAAGTTAGCAACAACTGAAAGGTATCTCCTATCAACGGGGAAGCGGAAACCTGTCAGGTCCTGCGCCGTCCTGGGGCTCCGAGCTGGGCACAGCTAGAATCAATTTACGCGCCAAGCAAGTACTGTACAGTTCCTGTTCCGGCTCATGGCGACGAGGACGAAAATGGTGTGCTAAACGAAAAGCAGACAAAGTCGCGCAGCAGTTATGTGTATACATATGTATACAGCCAAGCACAAGAGTGCCGAACTTCCGAACTTGTCCATGAATGGGTTAAGCAACAAGCGCAACAACGAGAAGTCAACAACTTCCGGCATGTACACGTAGCCTTGCGAATGCATGAAGGTAAGGAACCGATGCAGCTTCGTACTACTGTAGCGGGGCATGCAGAGTGTGCACAAGCGGAGTACTTACTATGCTACTGCAGAGGAGCTACCGCTACTTTTTATAGGGTAGGCGGGACGACTACTGAGACCACTACTACTACATACTACTACTACTACTACTACTACTACTACTACTACTACTACTACTACTACTACTACTACTACTACTACTACTACTACTACTGCTGCTGCTACTACTACTACTACTACTACTACTACTTCTACTACTTCTACTACCACTACCACCACCACTACCACTACGACGACGACGACTACTACTGCTGCAGAAGATCGGGCCACAACAAGGCTCGCTCATGCAGGTGCTGTCCTCTAAACAACGCAAGTTTTTGCAACTGCCGGACAGAACTCGCGGCACGATCTTAGGGATTGGGGTCGTGTTCAGGTTGAACACATGAGATAGGCGCTTGATGCATAAAACCCCCGCCGTCTGTGGGCCCCTCCGTTTGGCTTTGGCCAAAGCAACTTGCCCTCAATCTACTCTGACTCTCCCCGCGCTCTGCTTAAGCTTAAGCCAGGGGTCACTCGAGCGAGGTGGCACTATACACCATACGTTCACAAATTCACAGAGTGGCAGTTACTTGTCATGGTAGTGAAGCTTGACAAGTTAGGCGCTTTTGCACTCTCCTTCAGAGAGACGGTGAAGGACTCAAACATCAAACCATCGCCCTTTCAGGACGAACTCCTCAACTCTGCCAGCTGCGAAATGCACCAGTTGGCTTGGTGACCAGTCTTCAAACTCCAAGAAGCCATACACACCATCTGGCAGAGAGGTGGCAGAATAATCTCGCAACGACATGATGCCCACGAGAGCCGGAACAACTCAAATTGGAACTTGAACAGGGGATCAACGAACTAGTCAAGACTTCGCCGTCTCCCGGCGAACCCTGCCGGATGCGAAATGTGAACACATCGTAAGGCCTCGGATTGCTGAGGGATGCTGCTATGCCACAGTTGAAGACACCATTGGCTTGAAGCATCAATGTCTAGAAACAACCAAGCATCGGGGCAGATTCATCAAAAAGCAGCCCCCTGCGCTGGCAGAAAGGTCCAAAACTAGCATTACCGCCGCTGGGCCAGCTGAAAATTCAACGGCGGACAAACGAATTAGTCAGGATTTGGCTTTCGAAGGACTGCAGGCGTCTACATGTCGAAAGCACCTGGGTTGGGAGATAACATCAAGCTCAATCCCGTCATGAGCAAAAGGGACGCCGGCACTGCCGAGGCAACGGATAGCGCTTGGCTTAGTTGCTTTGGAGACTTTGGTGGCAAGGAGGTCTTGTTGACCGCAAGGGCATCAAGCAGGTCCAATGATTGCTTCGCTGGAAATGAGGCTGCCGCGAGCAATGCAACGCGGAGACGACAAAAGCGGGATCTTGCTGACGCTGTAGTTGTGCCACACGTGGCTTGCACCATCACACCACACCAAGCCCTCCTCGGCAAACCAGACCTGGCTCATAACCTGCGCTGGATAGACTGTCATGCTGATTACACACATCTCGTCATCAAAGAGATCCCCCCATTTGGTGGGGGAGGTTCTGCTCATGTTTTTTTCATTGCAGGTGAGCAAGAGCTCATCCCCTCTTCGCAGCTTCATAGACCCAGAAGTCATCTCAAAGGCCTGGCTGTCGAAGTCAAAGCGGTTCTCCTGCCTGACGCTGCCAACTTTCTGAGAACCTCGGACCACTTCCAACGACATGTTTATGCTGAGCGAGTGTGCATGGTGATAAACGGAAAACACGGTCAGCTCCTCCGCATTCCACTCCCTGGTGCAGGAAGACGGCGCCAAAACCTGTGGCGCGGTGTAGTGCGCCCGTCCCGGCGGCAGGTCGGGGAGGCCAAGCGACCCCGACCAAGGCCCGGCGCCGATCACAGTGAGAAGCCCGGCATCATGAGGACGGAGGCGGTCAGCCAGGAGGAAGCTCAAGCCACTGCTGTCCCGAAGCCGCCATGTTGAGTACGGGCCAGTGTGCGTCCTGGTCCCCCGAAGGGAAGTCCTGCTTCTGCAGGCAGCTGCCAGCCCCGGCCACCAGGCCCAAGCCCAGCCCATATCGTGCAGCCGGGAGGCATCATGAGTTGCTCCATTATTTCTAGGTGGGCGTGAAGGCCTTCTTCACACCAAAGGAGAATTACGTGGTGCACCGTGTAGGGCAAGGAGCTGGAGTCTTCTTCACGAAAGACTGCAGCGACATGGTTCTTAACGTCCATGTCCAGACCAGCTGGGGCAAGCTGCTTCAGATCAAAGACCCCGGGGCAGGCCACGACTTTTTCTTTCACACTCGCAAAGGCAGTTTTTCGGTGAATCTGCTCTCCGCGCCCAAGGTCCCCGATTTGAGTCTGCACAGTGGCAAAATGCTCACAGTCAAGATGCCCAACATTTTGCTCAATGCCACGAATTCGAAGGATCGCTACTTTTGCGATGGCCCACTGCATGACAACGACATCCTCAATGGCATACCTTTCCCCTTCAGCACAGGACTTCCGTGGCAACAGGGTTCCCCACTCAATGTGCCCCGACTGCTCGCTGGCGAAGATGAGCTGGACCTCCTGGACGGGCTGCAGCTGTGGCGTTGCGAAAGTCTCCGCGTAGCGCTCTTCTGCTATGAAACGCCCCTCTACCTTGCGGACCACGAACTGCTGGGCACCCTTCATGCCACCGTTGCATCCAAAAGCAAGGGCACTCCAACCAGCATTCAACTCTGGCGACACTGAAAGGCCAAGCTTCAGGAAGTCTCCGGAGACTCCGTAGCACATGAGGATGCCAGGCACCAGATCAACGCAGAAGGGCCAGTCTTCCTGCATAAAATGGCCACCCCTGCTATCGCAGGCGCTGGATGCATCTGCAAGTCCCAGTGCCAGCAAGCAGAACCAAGTGCGACATGCCATGGCTCCGCTGGTACATCGCAAGACAAGCAGAAGATCGGGCCACAACAGGGCTGAGGTGGTTGTCCTCTTTACTTGTGGCGCATGCAAGTGAACAACGCGAGCTTTTGCAACTGCCGGACAGAACTCGGCTGCGTAGCTTGCCGATTTCGCCCTTTGGGAGGTTCGACTCAAACATCAAACCATCGTAGCTCTCAAAGCTGAAAATTCAACGGCGGACAAACGAATTAGTCAGGATTTGGCTTTCGAAGGACTGCAGGCGTCTACATGTCGAAAGCACCTGGGTTGGGAGATAACATCAAGCTCAATCCCGTCATGAGTAAAAGGGACACCGGCACTGCCGAGGCAACGGATAGCGCTTGGCTTAGTTGCTTTGGAAACTTTGGTGGTAAGGAGGTCTTGTTGACCGCAAGGGCATCAAGCAGGTCCAATGCTTCGCTGGAAATGAGGCTGCCGCGAGCCATGCAAGGCGGAGACGACAAAAGCGAGATCTTGCTGACGCTGTAGTTGTGCCACAAGTGGCTTGCACCATCACACCACACCAAGCCCTCCTCGGCAAACCAGACCTGGCTCATAACCTGCGCTGGATAGACTGTCATGCTGATTACACACATTTCGTCATCAAAGAGATCCCCCCATTTGGTGGGGGAGGTTCTGCTCATCTTTTTTTCATTGCAGGTGAGCAAGAGCTCATCCCCTCTTCGCAGCTTCATAGACCCAGAAGTCATCTCAAAGGCCTGGCTGTCGAAGTCAAAGCGTTTCTCCTGCCTGACGCTGCCAACTTTCTGAGAACCTCGGACCACTTCCAACGACATGCTTATGCTGAGCGAGTGTGCATGGTGATAAACGGAAAACACGGTCAGCTCCTCCGCATTCCACTCCCTGGTGCAGGAAAACGGCGCCAAAACCTGTGGCGCGGTGTAGTGCGCCCGTCCCGGCGGCAGGTCGGGGAGGCCAAGCGACCCCGACCAAGGCCCGGCGCCGATCACAGTGAGAAGCCCGGCATCATGAGGACGGAGGCGGTCAGCCAGGAGGAAGCTCAAGCCACTGCTGTCCCGAAGCCCCCATGTTGAGGACGGGCTGTAGTGGTGCACTTGAAGCCCGAGCAGTGTGCGTCCTGGTCCCCCGAAGGGAAGTCCTGCTTCTGCAGGCAGCTGCCAGCCCCGGCCACCAGGCCCAAGCCCAGCCCATATCGTGCAGCCGGGAGGCATCATGAGTTGCTCCATTATTTCTAGGTGAGCATGAAGGCCTTCTTCACACCAAAGGAGAATTACGTGGTGCACCATGTAGGGCAAGGAGCTGGAGTCTTCTTCACGAAAGACTGCAGCGACATGGTTCTTAACGTCCATGTCCAGACCAGTTGGGGCAAGCTGCTTCAGATCAAAGACCCCGCAAAAGTAGCGATCCTTCGAATTCGTGGCATTGAGCAAAATGTTGGGCATCTTGACTGTGAGCATTTTGCCACTGTGCAGACTCAAATCGGGGACCTTGGGCGCGGAGAGCAGATTCACCGAAAAACTGCCTTTGCGAGTGTGAAAGAAAAAGTCGTGGCCTGCCACGATGGCCCACTGCATGACAAGGACATCCTCAATGGCATACCTCTCCCCTTCAGCACAGGACTTCCGTGGCAACAGGATTCCCCACTCAATGCCCCGACTGCTCGCTGGCGAAGATGAGCTGAACCTCCTGGACGGGTTGCAGCCGTGGCGTTGCGAAAGCCTCTGAGTAGCGCTCTTCTGCTGTGAAGCGCCCCTCTACCTTGCGGACCACGAACTGCTGGGCACCCTTCATGCCACCGTTGCCTCCAAAAGCAAGGGCACTCCAACCAGCATTCAACTCTGGCGACACTGAAAGGCCAAGCTTCAGGAAGTCTCCGGAGACTCCGTAGTACATGAGGATGCCAGGCACCAGATCAACGCAGAAGGGCCAGTCTTCCTGCATACAATGGCCACCCCTGCTATCTCAGGCGCTGGATGCATCTGCAAGTCCCAGTGCCAGCAAGCAGAACCAAGTGCGACATGCCATGGCTCCGCTATGCTCCGCTGGTACGCCTCGGGACAAGTAGAAGATCGGGCCACAACAAGGCTCGTTCATGCAGGTGCTGTTCTCTAAACAACGCAAGTTTTTGCAACTGCCGGTAGGGATTGGGTCGTGTTCAGGTTGAACAGATGGGATAGGCGCTTGATGAATAAAACCCCCGCCGCCTGTGGGCGCCTCCGTTTGGCTTTGACCAAAGCAACTTGCCCTCAATCTACTCTGACTCTCCCCGCGCTCTGCTTAAGCTTAAGCCAGGGGTCACTCGAGCGAGGTGGGACTATATACCATACGTTCACAAATTCACAGAGTGGCAGTTTACTTGTCATGGTTTGACAAATTAGGCGCTTTTGCAACCGGCAAGAACGAACCAGTCAGGACTTCGCCTTCTCTAGGCGAAGTCACTCTGCCAAATGCTCGAGGGAATGCATCGAAACGTTTCCCCCTTTATCACACGAGAATGCCAAAGACTTGAAGCATCCACATCCCGAAGAAACACAGAGCACCTGGGCAGATTGGTCTCGGAGCAACAAGCCCCCCTTCCTCCAAGTCATTTTGCAAGACATGCGCAAGAATGGCGTCGTGAAGGCATGCACAAAACTTGGATCCGCTGGAACATGGCTGAGACTGCCAAAAGACATGCACACTTCCAGTCTCTATCTCAAGCAGAAGGAATTCAGGCGTGCAAATGTTCGGCAGCAGCCCCAAAATTATGAGTTTCCACTGGGACAGGAACACCTTTCCGGCTGCCCAGCTGCAACTTTGAATCCGCACTCCCTCAGCAAAGTCCGAGCTTCTGAGGTCCGGTCCCACGGCTTAAGGGTAAGGCCAAGGGACTTCTGAAGACCACGGGCGTGAAAACGGCTGCTTGTCACACGAGACAGAACACGGCAGCGCGGAGATGGAGCTTCTGAATCTCGGGATGACACAGAAGCTCTCTTCGACGAGTGCAACAAGTCGAAGATATGTAGCATCACCTAAAAATTCTACTATCAGCCAGCCCAACGAAACAGCCCAAGCATCTTCAGGAGCATTGCTTCGGAGCTGGGCAGGCTCAACAAAGGTCCCCTCCGCCAGGCCAAGAATATCTCAGATGGACTTCCGGCGCTGCTGCGGCCTGCACGTGGGGCAGGGTGCAAATATGCGTTTTTTCTGTTTCGCCAAGTGCCGGGCCTCTCCTTTGGCACGAGAGTCAAGAAGGAGCGGCGAGTTGCCAGCTCTACCTCTACTTCCTCCTCCTCGCAGTCGCAGTCTGATGGCGGGCTCCGAGGCTTGCTCGATGCACCGGACGGACTGGACGGAGGCGAAGACGGGGAGCCCTGGCCATCCTGTGCAGGGGCGCTGGTCTAAAGTTCGGACCACACAAGGGAGCCCTTGTACATATCCACATCTCTGCTTCTTGCCTGCCAGGTGGCTGTCCCCATACGCTGCCAGAGGCAAGCTGACTACCGTCGCTACGGCTACGCAGGATCGTCGCTGCCAACTGCTACGAGCGCAGGGGCAAGCGACTAGGGCCCGCCGCTGGTCCGGCGAGCTCGAGCACTTGCTCGAGGGGCGGCTCATCCCCCTGACGCGGGTGGAGCGGCACTGGCCAAGCCTGCCCCAGCGCCGTGCTGGCTACCGCGCGCTGCACGGCGACAGCCAGCAAGCCCCACCAACGGCGCGACCAGCCCGCAGCGGCCGCGCGGCGAAGAGCTGGCGGAGCTCTTTGGGACCGGACGCGGATGAGGTGCTGCACGAAGCGGCCAGCCTCGCTGTTCCAGCGCCCGCCAACTTCCGAGCCCAGAACTACGAGCTCTTGCGGTCCTCCGCTGCTCAGCTCCGGGAAGGTGCTCCGTTTGCGGCGCTCGGCTACCCTGAGCACGGCCCCGTCCGTATCAGCGGCCCCCGGCTGTGGATGCCCCGTCCGTGCGAGAGGTGAGACGACAGTCGCATCGCAGCACAGTGCGCCTCCCCGCGGTGTGGCGCCGTACACGACTAAGTCGAGCCGTCTGCGGTTGTCAGCTGGCACGCCCGGTGCGGTAGTGTGCACGAGCCATTGTTGAGGGACGACTTGCCCATCAGAGCCGACCGCCTCGCGGGCTACGCGCACCCAGGCCCGCTCGACGATTTTCGCTCGGCGAGCCAACAACCCTGTGCGGGGGCAGGCGAGGGCATGGTCCCCGTACTCGTCCACCTGCTGCCCGCAGCCGGGGCTGGGGCCGCGACGGTTTGGGCTAAGCGGCAGGGTATAAGCGCAAGCGGCGCCGCAACGCGAGCTGCATGTCCTGCGGGGCGAGGGTTAGTGCTGGCTCGCTCGGCACTGCCGATAGCCATGCACCAGCGTGTGCCCCGCCTTGTGAGCGTAGCAAGGCCCGAGAGGATGGCTGCAGAGCCGGCAGCAGCACACGGTCGCGATAGTGAAGGTTTCGAGTCCGCATCGCGTGAAACTGCCAGCCGTGAGGCCATTCGCCCGGGCCTGCATCGCAGGGTCGTTGCGGCCGGGCGCCTTCGTAGGCAGCGCGCCAGCCAGGGCACGCTTCCCAGCCTTCTGTTCGCAAAAGGTTTGCCGCTGCCTCGCGTAAGCAGGGGATCGTGCCTTCCGCGCCTTGCTCCAGAGCAACCAGGCAACGATCAGCTGCGCCGGGCAGGCGAGAGCGGATGACGGGGAGCGCGTCCATCCATGCTGCCCAGTACGCCGCTGGGGCCGTCCGCTCCGCGGACTGCAAGCCGAGTCCGCCGTAGACCGCTGGCAGCGACGCGAGCGGCCAGGACTGCTGTGCTTCTGCCGGCGGCACGCCCCCGAACACTCCTGGAGTGTCTCCCAAACATGGTCGTGTGCCCCCGCGTACGACGCTGATGCGGAAGGCGGTAGCGTTCGCAAGGCGTGGTTGGCGCGGGGCGATGCGCAAAACAGCAGCAACAACCAGGCGCACTGAAGGTCCGGGAGGTGAGGTAGCTCGACGAGCAAACGGCGTTCCTCCTGAAGCCGCGCGTCAGCCCAAGCCTGGACGAAGTCGGCGTGCCCGACCGGCGCGCCTAGCACCACGATCCCGCGCTGGGATGCGCTGGGCCGACGGTTTGTCGCCGCGCCAAACATCGTCCCCCAACTCAGCGATGCCTGGCGGCGGCGGGCCTGCTTCGGCTGCTATCACCCGCGTCTTGCCGAGATTGGATCCGATGCCGCAGTGGTCAGCAACGGCGTGGGTGGCCGCATCCAAAGCTGCACGCGCGCGGTTCGGAGCTGTGACGATGTACAGATCGTCGAGGAAAGCCATCAGCGTGTCCCCTGCGTGCAGGCCGGAACTGGCGCGCTGCAAAGCGTCATGCTGTCCCAACGCGTACAGTGCTGGGGCGAGAAGGTCGCCCTGCTCGCACCCCTCCCCCTTGCCGCTTGCCTAACTTCTCTGTGCCTCCCGGTGTTGTCCCACCAGCTGTATGCGGAGGGGCGGCCGTAGAACATGCGGGTGAAGGGGAGGAGCTCCGGGGCCACCTCGCGCAACTTGTACAGGAAAGCTGCCCGCGACATAAAGTCGTAGGCGCTGCAACCGTCCAGCGAGACCAGGACCGCATCACTGCGCTGGGCGAGTGCGACCCGCACGTGAGCTTGCCGGACCAGCAACGAGCCCCAGTCGCTTGCCGCTGCGCTCGTTGCAATCGGCGGCGATGACCCTACGTAGCCGTAGCTGCGGTAGTAAGCCTGCCCCTGGCAGCATCATCGGACAGCCACCTTGCAGGCGGAAAAGAGGCCCTTAAAGAAACAAATGGAAAGCAAACGCAATGAATGCGCGGGAGTCAAGCTTGAGTCCGGGATGCAGGCAGAGACAGGGCAGGTCGGGATGAATAAGAATAGGGACCCCATCCCACGTGGTGCCACGAATCTGAAGAAGGCGCACCCACTTTTCCGGCCTTTTGTATGTGTAGAAGTTTATCGACAGTCGCTTCTTGAGCAAGACTGCAGATCCATGGCAAGAAAGCTGGGGAACACTTCTGATGTAACATGGCATTGCTTGTGTGTACGAGTTCGCGGGGCAGCAACAGGTTTCTTCCGAAACTACCTAGTACAGCTGAGCCCATCCAGTCAAAAGGACGGGATAGGGCCGCTCATCGGGGAGAGGAGTGGGGACTGCCTGATGATAGGGAAAGGATTGAACGTAGTGAAATGAATGATTCGGTTCACGTGAACGATGGCAGCTCTGAACCGAATGAATTCCCGCTGTTGCCTTCACATACTGGTAGGGTGGGGAGCGTATCAACCGAATTGTGTTCGACTGGGATGCAGCAGACAGCAACAGAAGGCCATGATCCCTCGGCCGGCTAGCGCTCAGTCCGTGTAGCGGAAGCCAAACCAAGGTCAAGGGCACTGGCAAGCGAAGTCGGCGGAGGGAGCCGCACACGGAAAACGACGAGCTGAGGCGAAACCGGTTTGGTGGTCAGGATGCCCTGACTGTGAATCCAGCATGGCGGGCATACATATGGCGCACGAACGGCAACGAAGCGGAAGCTTATGGCACCTTGCGCAAGGCCGACAACTTGGCCTCCTGGCTCACCGTGTCAAACCCGCGGGAGCCTCCAGATTTCCAGCCGTTCGGTTGCAGAACGACCGGCCAGTCTCGACAATTTCTCTGGCAAGGATGTTTTTGCTGCAACCTTGTAATGTACTTCGCAGCCCCCCAGCCTTTTGCAAGGCACAGCTCCGTCGTGCTCATTTTCGCTCTCCAGCTTCTCCACAATGCTTCGGGCGGTAAGGCGTCCCCAACATCAACTTCCCTCCAGATTCACTGCATTTTTCCAAGGTCACTGGGACCGTTTGTTGCATGCCGCTCTGGAAGATGTTGGCGCGGTTGGCCTTCCCAGCACCCTGCCCTAGGATGACGTTGCTAGGCGTGCCGAGCGCGACGTCCACCCCTCCCGCGTGGGTGAACCCTCCGCGACCTGGCAAACCCTGCTTGTGGAAACCCCTCGCTCGTGCTCGGAGACCACGCCCGGGCACGGAGAGCATGAGTTTGGGAATTTTTGGACTTTCGTGCAAAGCTGGCAGCATCACGAGGCCCTCCCCAGCGACATGCGCTTGACTTGCATCTTTCTGACATTGATGCCGCATCTCGAGCTCTGCTGTCGCAGGCCGGTCCACACGCTGCAGCGCTTTCGCAGTCTTCCCAACCTCAGCGGAGTTGACGGTGCCATCACCCTTTCTCCTTTTTGCTGCTACGCCGGCTTCGCCTGCCACTGCCCAGTCGCGCCGCACATGTGCGCCTGCCGGGGCGCCTTCACCCACTCGGCGACGATAGCACTGAATAGGGCTGCATGATGCTCGAAATTAAAGGAGCCATGCCCAGGCATTAGCACAGAGACATTTCGACGTAGTTTGCATGTCATGTATCTTGCGCACGCCTTTGCGCGCGCTTGCACGCACGGGTTTCTAACCATATTTGCCCACCATTCAAAACCCTAATTGTTGATGCCCGGCAGTGAGTGTGCGAAGCAGTAATTAAAGGGATGTGTAAAGTTGCAAGTTTTTGTGTATGTGGCAGGGAAGGCTGCGGTTCGAGACCCTTGAGCCACGTTGAGAGCAGGCTGCCATGATCGGCAGAAGCCAGCAACCATTTGCAATAAGTCAGCAGTAAGATCTGACGCATAGTTCAATCAGACGAATGCTTTAAGGCATGTTCGCTGAGGACTACCAAACCTTTGTGTGTTGAGCGAAAAACAGAAGTGCTATCGAGCGGGTTGTGCCATGGCCGTTTCTGCTGGCGACTTAAATCCTGTTCCTCAGGTTATAAGCGCCCAACCGGGTGCTGCGCAGCCGCATGTGAACGGTGTTCCGGGGAGCCCGAGACGGGTGGAGGCGGAAACCGCAGCGGTAGGGCCGGGTCCATCCTTGTCGGGTGGATCCGACCAGCCGCAAAGTGTGATGGAGGTTGTGGCGGATGGTGAAAAAGGTGATGGAGACGCTAATGGGGCGCCGGGTCTGTCATCCACGCAAGCAGCTGCAACTACGAGTGAAGATATTCCTATGGGAAGCAGAGCTGCCGCTCCTGGCATGACTGGGGATCCGGGACTACAGGCCCGTGCAGACACGTCCGACCAAGTGGGACCACGCAGGGAGATGTCAGCGGGTTTTCAGAACGCGCAGGAGAATGCAGAGCTTCCTGGAGATGCCACGTCTGATGGTGGCTATGGGGCTTTTCATACCCCTCGATCCTCCCGTTCACGGCTGAGTGGACATCGGAGTATGCGCCAAGGCCAAACTGGAGCTTGGCCAGGCTGGGTTACGCGCTTGGGAGAAATGTTCAAGGCGCCTCCTGTACAATGGCTGCCGAGTCCGTTGCCATCACCGCCGAGACCGAGATTGCAAAGGGACCTGACACAAGGAGTCCCAACTGGACGAGCTGCGCCTTCTGGAGCTACTGGCGTAGCAGCCCCCTGGAGACCTGTGGCTAGTGATGAAATTAGGGGTATAGGGTTTTTAGGACCTAATCAGCACAATACCCCGAGCAGCAGCAGCGTGCCAGCAGAAGCAATACAGGCGGAGGTGCAGAGACAACTGGGAAGTCTTTTGGATAGACTGCAGCAGGCAGAAGCGGAGAATCAGCGACTTCAGGACCAGCTCAGTCGTGCTCGTGGCGATCAGGAAGTACCTCAAGGCAATAGCAACCAGGGACTACCCCGAGAGTATAGCAGCCAGGGACTACCCCAAGACTATAGCAATCATGGAATACCTCCAAGCAATAGCAATCCAGGAGTATATCAGGGAGATAGCAGCCAGGGAGTATTCCAAGGAGAAAGCAATCGTGGATTACTACCGGGTGATGGCCCCCGAGACACGCTACTTCAAGGAAATCCTGCACCCGTGCCGCTACGTCCTACCGTCCCTGAAAGTGACCCTGTGATCCAAGAGCCGGCTAGACCCAATCCTTGGAGAGATCCGCTGGGAGCGCTGTGGGAGGAGCTTACTTCTGGAAGAGCGGGGCAGGAGCCGGCAGTGCGATCGCAAGGCCCGATTCGGACGGACCAGGCTGTGACTTCGGGAACCGATGCTACGTCAACCAATGCTATCCTCGAAGCTCTTACTAGAAATCTTGCGGGACTACAAGCACTTCAGGAGAAAACCTTAAAGAAGGACTTGGATGCTGATGAATCTCCGGAGCAAGTGAAGAGCACTATGGTAGCTTTGCCAATTCTCCCTAGCCCGGAAGGTTCCGCTATGGGAATACTCCTACAAGACTGGCTGGCCCAAGTAGCAGTGCCAATGCAGGACCTGTCAGCGTCGTCGGGAACATGGTGGTCACAGGTGTTGGAGCTGGTGCAAACCACGTATGCTTCGTGGCTGGCATCGTCGCCTTTGGAGCGCTTGCAGATGGAACCGAAGGACCATGGGGCACTCACCTCAGGCCGTTGGACAAGGGTGAATGCCAGAGCGTGCTCGCTCGTTCTTCAATCCCTCCCGGAGACTGTGAAGTTGGACCTCATCGCTCGAAGGGTGGTTCAAAGCATGCCCCTCGTGCTCTTCAGACTTCACACGACCTATCAACCCGGGGGTGCGTCAGAGCGTTCTACAGTGCTGGGCAATCTTCAGAATGCGGTGCAGTTTGAAACAATCGATGAGTGCTTGAGTTGGTTGAGAGCCTGGCCGAGGTGGATCCAGAGATGTCGCGACTTGAAGATGATGGCACCGGATGGCTCCGTTCTTGCTAAGGCCTTAACTACCTCAACAGCCCGTTTCGTCGCCGACAACTCGGACACGCAATTTCGCACTCAACTTCTGCGGTCGAGTTTGCGCATTGACTCCCAACCGTCTCAGGTGGATGTGGCCCGTTACCAGCAGCACTTGCAGGCTGAGATCGAGGCGCTGATCGCCGCAAGGCCGGGTCAATCGGGGACGATGCCAAGGGTCAAGAGCTTAGGCACTACATCTACTCCTACCTCACCTACGGCTCTAAGTCAAGGTACCAGTACAGGAGGAGGGGGAAAGGGCTCGTGCAAGTATTTCTTTCGTCCTGGAGATTGTCGTCGAGCTGCCAAATGTCCCTACAGCCATGACATGAGTCACCTCTCAAGAGCCGATCGTGCTAAAAAATGCCTACTATGTGGAGGTGAAGATCACAGGCAAAAGGATTGTCCCAGCAAGACTGCGAGACCTGGCCCAAAGCAAACACCACAGGGCAGTGGTGGCACAAGTGGTGGAGCTTCTACGTGGCTTCCCAGTGCCTCAAGAGCTCCTGCTGTTAATCGGTGTGAACCTGAAGGTGAAGTTTCTCCCTCGGCGGCTACTACCACAGGGGTGATTCCCGGAGAGCCGGTCTGGACCCTTGAGTCTCTTCTGAAAGCAGCGGCAAAGGTCGCCGGAACAAAGCCACCGGAGGGACCGTCGATCAATGTGGTCTCTTTGCGCTCAAGCTGTACCTTGCAAGGCGATGGAGAAGCGTTTGCACTGGTGGACTCGGGTGCAACACACGCCCTACGAAGAGCCAAGTCGCAGGAGGAGTGGAATGGTGCAAGCCCCGTGGTTGTGAATCTGGCCGGAGGTGAGTCGGTGAGTCGGTGAGTCTTCGCATGAACCAAGCGGGCACCATATTGGTGCCGCTAACTGCGACCACGGCATCAAGCTCTACTTCTCCAATTGTGCCTTTGGGTGCGTTGGTTGGGCAGTTGGGCTACACGATGACTTGGAGTAGCAATCGCTGTAAGCTTGAAGGACGAGGAGGAGATGTATACAACCTTCGAGTCCGGGAAGGGTGTCCTGAGATTGCTGAACATGATGCTTTACGATTGATTTCTCGCTTGGAGGATGGGAACCTGGAGTCCCTGAAGGCCAATACAGCAGCGACGAGGAGTCGAGTGAGGGCGGCAGCGCTTTCAATGGAGAGATCGTGGTTCGACTACCTGTTGTCGTATGTGGATGGTGAGATGGCTTCAGAGGCGTGGAAAGCAGTTGAATCGGCGCCTTTCTTCCAGGAGGTACCTCGCCAGTGCAAGGCTGGTCTTGTGGAGTCGTTTCCCGAGGCTAACGGCTGGCGCGCCCTTCAGGGATTAGAGCATCTCAACCGGCGAACCCGAAAGCGATTGTGGAACTCTGACAAGTGGCTGGTTCACTTGTTCGCGGGGAAGAAGGAGAAAAAGGATCTCCACCACCTGGAGGCCCACGGGTACATGATCCTGGAGCTCGACATTGAAAGAGGACGCACTCAAGATTTGCTGAAGACGGCTACGTGGAGGGCTATTGAGTTTGGAGCGCGAAAAGGAAAGATTGCCGGGATCATTGGCGGCCCACCGCAAAGCTCTTTTATGATTTCCAGGCATGTGGTCGGAGGCCCAGAGCCGGTTCGCTCCAATGCGGCTGTGTATGGCAATTGGCCTGGACAGCCGGATGCAGACACTTGGCTGGCCAACCGAGAAACACAGTTGTTGACGCGGATGATATATTTGCATGCGTTGGCAACAGCAGGAAGGATGAGGGCGAGCCCCAGTGTCGATGCAATTAAGGGTGTTGCCTTTATGCTTGAGCATCCTCGGGATCCACGTGGCTATCTGAAGTATCAGGACCCCTTGTATAATGATGTTGTGAGTTTCTGGAGAACCCCACTGTGGACGGAGTACGCTTTGGAGGCTGGATTCAATTCCTACCACTTCGATATGGCAGCGTTTGGAAAGGCTTTCTCCCGGCATACCACGATTGGCACCAATCTCCCCCTCAAGCACTTGAATGGGCTACGGGCGAGATGGCGTTCAGATGAGCAGGCGCCGGAACGGTCCCCCCCAAGCGTGTGGACCTCGGAGTTCTATGAGCAGGTGGTCATTGCTATGCGTACTTGGGGTGCAATTCCAAAAATGATTCGCATGAGTGCCGATCAGTGGAGAGAGCATGTTCGTCGCGGCCACCTACCCTTTCGATCCGACTGTGCTGTTTGCGTTCAGGCGGGAGCAACAGGAAGACGACATGCGAGGATTGAGCACCCAAGCGCTTATGTCCTGTCTGCTGACCTAGCAGGGCCAGTGAAGATTTGAGGAGCGGATCCAGATGGAAGGGGTGCTTTTCCGAAGCAGTTCAAGTACATTTTCGTGGCAAAGCTCAAAGTTCCCCGAACGTTTGTAGAAGATGGGCGCGGAGTTTGGATTGAGTATGACGACGGGGAGCTGACGCCTGAGAAGTACGAGGATGTCGATGATGGCTTGGAGTTGGAACCTAAGTCTCCCAAGGAGGCTATTCGACCTGAGGGCCTGGATGGCGAAGAAGATCCGGACCCTGCGGAGGAGCCAGTTGCGAAGCGCGATCCTGAAGACGATCTTGACCTTGCCGCTCCGGACCTCATCAACCTCATCTTCACGGCCCCTTTAAAGGATGACAAGGCGCCAACGGTTCTAGAGGCGATCCAGGATGTGGCTCTGTATTGCCAGTCTCTCAACATCCCTGTGCTCCGCTTCCACTCTGACAGAGGAATGGAGTTCCAAGCAAGAGCTTCGAAGCAGTGGCTAAAAAACCAGCGAATACGAGTGACATCGTCGGAAGCAGGTGCGCATCAGACCAATGGTGCGGCTGAGGCGACGGTCAGATGGGCCAAACAGCGCGTGAGAGCGCTGCTTCTGTCTGCCAAACTTCCGCAGCGACTTTGGCCAATGGCGTTAACTACTGCAGCCACTATGCAGCGGGCTGATGTGCTGGGATTTGAACCGCTTTTGGCGGCACCTTTTGGTGCCAAAGTCATGGTGAAGAAGAGACAGCTGGAGGGACCAAAGCTGGATGATCTGGCACCAAAGTGGCTTCAAGGGACTTATGTGGGTCGGTCCGAGAGTTTGCGCAAAGGGCACCTTGTCTACATCAATGACGAAGACGGAGAAAAGTTTGTGCACACGTTACATGTTCGAGGCGCTTTGCATGATCCTGGACCTGTTGAAGAGGAGTTCGTTGCAGAAGAACCAGCGGGACCCAGTGTGCGAGTTCGAGGAAAGTCAAGCGGTAGTGGGGATGTTGTGGGCGTTGCAAAGGCCACGGTCCTGGATGAGGCGGAGTACCAAACTAGGGCAGAGGCGATTCTACAAGCGTGGTCCCAGGAGGAGGCAGAGGTGATAGTAAAGCAAATGGTGTCGTCTCTACCTCCTTCAGAGTGTGTGTATGGGATGTTTCGCTATGGTGGAAAGACTGGAGTAACAAAGGCCACAATAGAAAGACCGTGGTTTGCCAAGTTGCTCCTCAGGCTCCTCCTGGATAAGGCCCCGGATGCAGAATTTGCGGCGCTGTTTGTGTCTGTGCGAAATGACAAGGAGGTTCACATTGACCGCAACAATGCCATGGGCACGCTCAATTACCTCCTCCCGATTATCATGCCCCGTCGAGGTGGAGATATTTGGCAGGAGCTACGGGATCGGGATGTAGTCCAAGGAAGAGTTTCAGAGTTAGAAACACTGGAGGGAAAGAAGAGATATGGTTGCACGTATCCGTTGCAAGAAGGCCGGGTTTTTCAGCTCAATCCTCATCGTCGACATGCTGCACTTCCATGGACCGGTGAGCGACTTGTAGTGGTGGGTTATACACCAGGGATGCTACAAAACCTTACCGCTCAAGACCGGGAACGATTGTGGGATTTGGGTTTTCCTATGCCTTTGTTTGACGAGGTGACCGGCACGATCGTGAATATCAATGCACTGTCGGTCAGGAGTGTGTCCTATGAGCAGAAGATTCTGGATGATGAGTCTGACGCTCAAGTCGGTGTGGACAATGTTGACGAGCAGCCTACAGCGGAGTTGGATGGAAGTGCTACTCAAGCTGCTCCTGGATGCGAAGTGTGGGATCAATGGGATATGAGATTGGCCATCAACAGCGACGGGAGCACTGTAGAAATAGAGCACCCCAAGGACGAGTCGTCGACCCGCCTGTGCAAAGCTGAGGTTGTTTTTACTGAGAATGTGGAGGCGATCCTTGGTGCGCTAGAAGGTCCCCTTAGTGTGGTCTATACCGTGAACCCTAAGGAAGTGGCGTTGAACTTTGAGGCTTGGGTTCCGGCGCTTCAGAAGGAGATCTCTACTTTATCTCATGCAGTGGAGCGAGTCCTGGCTGAGGACGAGCAGGTGAACAGGGAGGTGACCTCTGGAGAAGCTCAGCTAATACCAATGAAGATAGTATTTACTGTGAAGCCTCCAGATGCATCAGCCCCAGGGCAAACACAGTACAGCCTCTACAAGAGAAAGTGTCGCATCGTGATCTGCGGAAACCTAACATCACACCAGCCCGGTGAAGTCTACACCAACACGGCACCCGCAGAAGTGGTCAGGGCAGCTCTGGCCATCGCCAGAGTACGCAAGTGGAATTTGGGAATATTGGACGTCATTGCGGCGTTCCTGCAAACGCCCTTTGCAGCGCTGAAGAGAGCACCGCTTGTCTATGGTGTTCCTCCTAAGCTACTTGTTCGTGCTGGACTTTGTCAGGGTGGTGAGCTTTGGAAGTTGACTCATGCAGTTTATGGCCTACAAGAATCACCTCGACTATGGGGACGGTATAGGGACATGCAGTTGGCCAAAATCCAGATCATCTTTGAAGGCAAGCGCGTGACGCTACTGCAGGGGCGTGTGGAGCCATCGTGGTGGTCAGTGCTACAAGAAGGTTCAGTGTTGATTGGGATCATCGTAGTCTATGTCGACGATATCCTGATTTGCGGGCATACGGCGATCATCAAGGAAGTAGCCAAGGCCATTCGCGCGGTGTGGAAGACGAATGAGCTTCAGTTGGTTTCCGACGGCATGATCAGATTTCTGGGGATTGAAATTTCGATGTGTTCCCAGGGCTTTCTGCTGTCCCAAAGGGCCTACATAGAGGAGTTGATTCGGGTCCACCAGCTCCCGGCGACAAGGAAAGACATAATCCCGGTGTCCAAGGACTTGGCTATGTTCACGGCGGAGCCGGACGAGGGCATCTACTCGGAGGGAGAGTTAAGGGCGGCGCAGCAATGCGCCGGAGAACTTTTATGGGTTTCTTTTTTTTTTTTTGCGCGCACTTTTTGCGACAATCCGCGACGCGGTCCCAGTGCAGCAGGCCCAAATCCAAGGCGACGTCCTACGGCGTGAGGTCCAGGCTTGCAGGCACGGCAAGGCGCTGTCAAGGGCGCGGTGGCAGACGGCTGGCAAGGGGCGGGGTCTCGTCGAAGCGAGTCGAAGAGAGAACCTCGCTGAGCAGCGGCTGGTCGCCGTCGACATTGGCAGTGCCGGCAAGGGAAAGACCAAGCAGACTGGCACCGAAGGCTCTGGCGGCAGAACAGGCAAGCAGGGCAGACCATCGGGAGGTGAAGGCTGCGATGGTTGCAGGTCGCAGCGGGCGAGGGACGGCGCGGGCCCGGCAGCGAGCGAGGAGGCGGACAAACTGGGCAGCCTCTGAGCTCCAGCGGCCTCCGACCTCGAGTGCAAGGACAACGAGCCTGCACCTTTGCGAGCGCAGTAGCTCGGGGTAGGTGCGTTCCTTGGACCTGCGGGCAAGGCGCAGGGCGGCGCCACGGTACTGTCGCTGATGCCGGCGCGCAGCTCCACTGGCATCGAGAGGCGACACGAGGGTGGTGTCGACAGCAAGCTGTGCTCCGCCCCAAAGCGGGAGTCCATTTGCGATGACTTCGATGCGGCGGTCATCGAGGCGCTCAGGGTGGATGTTGAGGACATTGCTGGCAACTGTAGCCCCGGCCTCGCGGCAAACACGGGCAGCAGCCCGCTCGAGCGGGAGGCCGCGGGACCGCAGGATGCCGGAGCGGGGGCAAGCAGCGCGGTGGTCACCGAGGGGGTCAACGGGGCGACGGCAGCGACAGGCTGCAGCGTCGAGCGGCAAAGGCAAGCGGAGCCGGCGGAGCAGCAAAGCACGGAAAACTGGCGAGTCGAAAGTGAGCTCCTGGCTGGAAGGCAAGGCAGTAAAAACCCTCGAAGCAAAAGGCCCCGACTGGGACTCGAGCAGGGCGAGGGAAGGAGGGTCAAGGACTGCGCGGAAGCGGCCAGCGAAGCTATCGTCGATAGCACGGGAGGCAGGCCGCTGCCACCCTCGAGTGGTGTCGACAGGCTCGTCGGGGTCTGCGGGAGCAACGGGGGGATGCGGGGGCAGGTCGCCGAATCCAGGCGGTTGGAAGCCATTGTCGCGGAGAAGGCGGACCGCACCGGCAAGGGAGCTCACTTGAGCTTCGTGGCATCTTTGGTTGGATCTCTCTCCACGAAAGCACCGCGCAGGGCGATTCAGATCGCGGAGAAGACGATCGCGTTTCTCCAGAGGACGATCGATTGGTCACTGGTGTTTGAAGTAGAGGAGACAGGGCTGTGCGGATACTGTGATGCCAGCTTTGCTCCTGAGGGAGCGCGTAGTCATGGTGGATGGATCGTGTTCTACAACGGATGCGTCATCTCATGGAGAAGCTCCCGTCAGGCCACTGTTACGATAAGCACAGCGGAGTCGGAGCTCACGGCCATTGCAGAGGCAGTGTTGGCGCTTCAGAGCATTTCATCTATGATGCAAGACGTCCTTCCTGGAGGTGAGCCAGTTCAGTTATATTCAGATTCCACTTCGGCCTTAAGCATTGCGAACGGTTCTGGGAGTTGGAGGACGAGACACTTGAGGCTAAAGAGCGCCTGGATCGCTGAGCTCGTTGGCTCTGGTGCGATCTCAATCTCGCACTGTGTCGGAGACCTGCAGATCGCGGACCTCTTGACCAAAGCTCTTCCTTCTCAGCGGATCAAGATGCTAAGCAGGTTGCTAAATCTACGAAATCCTGGGGAGGATGACGAGGATGAGGGTGCGATCAAGGTGGTGCAGGTTGGCAACAGCAGCAACATCAACAGCAGCAGCACAGCCGCAGCCCCTAAGACCCCTAAGCTACTAATCGCTCTTCTAATTTTGTCACAAGCCACAGTTAGTACAGCGGGCCACTGGGATGAAGAGGAGGCGCTGGTGGTTAAGGCGAACATGAGTGTGGACTATGGCATCGTCACATGGGCGCTGTTGTGGGGTGCAGTCATCGTTGCGCTACTGTCATGGGAGCTACTGAAATGGTTGCTGTGGATCGCCTATGATCGGGCAACTCCTGGTGCGAAGGCGAGGCGACTACGAAGACTTCAAAAGCTGAGGGAAGCTACTACGTCTGCTATACAGCATGAGATTGAGGTGCGCCGTGGAAGCAGGTTGGAGCAGCGTGGAAGGGATTCAGAGCTGGCCCCAACGGAGCAGCTACAGGGGCCCCCGAGAACTACTAGCTCTTCAACCACGACAAGTCCTGGGACTAGATCGGCCTCAGACCAATATGCGGAAGAGCGAATCCAACTACTGCGACGTTTGGCCAAGGGTATTAAAGAGACAGCAGACGCAGCCTGCCAGGCGGGAGTTTTCACGCCAATGCCTGCCCCGCAGACGAGGGTGATCTTGCGCTATGTGCATGAGCCCGCGGGCGAGATCTTCGCGGTCCCGGGGAACGAGTGCTACCATGTATATGGCGATTGTCATGCTTTTCGTCACAGAGGGACTGCTGACCGGGTTGAGCGGAGACGTATCTGCCAATACTGCTTTAATCGAGCTGAAGATGATCCTGATAAGAGGGTGAACCATGCTGATGATCTGGCAAGGGCGCAGGAGCACGAGAGAGTGTTCAACACGCAGCTCAGGGTTTCCGGGGAACCAGTACAAAGGTGAGCTGTCCTAACGGAAAGCCCAAGAAGGAGTGTTGATGCCCGGCAGTGAGTGTGCGAAGCAGTAATTAAAGGGATGTGTAAAGTTGCAAGTTTTTGTGTATGTGGCAGGGAAGGCTGCGGTTCGAGACCCTTGAGCCACGTTGAGAGCAGGCTGCCATGATCGGCAGAAGCCAGCAACCATTTGCAATAAGTCAGCAGTAAGATCTGACGCATAGTTCAATCAGACGAATGCTTTAAGGCATGTTCGCTGAGGACTACCAAACCTTTGTCTGTTGAGCGCAAAACAGAAGTGCTATCGAGCGGGTTGTGCCATGGCCGTTTCTGCTGGCGACTTAAATCCTGTTCCTCACTAATGCTGGCCTTACTGTTCCTACAAGAGGCGGGATTGAGAGCGGCATCCATGTGCAACTTCCGACGTGCTCACATCTCGGGCCCGTCCGCTTGTGTGCCAAGAAACCGAGGCAGGTTGCCCGCAACGTTCGCCTTACTGACATGAACATCGATGCTCCGGTCTCCGATGACCGCCGCACCGAAGTTCTAATTCAATTACATAACCGCCTATGTGACCCGGCCTGCGCCATCGTGGACCGAAATCGTGCCGGCGTCACTCCAGAGCGCTGCATGTCGGCTTCTAAACATCACTCGCTGCCTCACACGAGTTCCATTCCTTCATGCGTCCGCCGCAAATGCTGCCTTGTATAACTGCCTGCATCACCAGACCGGCCGACTCGCCGCGGGCCATGGTACATGCGGGGGCTTCCTTCTGCTGGCAGCCTCGCCTGCACGACGCATAGCTGGCTCAGTTAGAGCAAATGCATGAAACAACGGGCGAGTCGTGCGAGCTTGGGGTACATGTGGACACGCCCGCTGGACGTTTTGCAGTTAGAGTCGGTGAGGGATGCTCCTTGCCATGGGCAAGAAGCCCAGTTGCAATGCTTTGCGCGCCAACGCACTCCTTGCCATGGGCATGCGACCATTCCGTCAAACAGCTGACGCTCCAGTTGTGCAGCTTCCGGCAACCCCAGCAACGAGCCCGGTCTCCGAACAACTGCCCGCTGCAGCTGTCTGAATCCCCTCGCCCTCCACCCTTCGGTGCTCTGGACAGCTTTTTTTCGTTCTTTTACGCGCCTCTTTCGGGCAGCCAAGAGATGAGCTCGGAGTAGGTCTGGTGGCGCTTGCGTCGGGCGGCTCCCTGCAACAGCTGGACTGGGGTGCACGTCTGCACCAGGCATGGTGGCACCGACAGCTTGCTACGTGCCATGCCACAGGTACAGCCCGTACGCGACGTACGAATGTGGTGGTCGAGGCATTCTCTGACGTGACGAAACAGCGAACGAAAACTGTGCACATGCTCATACGGATGATGCTGATGCTGCTGCAGCGGCTGACTTGGGTTGTTGATGTTGTGTTGGAAGAGAGCTGCCGCTTTTCAACAGTCGCCATTAGCACGGGGGGACTTGCGAACAAGCCTACACTGGGCCTACACGCAACTGGAACAGGCGTGACCTCAAGTCAAGGGCTTATCTGTACGCCGATTGTTCGTCGGCACGAGAGGACGACGGCACTAGATGCAAGCTCAACTGGTCGATAACCGCTGAAGGATGCTCATCTTCGCAAGGAGCTTCGCAGCTCGCAGCGGCCTGGACCTCCATCGTCGTCTTCGGCGGACGTTCCCCGGCCCCGATCCAGCTAAACACACCGTGTACGCGCCTTCCGAAGGCCGCGGCAGCTCTCAGCAAGGCTTGGAGCGTATGGATTTCGCCTGGTTTCTCCTCGTCTTATTGATGATAGTCAGACTTGGCTATGCTCTTCGACAGTGCGGGTATAGTCTTCTCTCCGATCAGCCTCGTTCCTTTTTCGATGCCAGTGAAGCTGCGAATCAATCATTGCGGCAGCTGGCAGCCCCTCTCTGGAACTTCACTTGAAGCTTGAAGAGTTGCTTTCAGCATCATGCCGTCTTACTTGTATAGGCGCGGAGAACGCCACAGAAAGTCTGGAGTCTACAGTAGCGATGTTGGGCAGTTTGGCCCACGATCTAGAGCGCAGCACCTCAGCTTTTCAAGGTGTCCTGCAAACTCTCGCCCGTGCAGTCCTGCCCAAGTCAAAGATGGACCGCATCACAGATGGACTGTACGTGTATCACGTGACCGACGTGGCGTTGCAAGCCCAAGACCCGTTTGTTCGCCGCTTGCCTCCATCGTCTTGATCATGGCCCGCACAGCCGTCTCCACCCGTGAGTCCTGCAAAGGACGTTAACGTAAGCCTGAACACCTCTGGCTCTGGGCGCGAAGCGTGCCGCTGCCCACCTCATCTTCGAGCAGCTCAGAGGCATACATTGTCACTTCCGAGAGGCACATGACGACCTGCAGTGACAATTTACCGCGCAAGTCCCTGGCAACGCACAGGATGCCTGGACACCGAGATCCATCCAGATGCGATGGACACATTTCACGGCGTTCAGGCGGACCTCTCACCGGACCGAGGAGTGTTGTGCCGGACCGGATTCTCGGGTCCGTAGGAACTCGAACAAGTTACATATATCTACATCTATCTGAATCATCATCTCCAATTTGTGCCCAGCCTCGGCGTCCTCGGAGCGACTCTTCTCCAGGATCACCTGGCTGCCGTGGCCCCCTCAAACCCAATACATTGAAGGCCTCACTGCAGCGCCCCTAAAGCCCAGAAAGCCCAAACAAAACCCTCCGCCCGCCGATGCCCGGGCCGGCCAAAGCCTTTTAAGGTCTTATGGTTGTGAACCCTGGCTGGGCCTGCATTTGGAGCTTCACTCCGCTCTCGCTGGCGACGTTGGTCAGCGCGACCAGGGCCGCCTCAAGGGCCTCTGTTTCTGGGTCCTAAATTTCAGGCTCACCCAAACCCCGGCCCTCTGGGCTCTGTGCACTCCGCAGCGAAGTCGTCGCGCTGGAGTCCTGTCCCCGCCGATGGCACATGCAAGAGTTTTAACATGGTCTTCCCAACATCTTCGGAACTGATAGAGAGACGGATGGAATCCGATGGTCAGCCTGCGACAGAAATTCGAAGATGTCCAGGAGGTTGGCCACCGGATCACGCAGCTCCTGTGCCAGGCAGAACAAAGGTCAGGCGGCAACACTTCATCCGGCTTGAGAAGAGTCTTGGTCTTCCTCGGCAGCGTCGGCGAAGGGCTTTGCTTCGGAGCCTTGGGCGGTCTCGCTTTGGCTGGAAGGATGTGCAGTTGCAAAGACGCTGACCTGCGTCTTCGGAGGGTTTGCATGCAGTGGTCAGGAGGTCCAGGCAGCAGCAAGCTACCTGACAAGCTCAACGTCCGGCCACATGTACTCCGGCCATGCTTGCATTGAAATTGAGGCGGAGCCACGTCGTGCCACCACCACGTGTGCTCCTGCAGCACCTGAGGGCAAAGAGTGAGTCGGAGGCATCAGAGCCGGCTCAGGACAGACCGGCCTCCTTGGATGCAGTAACCGCCTTTTCACTGGTCTTCCGACGCTTCCGCGCCTTCTGCCCACTGCCCACTGTTTGCAGTAAGCTCACACAGACCTGCAAGGATCGCCCACGCACCTTCTGCCCAGTCTGAAGCCTGACAGGCCACAGGCCCAAAGCCAAGGCGGAAGAGGGCTCTTTGTAGCCACACATTTTGAGAAGCCGAGCTGCGCGAACCGGCGGCAGGCCACCAACGCTGTCGACAAGTCCTCGAGTCCACACTGGGCCCGAGCCCGAGCCCCTTTCCCTGTAGTACAGTCTTCGGTCTTCTTCCTCTTATCATTGCTATGGACTCCTTCGTCCCCAGTGGCAGCAGCTCTTCTGCTGTTCCGGGGGCTGCGTCTGCGATGCAGCTCATGGTGGCAGTAACGGCCTGGCGCCGCATGCTTCTGCCAGTTGTGTAAGCGTACTGGGGCCAAACTCCCAAAGACTCTCGGCCCTCTGCCATCACGCGGCACGCTGCCACGGCATCAGATGTTGGGTCGATACCCTCGAGGTCTTTCGCTTTTCTTACCCTGCAGAGACACAAAGAACTCGAAGACGTGCAGTGGGCTGCAGAGGGCTGCAGCGGCAGCGGAGCCTTTGCTGATCAAGCAGCTTCGCCTGCTTCCCCCGCGCCCATTCCAGTACCTTCCAAGACCCCAAGGGCCACGGAACAAGGGATTCTCAGGGATCCGTTTAAGGATCCTGGCCTTGACAAAGTGCTTCTTCATCTCCTGCAGCAGCGCAACCCGAAGAGAAACCGCGTTCTTCATCTCCTCTCCTCGCCTCCAGCTCCAGGCGAAGGACGAACTGTGCGAAGGCGGCCGCCGCCTGTCTGGAGCTTCGAGGACCAGAACGCATCGGAACTCAACGCCTGCCTGCTGCCTTTCCTTTCGAAGAAGACTGTGAAGAATCGGAACGTCTCTAAAAGCCGAGGTCAGATTCGCACAGACCAAACGGTAGAAGCGACGGCCTCTTATCATCACTTTATCTGCTAGTGCTGCTAGTAAGATGCTAAACTCAGAGTCACCAACCTCTTTTCGTCATAGTCGTGGAAACTTCCATTGTGGCAACAATCGCAGCAACCTCAAGAACATCGCATTACTACCACTACCGAACCACCACCACCACCACCACCATCATCATCATCGTCAAAAGCACCAGGACCAGCAGCCAACGCTCGATTACGCAAGCGCTGAGCAACCGCGTCAGGACTCCTGAGCCCTGAGGCCCAACAGGTCTGCAGACGATACCGATGTGAGGCGGCGCCGCGTCAGTCAGCATGCAAACATCTCTGCGACATTCTGCGACCTTCGAGTCCCGGAGTGAATCCTTCCAACTGGGGACGCGCGCCAGTTGGTGCAGCTGCCAAATGGAGGGCTGGCTGCCAAACTGGTCCCAACTCAACTCCTGGCAGCTACAACTCAACACCTCCCTCCCGAGAAGCTTTGAGCCCGGCCTCCGCCTCCACCAGTGTTGGGCCGCTAGGTTGGCGCGAGACCCTGCGAGGGAGTCAAGATACTTGAGGCCGCAGCTGCCGCTTCCCAGTCTGAGC